AACAAGCAAAAGAAGGCTTACACTCCCCTTATCTGTGGCTATATTGGTTCCCTGAATTGGCTGGTGGATGCTTCATGAGCTTTCTCATGGCCTAGATGAATTTTGTAAATATCTGCTCTCCCAGAGTTTCAGCAGTTGTCAATACACATAGGTTTTCCTGAGAGGTGGAGGCAAAGCTGCTTCAGTAAAGGAAACAGTTTTGGTTCTCACAGCTCTTATCTAAAGAATATACTTGGGGAAAGCAGCTTCTGAGAGCAAAGCTGCTTTAGTAAGGCAAATAATTTCATTCTCATGGTAAAGGCAGCTCTTATCTACAGGGTGACTGGGGAAGGCAGCTTCAAAGCAATTATTGCTGATGCTCATTCTAACAAGTTGAAGGCCATTATGCCTTGATGTGGTTTCAATAAGCTATCCCAACTTTTAGACACTGCAGAAGTTCACTATGCTAACCTCTTCCCATTGTTCCAGTAGAGCCTATAAAACAGATTATAAGGTATTAAAGGCCTGGATGAATAAGAAGGTATCTGCATGCTATTTTTAAAAAACCCATAAAGATGATGCCAGGCAAACCAATTTGGGAAGACTGTTGTTTAACCAGAATGTTGAGATCAAAAAAGTCCTTTCCTAGTAGTCACCAACCTTCCTTTGTTTGGGAGGGGCAATGAGAACAGGCAGTCTAAGCACATTTTGTCCCATGTCTGACTGTTTCACTGACATTTCCTCCTGCATATTCAACCAGATTTGGTGAAAATATGATTTTCAGTCTTTCCATTCAACCACTAATGTTTCTAAGCTTCTTTCTTACTGTGAAAGCACAACACCCATTTGGTGATATTTTGCTTCTCATAACAATATTGCAACCAGAATGTAGTTGTCCCCTGCTGACTTTTTCTTATAATTCAAGTAGTTGGACTCTCTATGTTAAAACTGTCCATAGTTTTGCTATTGTATCTAGTTTTTATCTTCTAATTTGACAGATATGTGTTACTTTTATGTTTTATGCTGGGCATTTAAGTTATAAAGATTTAATTACAGCCATTCAAATGCAGTAGGAGGTTGATGCCAAAAATGTTTTTAATGAGGATTGTGTGTGTGGTACTGAGCAAATTGAAAATCACTTTATTTTGGACAGCTCTTCGTGTCAGGATTTAAGGAAAATGTGAGTGCAGCCTATCTTGGACAGGTATAATGGTCATTCTTGGTTGGAAAAGATAGTATCAGAGGAAAAATAAAATATTAATAACCTTACCAATCAAACTGCATAATAAGGTTGTGCAATACTATCATAAGGTTTTCTACTTACTGACCTCATGTATCAAATAAAGCTTATATATAATGTGTACATTATTATATGCATGTTACATAAAAATCAAAGAGTGATTCTATCAATGTGTGGAATGCCTCTATTACAACTAGATTTTTTTCCCTCATGAGGCAAAATTTTCACCATACCTTGATTACAATTTGGTAGGGCTGGCCATCTCAGGGGCTTGATTTTCCCTCCATGTAATCTTTCCTGGTTTAGACTACTGCAGCAGCCATCTGCTTTTTGGTCTTCCTTTGATTTCTCTTCTCTGAGGAAATCAAGAATACCTGCTTTTGATCTTTTTCCTGTTTTGCTAAGTTTGTCACTCTTCCTTTTATGTTTAAATATTGTCTTTTTGTCACTTTTCATATCAGAAGTCCTTATACTTTTGAGTCATGTTTGTCTGTCTTCTTTCATCTTCTCCTTATTGATAAGTTTGATCTAGTTCATCTAGAGAGTGCGCCTCCCTTGAAGTGCAATCCTAATTCCAGTTTCATGTTTATTTTTTTTTCTTATGCCTCAAATAACAGTCAAAGACAATACCCAGCCACTGCATGCTGTAGTTAACTAAGAATCTAGTACGAATGATCTTGTAGAGGGACCCAGATGGTTTAGTCAGCCTTTCTGTTGTCTATTGCTGTTTTTTAGAGGGGTTGTATAGTAGAACTTGTTTGTATAGCTGACTTGGTTTGGTACAAGTGAGCAAAGCACAGGGAAATTAGGACTAATAAATGTTATAGTCCAATTATAATAATAAAACATTGAATTTCACAAAGCCAAAAAATTAGAAGCTTGGGCTGATGCCTTAACAGATGAGTGGTGCTCTCTTAAGACTTATTCACCATGCATCCACAGTTTTTCTTGGTCTTTCAGGATGGGGAAGATAGAGTGCCTGGGACCAGTTGCCCCACATTGTCATGGTCCTGTATTGCTTTATAACGTATGTGAACCTTAGTGTGTTACTAGATGAATTCTGTGAGTTGACCCCTGACCCATGCCTTTTTGTTGCTTGTAAGGAAGCAGAAGTTGTGAAATTGTACAATATTGTCACTGCTCATGGGACAGTTCTGTTACAGCATACCTTTCTTCTTTTCTTCCTTTTTCAGTAGTGATTCATTCATCAGTCAGTCAGTGAGAGTGATCCCCTCAGCCTTCAAAATTATCTCACTCTCAGATGACAATTCCCTGCTACCCCTTCCCCACTCTCAGAATGCTGATAGGAACGCTGGAATTCAAAACAGTAAAGTATTGGCTGCCTGTCTTCAGAGTGAAGCTGAACATACCCAACATAACTTTACCAACAGTTGCTTCCATAGCCTTGCATGGGGCAGAAAAAATCTTGCTCCAAACTCATTAAACTAATGAAAGGCACACACCACCTCTTCAAGTCTGAATAAAGTACATCAGTAGTTTCTCCAGAATTTGAAAGAAATACAGGATTTGCTAAGCAACAGCTTAAAGAAAAAAAGTACAAAGTGTCGATTTTCAGCACTTTTTATAGATTTATAAAAATAAGTTTTATTTGAATTATAATCCTAAAAAACAACAAACTACAAAAAACATCCATCATCAGCACTTTTTAACTTAATCTATATGTAGCCATTTTTCAGCAGATCTATTTGAAATTTTGCATAATTATAGATCTCACTGGTTAGATTATAGATACTGAGTTAAATATTAATAACTGTAAACATGTTATTTTTAAAAACAGTAGAATTTTGATACTTATACTGGCAGATACCGTTTTTCCTTTCAATTCACCTTAAATGAAGGGCAAGTCCTGTGCCTCTTTAAATATGAAATATGAGAATTGCTATAAAATCACTATTCTAATGATTAATGTTATTTAAAATATTTACTGTATAAGTGTTGTATGTGTAATAAACCGGTAAATTGCCATAGGTCTTTCCTGTAGGTCTACATTCTGCTTTAATATTATTAGGGTAGTAGGCTTACTCTGGAAATGAATGGAAAATGGTGAGCAGAAGCAAATATTTTATTCTCTTGCATAGAGAACTGGGGACAATGTTTCATTGACTCTGTATTCTACAACATAAGCAGCTGTGTACAGCATAGATGTATCCCTCCCATCCCTGAATTAGATTTAGACTTCCTAAACTGATTGACTGCTTATCAGAAAAAAAGTGATGAGTAAATGCAGATGGGTCACATTAAAACATACTTTTAAAAGGTAGACATATACCATTTAGTTAATCTTCTCCCATATTTCAGGCTGACAGCATTTACATTGCTGATATATATGTCTTTTATTCATATTGCAGAAGCTCAAGGTAACTGAGTAGATACCATCAGAAAAATATCCAGTGCAATTCCTGTTTTAGAACTCCAGATATCATTAAAGTATTTTGCATATACTTAATAGTGGTGACATGACTGTGATGATGCATGTCTGGTATTAAGAGATTTGATTAGCATCAGGCTTTCACAAACGTTAAAAATATTGAAGTACAAATGGGAGTAGGACATTTTAAAATCTCTTTCTGCCATATTTGTTGCAAATCTGTGCTGATATTTAGACTAGACAGCAGAAAAGTCTTCCTCTGAAACATCAGGTATTTGTCATTTTTATTTTCAAGGCTTATGCCAGATTTTTCACCAAAGAGCTGAGCTACAGAACCATGAAAATTGATTTGAGATTTTAAAACTTCTGTATTGGCTAATGTATTCAGCATTAATACAAATGAATAAGTAATTGCTCTACTAAAAAAGAAAATATAATTTGGCTTGACCTGGGAATAAAAAGGGTACAGGCACTCTGAGCAGTTCTTTTGCATAGTCTATTGGCTTAGTTGCAATGGCAAGAAATTTTGTTGTGAACAACAGTCTTGTAGTCTCAGAACTGCTTGTTGAGGAATGTTAAGTTTAATCTCTTAAATTGTCTCTGCAGTTTGGGGGCGCTAATGCAATAGCACTACTGTGTTCTCTGTCCTGGAAAGATGGAATTAGTCTGCATTCTTTATCTGTTCTGAGCATGAACAAAACTAGGAAATGACATGCATACTATAAACAATGGATTAGATAACTCAGTTTGTATCAGTCTTATGCTCCCTGATGCAAGATGTGAGCAAAACCTCGTTCTTTCTCTAAAACCCTGCAGTTTACAGATGCAAACCATTTGATTATGTCTAGGGAGTGCAAAATGCAAGTGAGGATGTTCTTCTGTAGAGCTGATATGTGCATGGCCAAATACTCTTGTAGAATGGGAAAGCAGTGACTTTTAGTTTTGTTTCCTGTTAGATCTTTCCCAGAGTTCTTCTCCTTCTCTGTCAGACCAACTCCAGATGGGCTGTGATGAGGCAGCCTCAGGAAGCCTGAATGTAGAATGCAGGGTCTGCGGTGACAAGGCATCAGGGTTCCACTATGGAGTGCATGCATGTGAGGGTTGTAAGGTATGTATCATATGTTATCTAAGTCCCTGCGCAGGCTGAAATATATAGGAAATAGGCCATTTGTTTTCGGTAAACAACCAATAGAAGGAAACCAAATATTTCCTTCTTAAAGTCCTAAGTATCTCTCTGCCGCAATCAGAATAGAGGACTAAAAAAAATTCTATTTTGGTAGTGCAGAACGGAAGCCTCACTAAGCAAAATCAGTAGTATTAATGGATTGACATGTTCAGAGGACACAAAGTCACTATAGGTCTTGAAATAGGCAAGCAGTAAGACTCATAAGCTGCAGAAACTAATATGGCTACCCCTCTGGAATTTGTCCCTTTGTTGCATAGGAGTTTGCATAGCAATTGCATTCTCCAGCCGAGTATTTTTTGTACCTTTCTCCATAGTCTCACTGTCCTCCAGTGAATCCCTGGTCTCTCTGAGATCATAGATGTTGCTTTGAGAAGTTATCCTTGACTGGCATATGCCACAGAGCACCTGTGAACATATTTTACTCCTAATTGTTTGGCTTGCTGTAGCAATTACAAAATTCCATCCATGCCCCCCCACACATGCCAACATTGCTGAGTTATTCAGTGTCTAAGTGATGCCAAAATTCTTCAAGGCCAAAAAACAAAACTAAGGCTGTGGAAAGGCAGTAAGAATGTTGAGAAGCTGGAATTTGTCTATCTTTGTCCCCCTCCTGGCAGTTTGTGGCATTACAAGTCTCTTGCATTATTTCCCACATAGAAGAAACATGTTTAGGCTTCCCTTCCTCCCTGTAGCATTCTTTTTTATATGTGTGTATGTTTACCCCTGTGGTAGAGGTTTTATTTATTTATTTTATTTATTTTTCGATATATATCCTGCCTTTTTCCTCCAAAGGGCTCAAGGCAGCTTACATCATTCTCCTCCTCCGTCTTATCCCCACAACAACCCTGTGAGGTAGGTTGGGCTGAGAGTCTGTGACTGGCCCGAAGTCACCCAGGTGGCTCCATGGCTGAGCAGGGACTAGAACCCAGATCGCCTGAGTCCCAGTCCCACGCTCTTAACCACTACACCACACTGGCTCTCTGTTGTTATGGTCTGTTGTTGCTTTGTCCCGAGAATCAAGCTGATATATTAACCTTGCACTGTTGAAGGAACTGTTATTAAAATAAACAAACTTCCTGTTAATATCTGCTTCATTCTTTTATTCACTTACCCACAGGGCTTCTTTCGTCGAACAATCCGTATGAAGTTGGAATATGAGAAATGTGAGCGGAACTGCAAGATTCAGAAAAAGAACCGAAACAAGTGCCAGTACTGCCGCTTTCAGAAATGCCTCTCCCTGGGCATGTCACATAATGGTGAGGCATCCGTCCTGTAGCTTTGAATGAAGGGTCAAGGGCATAGGGAGGAATGGAACTATGTCTTTATCATAGGCAATTTGTTTTACAATGACTACTGATTTTTTGGGATGCCTTACTTGGTGTATCATAAAGGTGCCTGACTTCCTTCATTTTGAAAACCAGGCTTTATTTTATTTAAAATATTTAGATTCTACCCTTCAATTAAATATTTCCAGGATGGTTTAAAATAGCTAATAAAGCATAATAGAACAGCCGTAATCAATATAAAAGTTCTCAGCATTAAAAGGCAGCACTGAAAATCCTCACAGCAGAAACTAAAATATGTCTTAACTTCTCAAAATATTTATTTGTTCTGAAAAGCCTTCATTCTATTTGTGTTTTTTTTAGAGAAAATATGAAATTGCTACTGAAAGCACTTTCTAAAGTTGTTTAACCTAAGATATGCTACTTATAGCAAAAAGCATCTTTCAGGGTCCAGTAGTGGAATTGGGAAAGATTTTTGGTGGGAAAATGACTTTGCAAAGGAGGGATTAAATGCTCTCCCTCTGATCCCTATATAGTCAGGATCAGAGACCACCACAAGAGGGGTTTTTTTGGTAAAAGAAAGCAAACATATGTTTTAAAGTATTGTTTTTAATTTGATCATAAGTGTCAGCGCTGGGATATAGGCAACAGGTGCCTTGGCTAGAACACTGGGACTACAGGTGCTGGAGAGGAACAGATGTCTTAGTAGGGTTTAAGAGGACCAGAGAAAAGTCAAAAGCCAGACATAGGTTGATTTCAGATACCAACAAGGCAAAGCAGGGTCAGAGACAAAGGCACAGTCTAGAGACAAGTTATGTCAGCGAGGACAAGAAACAGGTACATGGCAAGGCAGAGTTGGATTAAAGGCAAGTGCAGGAGCAGGAATCAAAAGCATGATTGAGAACAGGGCAAGACTAGAAGCATGCTCAGGAACACAATGCAACCCCACAAAGAATTGTGGGGCTGAAGCAAAGCTGAGCACTGGGCAAGCTCCATTCCCTGCAGCACCTACAGGTCTGCTCCTGGTCCTACAATCATTTGCATGGTGAACTGTGCTTCTCATCAGCAGGGGGAGCTGTGTCAAGGCTTCAGATCCTGACACTGAGGCTGCAATCCTAGGTACATCTGTGAAAGAGTAAACTCCACGGAATATATTTATTGAAAATATGCATTTTTCTTGGTTTAGCTTTGGAGAATATTCATTATATGGTTTATGTATTTATATGTATATAATAATAATTTTATAATTATTGATAATGTAAATTATTAATATAAGCCAAATTAACCACTGGGTTTACATTACACTACATTCGATCAGGGTGATTTGATGTTGTTTACAGATAGCAGAAGTCACAGATATTGTGAGTTCCCATGAATCTTGTGTTAATAACCCATGATTTGCTGCCCTGACATGTGAACTGGATCGTTGTCATATTCCCAACTTCTTACTGTGACATGCAAAACATTAGAACTGAGGGCATGTTAATTAGGGTGATAAAGGGGATGTACAGTGGCATGTAGGGTGATAAAGGGGAAAATGCTGCATGTACTTTGGAGAAGAGAGTAGCCTCCTTCCTTCCCATTTGATTTGTGTGTGATACAATATGGTCTGACTGCAATTGTGCCATAAATTTCAAGATATCTGCCTTTCTCAGATGTACATTGGAGCAGATATTGTGGCAGGCATCTCAGAAAAAGGCATATATCTTTTTTCCTAAAAGGACTTGAACCTACTTGCTCTGGGAAGCCAGCTGTACACAGCCTGTGTCGTGCCAACAATGATCCTTTATCAGTCTTGTGACTTGCAAGAAATCTCAGCTGAGGCACCCTGCATGTGGTTGCATCTCTTAAATGAGAGATATATGTACATTCCCTTAGAAAGGGAATATCTTTCATCTCTGGTCTATTTTTTATGTTGCATCTATAGATTAATTTGAGTTCATGCTTAATTAGTTTGGGAGCCAGTGTGAGGTAGTGCTTAATACACAGGTTTAATCCTCACTTAGCCACTGAAGTTCACCAAGTCACATTGATTCAATCAATATCTCTCAGCTTAACCTAGTTAACAGGGTGGTTTTGAGTGTAAAAATGGGGTGACAGGTATCGTGCACACTTCCTTGAGCTCTTTGAAACAATGCTATTATCATTACATAAATTAAATATTTGTTTTTCCCCTCTATCAGTAATGGTTTCTTATGAAAAAAATCTTGAGTGAAAGTGTAGTGGGAAAGATACGATTACATCATGTAAACATAGCCATTTCTACCCTTTCTAGTGTAAGACCTCTAACTGTGCTTCATTATGTTATTTCAGCCATTCGTTTTGGCCGCATGCCAGAAGCTGAAAAAAGAAAGCTAGTGGCAGGACTGACAGCAACTGAGATCAACTGCCAGAACCAGCAGGTAGCTGACTTGAAAGTTTTATCCAAGCACATCTACAATGCCTACCTGAAAAATTTCAACATGACCAAAAAGAAAGCACGAGGCATCCTGACTGGGAAAGCCAGCAGCACCCCAGTAAGTGCCTCATTCACATATATCTCAAAATGTAGCAGAGACTCTGTCACTGGCAGCCCAAGAAATTCAGTGCTGCACGGGAGCTGCCTGTACAGGCTAACATACCTGGAAGAACTTAATGGTCTTGTTCACAACTGGCACAATCTGGATTATATCACTAGGAGCTTTTGAAAGATTATATAACCAAAATTTTGTCTTCCACAAGTTATTTTATTGATTTTCAGTTAGCCATCAACATTTATACTGGGTTCAATCTTGAGGGAGGGGGGAGTGTTAGTCCACTGTTTCCAGCAAGGGAATTTTTCCCATAGAAAGACATATTCCTTCCTTTTTAAGGATCTGTCCTGTATGATTTCCCAAAATAAATGAACAATTCAGAAGTTTTGTTTATACGCACAGTCTGCAAGGAACTGTAAAAGTAAATAATATAGCAAAGGTAAAAGCCAAATATGCATTTAAGAAACAGAGCTAAGATACAAACATGACCATTTCAAGGACTTAAGAGAAGCTTTCACAAGTTTCAGTAAAACAAAAATTAGAGATTAACACTTCAAAGCATGGCTTAAAACAACTCAGTGAAAATTATTTTCAAAATAATGATGTTCAATCTGTTTTGAATGGGGTTGACATTTCCTCTAAAGGATCAGGTTCAGAGGCTGAGCGTGTTTCTTGACTCCATTTTGTCTTCAGTGGCTCACAGCACTGTTTTGTCTGTTGCGGTTTGTGTGTCTTTCACTGGACAGATAGTCAAAGAGTGTTATCAATGTAATGCTGAAATTCCATTTGGACTACTGCAATGCACATGAGGCTGCGAATAGGAAAGTTGAAGACAATAGTAAACAAAAGGGAGGTTGTATCATTTTGTCTTAGTAGGCTTCAGTCATACTACGCTGAAATAGAAGAACTCATATTTTTAGGGAGAAGGTTCAGAAAATAAATATCCCTGTAATATAACTTACTAATATATATATAAGGTACTAAATATATATGAGTAGTAAATATATATGATTTTTTCATTATGTTTTATAATACTGTTGAAAAGTTGAATATTGCACTTCCCCCAGTAAATGTTAGATTCATTCATTCATTCATTCATTCATTCCACTTCTGTATGGCCTAATAGCTAAAGCTCTCTAATATGGAAGTAGAGAAAAACAGAGATATCAAACATTATGTGGGTATAGTTGCTAATATATAGATTGTACTACCTTTGCTGATCCATTTAGAAAACTAGAAATCAGCATGTGTATTTGTAGAGTCTTCATACAGTTTACATTTATCAGGATACCTAATATCCTAAATTCCTCTTTGTGAAAACATTTCCATTCCAGAATGGTGAGAAAAACTTTTGTTTATACTTAACTGTACTTATTTTTGTAGTTGTTTAGATATCATTGATAGAGAGCAAATTCAAGGTCAGATGATGAGGAATAGACCTGGATTGCTTCTAAACTGGCAGATTGCTTCTAAACTCTTATAACTGTAATTTTCATTTTTGTGTGCATTACATTCTGTTGATGACTGCAAACAGAAGGCTTTGACTAATCATCAACACCAGAGACAAATGAGCAAAGTCACTCTGTCCAGCCTATGGCTAAATCCCTCACTATAGCATCCTAACTTTGTATATTCATTCTTTGTAGCCTTTTGTGATTCATGACATGGATACCCTGTGGCAAGCAGAAAAGGGTCTGGTGTGGAAACAGCTGGTAAATGGGATACCACCATACAAGGAGATAGGTGTCCATGTTTTTTACCGTTGCCAGTGCACATCAGTGGAGACTGTGCGGGAGCTCACAGAATTTGCCAAGAGCATCCCTAGCTTCATCAGCCTTTATCTTAATGACCAAGTGACTCTGCTGAAATACGGGGTGCATGAGGCCATCTTTACCATGCTTGCCTCCATCATGAACAAAGATGGACTTCTGGTGGCCAATGGGAATGGCTTTGTGACACGTGAGTTCCTGCGTAGCTTGCGCAAGCCCTTCAGTGAAATCATGGAGCCCAAATTTGAGTTTGCTGTGAAGTTCAATGCCCTGGAGCTGGATGACAGTGACTTGTCTCTGTTTGTAGCTGCCATCATCCTATGTGGAGGTGAGACTGGATATTCACTGGGCTGGTGGGTTAGAAGTTAATTGCTAGCAATAGTATAGGCCTTCTAATGGCTTGCTGATTAAGATAGAGCCATGTACTGCCAGTCTATGGGTAGTTAATGATGGTTTGAAATACAAATTGGATGTAAAGGTTAGTTAACAGCTACTAATTTATCTGAACATTAAACAATCTGCACTGTGCACACTGATGTGGGATAAAGTCTTATTGAATGTAATCGACTAATTCTAGAGTAAACATCCATAAGATTCCACTGAACAACTTCAGTGTCTGTTCTTTTTTTCCTCAGTATGCTAGCCCAATCCCAAAGCATTCTTGAGCTTTTTCTAGGGTGATTTGGATTATTGTCTGCTTTCGTAGATGTTCAGGCAAGCGCATCCAACTGCGCACTTCTTTTGTCTTTAGAATATTTGCCAGCTCCTCTTTTTTATTCACCTTTTTAAAGTTCATCTTTTCTCATATGCCTCCTTTTCCTCCCCTACCTCCTTATACTCTTTGAGTGTGAGTCCTCTATACCTGCTCTATTCATGCTTTTTGACCTTTTTGGTATCTTTCCAATGGTTACAGCCTTATTGGTAAGGCTGTAACCATTAGCCTTACTCTCTCCCACAGTCAAACTTAATGGTATCTTGCCAAACATGTTCTAACCCCACATATGAGTTTAAAGGAAGACAGTGGTTGGCAGGCACTTGCCAGAGAGAATCAGTGGACCTGTAACACAGCACCTGTTTTGCTTTGACAATGATTTCCTGGACTGTTTTCTTCAAGGTTTCTTCTACTTCTCATTTGGATCCTGACTGAAGGGGGAAAACCTTCAAAGGCTACTTGGGCCCCTGCGGAGCTGGATAAAATGTACAATAATATAAAAGTGGGATCAGACCAAAGACGTGTCTGTTTCAGCTGTCTGTTCCCATATTTGCCAACCAGTTGACTAAGAGAATCCCACTAGGATGACATAATGAGAATAACACCTTCTTGATTGTGTTCCCCAGCAGCAAGTATTGAGAGGCATGCTACTTCAAAGCCTAGGAATATTATATTGGCCATTATATTAAGCTGCTCACACACCAGCAGAACCTACTACTAGGGCAATCCAAACTAAATTTAAACTAAACTAGCAGTGACCATAATGCCTGTGTAGGATTGTGCCCCTGAATAACTTCTCCAGGAATTTGTTGAATTCCATTTTAAAACCATCCAACTGGTGGCTGTTACATTCAGCAATGTTTGCTGCATTGTGTGCCTTACAGATACTTGAAGATACCCTGAGATAATTGGGCCTGAATCCATACGTTTCTTTTATAAAATTGGGTGTGGCTGTCATGGTGCATACAAATAGATCATTTTAAGCAATTTCTCCTTTGTCAATCATCCCAGTTCAGATTTTTGACTGTTTAACCAAACAAATGTGGTGGCCTTGCTGCAGATTGTCTTTTAGAAGCCTGTTTACTCCCTTACATAGCTAAACCTATAGATAAAAATACTAGAAGATCTGAGCTCCAGTGCTGAAAAAAGGAAAGGAACTCTGTAAAGAATGCTTTTTAATAGCAGACAAGGAGAATGGATAGGTTTGCACTACATTGGTTTCCTTTTTAAAGGAGATAGAAATGCACCTATGTGTTCATTCCCCCTGCCCCCATATATGAGAATCTTTAAATATGCTTGGAAAACTCTGGGAATTATGGCAGAAGCCACACAATTGTTAGTGCATTTATTGTCCTTTTGAAAGGAAGATGAGGTATTTTCCGTTTAACTTATGTGTGCCAAAAGCCTGAAGAACTGGTTTGATCAGAGTCTATAGAAGCAAAAGAAAATATATCTTCTTTGTGGGTAGTGACAAGAAACTTCTGGCCTCACTTTTAAATATCCCACTGGTTGGCCTCCTCATGTAGACTGAGCTGGGAGGATAAGATGCTTGAAATAAATGCACTGAGCTTTTGTATACTGATATTCTTAGGCTGTCTGTGGTTGTGCCTGGCTGCAGACTAAGGTTCAAGAATCTTAGTTGAAACCACATAAACATTTTTAAATGCTTAGCTAATCACTCAGGAATTTTCTTCTACTTTGATTAATGTGCCTTACCACAATTCACAATGTGTTTAGTGATAGTCTCACAAAATACAATTTTGTTTGTTTAAGAAATGTATTGGTTTCCTTTTAAAATGCAGTGGCATTTTAAATACAAGGTGGCACAGAATATATAATAATATTGGTTGTATGGGAGGGAATTTCATAAAGGAAGAGCATTGCTAAAAAGACCTTGCTTTCATTTGTGACAGCCAACTTTCCCTTCTTCCCGGGTGGTCATACAAGCAAGGCTTTTGTAGCTGATCTTAATGACCTGATAGGTTTAATTTTCATCTGGGTATAGGTTGTTCTTTAAGTAATTTGGTCTTAAACTATTAAAGGCTTTAAGTGTCAGTATCAGCACTTTGATTTGGATTGAGACATGATTAGGGAATCAATACAGCTGATGCAGAACTTGATGCAAAATAGGGTATAAACAGGTAGCCCTTGTCAGCCTCCAGGCTGCTGCATTGTTTTTTGAACTGCTGTCAAAGATGCCTGGGTGTAACTAGGGCATGTTTAAGTGAGGTAAAATAAATGCCTGTTGCCTGCCTTATCACCATTTCCTTCTTATTTCCTATCCTTGCTGAAATGGCCCATGTTGGGGATTGGGGAGTTGGTCAACTTCACTGATGCCTTTTTTTCCTGATGAAATTAAAATGGCTGAGGAAAGTCTTAACAATTTCAGGAATGTTGTTTATAGCTGCTCTTCTGAAGAAGGCGTGATAGGGGACCCTCAAACATTAGCATGAGCTTTCTCATTCTCAGAGACTAAAGAGAGGGGAGATTTGAAAGACATTTCCATGACTTAGTTGCCCACAGTTATAGAAAAGGACAAGGAAATTATACAGGAGCTTTGATCATGACCAAAGACAATTCACAGGCAATGCAAAAAGGCAGGAAGTTTGACAGACACTTGTGAAGTGCTCAAAATTACTTTAATAGTTTGTGTCTTACTCTTTCAAATGTTGCTGTTTTTCACAATTGTTGAAACAGCTTATACAACCAGCAGCATGAGATGGGTTTTGAGATGGTGGGTGGGTGGGTGTGTGTATATTTTCGAGGGGGAATGTATTACTTCAGTATTCAGGAATGCTTCTGTATGTATTTAGGAAAGGGGGTGTTCCATACGTTAATGCTCCCTCACAAGTAAAGTTCCTTACAAATTTAATTATAGCACATTGAACAGTGGGCTTTCTTGACCTCTTCTTGAGAAAATTCAAAATATTCACATGATATTCACATGTTCAAAAGGACAGCTCTTTAGCAAATAATTTATGCTCTCTCTCTCTCGTTCTCTCTCCCTCTCTCTTTGTCTGTGTAGATCGTCCTGGGCTGATGAATGTTAAACAGGTAGAAGAGATTCAGGATAATATCCTCCAGGCCCTTGAGTTCCACCTGCAGACCAACCACCCAGATACTCAATACCTCTTCCCTAAGCTGCTGCAGAAAATGGCTGACTTGCGACAGTTAGTGACTGAGCATGCACAGCTAGTGCAGAAGATAAAAAAGACAGAGACAGAGACTTCTCTGCACCCACTCTTGCAGGAAATCTACAAGGACATGTACTGAGGAGCTGATATTTATGAGATAGGTTAAAGCCATGGAATCCAGCAAAATGCTTTGTATATTAGCAAAGAAAGCCCCTGTGTCTTCCATTCCTTCTACTGGAATTGCTTTTCTATACAATTGCTGCATACTGTACATAGCCGTATACAGCAGAAGACTTAGTATCTACCATGTGGTAGGGCTTCCATGAACATACATTAAGCAAAACTTAAAGACACATCATAAGCTAAATCTCTGTTGCTTCAGATCAGCTGTTACACCGTTCCAGAGCAGCTGCTGTGTTTACACACACCTTGCAAATATGCTTGAAACATGGAGTGGATTGTTTGTTGGACAACAGAGATTGTGTCCAAACCATTAAAGCAAGCAGAGGCATGTCTGGCAGGTACAGGAACAGCACTTACATCATATATCCATTGTATATTTTTTTATATGGCACTCTGAACTTTAGCTTGGCCCTAAATCATAAATTCTTGTTACAAAGAAAGGGCATGGATGTGTCTATAAATTTCCCAAAGAAACCTCCAAGTATTTTATGAAGGGTACGAACACTCCTTCTGAAGACTCTTTGAGGGGAAAGGCCATTGCTCTTCTCCTCAGTGCACAAAAAAGGATATGCCATCTGCACGAAAGGCCATACTTCCTGTCGTCCATATTGGTTTCTTCCTCCCCCCCCCCCCTCTTTCTGGGCACTCTACAATGCCATTTGGTGAAGCTCTTTATGAATGCTTGCTAAGTTGTTGAATGGAGGTAGCTTTTTCCATGTTCCTTGCACCACTACAATGCTTGTCAAATCATGGAGTTAGGCATGAAAGGGATTGGGGTAAGAATTTGCTCTCAGATGGCAGCTCCCTAAAGGCCATTTGCTTCCTTCAGATTAGATTTCATACACTCTGGAGTATGGAAAAAAGTTTAAGCACTTGAGGGTCCCCTTTATTTGGGGGCATATAATATGGATTCTGATCTTAATAGTGCAGTACCGACAACTGTGAAGTCAGGGTGATTCAAGGATGTTAGTGAAGACAATGATGATTGTTTTTGTTGTTTTGATACTCTTTCCCCACCCCTTCCCTGATTTTCCCCAAATGTCCTAAGAGATCCAAAGGAGGATGTCTGATATGTGAACTGCAACTGTGCCTTTCCCGGAAGCCCACCATACACAATGCTGTTCTTGCCCATTGTTTTCCCTACCTTTGCAATAAAACTGTTAGCAAGGATCACTGAATATGTAAGCAGCATTTCGTCATCTGGCCATCAACATTCCTTCCCCAGATAGCCACAACAATTTATATTTCCCAGGGGCTTAGATCAGGCTAAAATATATTCTTAGCTCCCTCAGCTTCTTGAATTGGCCCTGCTTCAGTTCTTTAGGAACTTACCCAACAGCTTTTGCAAGTTGAACATAGGGTTTGGGTTTTTTGTTTTGTTTCTGTTTTTCCATTTAGTGCAGAAGGATCTCCAGTTTACCAGTGAGGTCAGTATGCTATGAATATTTGGACTGTGTGAAACCATTCTGCCTAGGTGTGGTTGCTGCACTGTGGGACTTTTCTGGTTTATTTAAGCTATGATCATGTTCCATATATCTCCAGCATTAATTACATCATAAAATTAGCATGATGCTGGAGAGTGGCCTAAGGGTTTCAAGGTTTAAATTGTGGTACTTGTTGACGTGGCTGTGTTGCCCAAGGCAAAATTGGAGACTTGTGTACATTTACAAATTATCTGACATGGTATAAGGCAGCTTTTTATGTTTGGTGTACTGCATATTGCACCATCCATTTGATTCAGATCGTCACTGGCCATACAAAGGGGTAAATAATAATTAAAACAGCAGCCCCTCTCTCTGAGGCTCTTGATTCACACTGTTATCCATGCAATACACCATCTATGAGGATGTCCCCTATAACTTTTTATGCCTATATTACCTGAAGGAGAGGCACGTATTTCTGATTTTTCCCCTCCCTCCAGCCATGCAAAAGAAAGGAAAAGAATTCTGGAATACATTACCTGGACCAGAATCTGGGTGAATGACCAGCTGCATTGCTTTGGGTGTAAAGATTGCTCTGTGTTGTGGTTACCTTAGATAATTAGGTGCCATATAGTAGGAAAAAGTAAAAAGTGGCTTCACAATGGACCAGTGGCTTAACTTCGTGTTTCATGTTTAATGCTGTGCAACTATTCTGGTCCGTAAGAAGATCATCTAATTTTTAACTCATAATTTTACAGTTCTCACAGGCCTGGCTTCCTTTAAGTACTCTGCTTATTAAGTAAGCAAAAATATAAAACTACTGCAATAAAATGTCCAATGGGGCATCCGCATTGCTAAGTTTGATTATAATTTGCTATCTTGCTAATTTGTTACCAGCTCTTTTTCAGCAAACTGATTGTTCATATGGCACAATCCCTGTATTTCAGGCTTATGTTTAACAGCTCACCTGGTAGTCATAGGCAACCAGGAATTCCATGCAGGAGACTGAGAACAAATTGTTCTGTTCTTTCACCAGTTCACTTGATGTCTGTGCTGGCTGTAAGATTCTTCCTCAGTAGGCTCCTTTAGTAGTCTTTGATTAACATTATAAATGTTAGTCTGTTAAAGGACTAACAGTCTGATTTCAGTATTAGCCATGAAGGAAAGAACTTTCCTTCCGTGTGCAACACATGAATCCAAGCTGTAGCATCCTGGCAGATAGTAAACTTTTTGCAGGCAAAAAGTTTACTGGGGAAAAGATTCAGGCATCATCTTTAAGCTCTTATTATTCTGTTTGACAACATTTAGGCCTTTTGATGCAACATTTAGGCCTTTTGTCTAGTGGTGTGGACAAACAACAGCAAAGACATTTCTGTTGCTTCTTGCTGTGTCACAAAAAAACTAGGTAGGGAAAATATCAGTTAATTGTGAAATGATCAAGAATGGAGATCCATTTGTAACCCAACTTGCCACCTACTTTCAAGAACCCATATGCCTAGAACATGGAGCCCATTGGATAGGGGTGGAGCCACTCCTTCCCGCACAACTACACAGCAGTAGCAGCACTTTGAAGAGCTGCCCCAGGTCCCAAAGACCAGTGCCCTGCAGTGCTGCAAAACCAGACTTCTTAAGAATGATAAGTGGGATTTAAAAAAAAAAAAAATCTTTAGTTTTTGAAAATGCAGTGATAAGATCACATAAGTGCTCTTATCTGAGGCATTTTGGATCTTATCTGTGGAATATACAATGCCTACTATTCTGCCAATCAAGCTGTTTCTCCATGGCACAGCACCTGTGTGGTCCCTGATATCACTGTTGGTAAGAAACTTGGCAAATGGTTGCCGTCACTTCCAATCTCAGGGACCACCAATGGTTCAGCAGCAACTCCCATTACATACTGCTTTTCTTCCTCCACTCCTACATCCATAATGTTTATGGAAACCTTTGTAGTCTTTGACCACAGAGTAATCCCATTCACTATGTAGACATGATAGCTACTATGTGTACTTGGTTGGAATTTTGTATTTTCTTGTTAGTTCACGGGGAAGCAAGGTGCTTAACCTGCAATCTTCTGCCAGCTCTGCACTGATGTAACGGTTGGTACTTGACTTTGCTGTGCCTCTTTAATGGATATTCCACCTCTACCTCACAGGACTGGTGTGAGGCTGGTGGAATGTGCTAGTAAAACAAATTAAAGTATTCATGTAGCAGGAGCCAGAAAAGATGAGCAAAACTCTGAAAGGAATGGTTTGTGGTTTTCGCTTTTGAGTGTATGCCTTGGACCTTCATCTTCACCCACTGCCCTTGAAGACCTCTATCCCTGACACCCTCAGGAGATTCTGAGCATTTCCAGCACTTGAGGAGTATACACATTTTTTCTTTTTTGTGTGTGGGGTGGGATACTGTAGCAATCCTCAAAATGAAATGTATATTTTTGCTAGAAGTTCAAGCTCCAGGTGTTTTTAATAATATCAATAGTGTCTGACAACTTTAAATTGGAATAAATATTTAAGAAACTATTTAAGAAACTATAAGCAGTTCTTTCCTTCTGTTTCAGATTCTTCAGGTCCATCTTATCTGTTATAAAATTCATATATGCATTTCATTGGGACAGCATATTCACAATGTATTATACAAGTTTTAAATTGCACTGAAATTTTAATCTGGATGGTAAAATCATCTTTTTAAAAAGAAAATGTGTTTCTGGGTGAAAGCATTACATTGAGCCCTATCTTTAATTTGTTTCTGTCTTAATGTGATTTTGAAGGAAGCTTTTACATATCAATTAGAACTGAAGAATGTCTTGAAAAAATGGGTCTGAAAGAAGCAAGTGGGGTCTGAAAAGCAAATAGATTCATCTCTTCTTAGAGAAACTAAGACAAACAGGTAGCAAAAATTGTCTCTAACACTACGTTGAAACGCTGACTAGATATACTGCTGATTGCAAATGCCTGCTCTGTGTATACACAGTGTACCTACTTAGACTATATGTGTGAAGCAGCTGTTTCCTAGGAAAGGCTGCTTTGCAGTGGTCTTCATCTAGTAACCACAATTGTTGCCTCCTTGTATGAATATAGTCTGGGCCAGTTCCTATACACACAGTCTCAAACCAGGCTAGATGCAGAAGGGGTTTAGAGATGAAATCATTAGGGATCTGCACAAACTGGCTATCAACAGTATGCTTATTCTTAGTCCATAAGCACATATATCTACATAAATAGTCACATTCCTTATATAGATATTTAACAGGGTTTTCTCTCTAATAGAATTTGGTCTAAAACTACATTCAATTTTTCAGGGGACATATTTCTTATGAACTGTACTGAATGTGGACAGAAGGTGTTCCCCTATAGTTTTGTGAACTTTCTTTTCTCTAACTGGTTAAATCTCAAACACTGTAGGAGGTGCTCCTTCAAGAAGAAACTGCTCAAGGCTTATCTCCTGTCAGAAAGTGCTGGGTCATTATTTTTCCTAGGCTAAAGACTGGTATGACTGCTACAAGAGTCATAATATTGCCACTCACCTACTTCAAGCAAGTTGTTCAGTGTTTGACTCCTAGAAAGAAATCCTTTCATCCTGCAGCTCTGGCAGATGTGTGGTGTGGTTACTCATTGACGTGGATCACCGTCCTCTGTACCTACTCAGGCATTCAAGTTTGGGGAGCCATGCCTATATAAGACTCAAAAGAACACTGTACCACATATGCAAGTTGCTTGGCATATTCAGGCTACCATCCTGAATCCACAGAACAGCGCTGTGATTTCTTTAAAGCTCTTTCAGTGTAATTGACCAACATATGAAGGTGGTTGCTCTTCAGTTGCAAATGGATCAAAAATATAAATCTTGGGTCTTTTTTTTTTGGTTCAACAGTGAACAAAAAGTACCAGGGATTGGTTCCTAATAGGAATACTGTACAAGCTTTTATTTAAAGCACTGTAAACAACCACAGAACTCAGAATTTATTTAGGACATTGGTGTTCAAAGAATCCTGCAACAACTCTGTGATGTCAGTATTATTATTTCCATGTTGCAGATGGGGCAAGGCCAAGGGTGAGAGGGTGTAGCTTGCCTGTGTACAGCCAGTGAACTGCTGTAGCAAGATGGCTAAGTGCCTGAAATACAGCAACAAATCCCTAGTTCAAGTCTTGTCTGTCCTATGAATCCACTGAATAGCCTTTGCAAGCCAACTCTCTTCTAGTCTTACCCAACTCCCACAATCCCCAATACTAAGATAACCCACTAAAATCCCAGAGCTGTAAGAGTTACAAGATGATGATGGGAGTGAATCACTTTGAATACTAAAACATCAGGTGCTAAATACTGTTACAAATGTAAATTTGAACTGGAACTTTCTAATTCATATCTTTAGCCACAAACTAACTACAGATTTTAAATTTCAGACATTATTAAAAAATGCAGATAAACAGCATGAATGAAACCTTTTATATAAAAATGCAGTTCATTCTGTCACATTCAAGCCATTGCCATATTCAATTCACTTGTAGCTTCTGAAACAATATTTTAAAATATTCCAGAATTTTATAAAAGAAACTGAGTTGCCTGCCTGCTTGCAAACACTCTGACATGATTAATGCAAATCCACCATGGTGCACTTGCAGCACATGCTGGTACATGGCAAGCAGCTTTTGGACATTCAGCTGTGTCTACAACTAGGGCCATTGTCTGATTCTGGTGAGAGTGGCACGATGGCATAGTTAATGAACCGCCCAGAACTCATAGTCTGTTTTAGGCATGTGAAAGGTTTGTTAACCATGCAATAACCTGAATGGCTACCTGGACATGCTGCAGAACACCGTAGTTTGAATAAATGAGCTACAGTTAATGCAGGCAAGCATTTTAAATATTCAAGCTACCCTGGGATGTTGTGTTGTCTGCACCTGACAAGGGTGGGTTGTTGTTGGGCTGTTAAGCCATGGTGAACTGCTTGATTGTATAAGCTAGCCATTTTCCACAACTGCAGCACCATTTCAAGATGCAGTGTTGGATTAATACTGCATCTCCAACTGGAATTGCTTCCACAGTATTTCCAAAGCTGATTTTTTAAAAATCCAGGGTGTGCCTAGTGTAGAAGTAACAGCACTGAACTTAGCCAACCCAAGTTCTCACATGGGCATGAAGCTCACTGTTTGACTTTGGGCCAGTCACTGAGACTCAGTCTACCTGTTATCATAGGATTTCTGTTAGCATAAAATGGATAGGAGGATAATACAGGTTGCCTTGGGCTCCTTGGAGGAAAAGGTGGTCTGTAACTGGAATGTCAGAAGCTTAAATGGAAAACAAAGCTGAATACCATTGCAAAGGGAGATCTGTTCTGGCTGTTATGGAACAAACACAAAAGGAGTCTCGTGGTACCTTAATAACAGATTTATTGCAGTATAACCTTTACTGGACTACAGAGCACTCTGCCAGAGGCATTAAGGTGTTATCTTCAGTTGGATGGACATATACTTCCCTGAGAGAGAATGTAAACAGTGGGGCCATAAGGCCATAAAATGCAAAAGGTTTCATCTGTGACATCCCCATGGAAAGTTCAAATATACTCAAGATAATTACAGCAACTCTCCCTTTCCCTGCCCCCAAAAGTGAAGTTAGGGAAACTGTTGCCATAAGTTAAACTGCTTTTCTTGCATATTTTCCAGCTCTTCACAGAAAATAGGCTGCAGACTGCAAAATCTTGTGGCACAATCACATTAAAGAGCTACTTGTTTCAAATTTTTAATATTTGTTTTATACTTGGTTTGCCCTTCTTTAAAGCTCCAGTCTATTAGGAATTTTTGAGTCTCACTAATCATCTTTTTGCAACCTTCAACCTGGCTAGGCTCTGCTCTCCTTTCCACCAACCTTGGAAAGGCGATAAGGAGAAGAAAAAGAATGTTAATAGAATTTGGTTTTAGTAGGATAGACCAATTTTTGCTTCTCCCTTTCAGCTTTTCTATAGCATCCTGATGTGAATTGGACCTTGATCTTAAGAAAGCCAATCTGCAGCCCTTTGATCAAAGATTTTGTTGATTTATTTAGAATTATATCCCACCTTGCTGGTAAATTGTCCAGAATGAATATTAGTTTAATTTAAAAGTTCATGATCAGTATTTTCTTTATTTAAAGGTAAAGGTTTCCCTTTGACATTAAAGTCCAGTCATGTCTGACCCTAGGGGGCTGTGCTCATCTCCATTTCCTAGCTGAGGGAGCCAGCATTTGTCCGTAGACATTCTCCATGGTCATGCGGCCAGCATGACTAAACACCAAAGTGCATGGAACGCTGTTTACCTTCCCATCAAAGTGGTACCTTTTTATCTACTTGCATTTGTATGCTTTCGAACTGCAAGGGATGGAGCATGGGACTGTATGCTGGAACGGAGCAACGGGAACTCACCCTGTTGTGCAGATTCTAACTGGCGACCTTTCAACCAACCAGCCCAGCAGTACAGCAGTTTAAGCCACTGCACCAGCTGCATCCCTAATTTTTTTATTAGGACCAACCAAATACGCACATAGCAGTGGTCAGGCATTCAAGCTCTTCAGATTACTTCAACATGCAAGATGCTACAATAAACTTTGGGTAGAAGTTAGTTGACTTTATTGTTGAGGTCATGTGGTCTGTTGCGTGAAGGTCTCAGGGTGGAATGGAGGAAGAATTATAAACTTAACTGGATTAGTTTCTATGAAAAATCATGTAGGTTTCAGGTTACTAGAAGGTGTCTTCCAGATTATGAGTGATATTAGCAAGGAGAGCCATAAAATATGTGAGGTGACCTTTCCACTGGAAAGTTTGCAGAAGTTACCAATTCCTTGCCAGGACCCTGGTGAACTTTTCCAGCTGATTGTTAAGTGCTGGGTGTGTGAATTCATCTAGCTGGTTGGCCAGGTCATGCTGTCATATTCCTCATGAATTCAGATAGCTGTTTTGCCTTGCCTGTCCTATGACAACCAGAAGAGCATCAGAAAGATGTAACCAGAGCCTGATAAATCAGGTCACTCTGAAAGATGAGACACATGAGAACAAGTCCATAACTGCTCTCCATTTACTGAGATGCATTTCTATCCCAAGTAAAAGATGGCCTTGAGTGGCTGCCTGGATGCCTCCATCAATTCAAGTTTCAGCAACACTGGTACCTTTATCCAGCCAGCACTGAGAGAATCCATGTGACCCTAAACTTTGATAGACTTGTTCAAGTACTGACTCTGTCACCTTCACAAGCCAGCCATTCCATTGGGATAATGCTGATGGCAGTCCTGAATTAGCTATACAACTTTTACATAAGACATCTCACAAGGTGTTTTAACATACAGAGAGCTTGTTTCACATTTTTGTTAAAAAGTTTGGCTGATGATCTGCCATGCACATTGGGTGTAGGCTGCAGAGCTGTGGGTAAGAAGGGAAATAGGGTTCTTCCACTGCCTCCCCTGTGAGACCAGCTGCCTCTAGCCCTTTCTAGTGGCAGCCACTCCCACAGGCCACCCGGATTGTTTCCATCCCAGCTGGTCATTCTAAGAAATGTAACTTGAGTGTGCTTTTCCCTCTCCATCCCTTATTCTTTGAGTGCCATGTCTTAAATTTAGATTGTAAGCCTGGAGGCAGGAATGATTATTTTACTTATCTTTGTAAGCTGCTCTTGGAAGCCTTTTTGACTAAGGGCAGAGTATAATTTCTATAAATAAAATGCAATCTTTTTTTATTTTGTGCGGCTGATTGAAGCCAACTTACCTGAGAATATAACCTACTGAACTCCATGGGGCTTTCTTCTGAGAAAGCATGCAAAAGATTGCACTTTAGCAATCTCAGTGTAACCAAATTGTTATGGGTATTTTTAAAGGAAGGCATACCGGGGCACATGCCCTGAAACTTTCGAGGGAATCAAAAGGGTTAAATCTCTCCAAAATACTTGGAGGTTCTGCAAAAATCCAATTAATAGATGGTCAAGTAGAAGGTCTACTGCCAATCAGGAAAGGTAGCACCAACTTTAAAAGGTCACTTTTGCTGTAAACAAGTATTATCAAGGAACCCATAGGCGGGTGGGGAAGGGGAGGCTTTCTTAAAAAATAGAACTCTTGCCCAGATGAGCAGACCAAACACACAAACTTGCAGAAAAGAAATGCAAGAACACAAGAAGTGATACAAAAAGCATTTGCAAGAGCACATACTAATAACATCAAGGCCATATTTTTGAAATATATCAGAAATGAAACCAGCTAGGGAAGCGATTGAACCTTTGGTGGCAAGAAAAAGGAACACTAAAAGAGGATAAGATGGCAGTGGAGAAAGTGAATGAATTATTTTCATCTGTCTTCACTGCAGAAGAGATAGCACATATGTATCTATGTCTGAACTGATGTTTTTAAGAAGGCATCCGAGGAAATGAGGCAGATAGCGACAATAAGAGATAAAGTTCTCAACCTTATTAACAAATTGAAAGCTAGCAAGTCATCACATCCTGGATCCATTCTACAGAGTAAAAAACCTCAGTGTGGAATTGTTGATTGCGTAACAGAATTATGTAACAGTCTGTAAGACCAGCTTGTGTGCAAGATGGCTGGTGAATGGCTAATTTAAATTTTTTTAGCTGGTTAGCTCAATATCTGGTAATTGGTGGAAATCCTTATTCAAGATAATAATGTGCATATAGAAGTTCTGCTGAAAAAGAACGTGGCTTCTGAAAAGGTTATGTCCTGTCATACTAACATTTTAAAGTTTTTTGACTGTATCAAACATTGGAAGGAAGGTGATTTGGTAGTCATTGTTTAGTTGGACTTGCAAGACTTTTGACAAATTTGGCAATTACAAATGTACTCTGGGCAGATTACAACCAATTAAAAATTAAAATAATTTATCTTTCTAATGTTGTATTTTTAATCTCTTAGCTGTCAAAAAGGCATGGAAAATCCATTTACTGATCTTACATTAGATTCCATGAGATGGGTGGGTCAAAAAGAACATGTGTATTCTTAAATATTAAAGAGCTTTCCATCAGAGAATTTATCCAGATTACCTCCTCTCCAATGGAAGCTGCCATTTAGCATTACTAAAATACATGAAGCAGAAAAACATTAGCAGCATTATCCTTCCAACACTTTGCCAATGTAATTAAACCTTATTAAAGAAAAATAGTGTGTCCTGAATTAAGTGTAACCCGAAATCCATGGTCCCACAGAAACAGATAATAAAGAAACAGGCAATATGGGTCTGTTTCAGTTCATTATTCCATTCTTGGTTGAGATGGGTACAACATATGTATTCACCATACTAAATATTTATAAACACAGTTTAACAGATCGATGCAATGTTTCAGCTTCAGTCAATACTTCCAATAACACAAAGAGGGTCTGAAACTGTAAAAGCAGCAAGACTCAGGTTCTAACAAGTGTTTCAGTTGCAGCCTTAGCTGACAATTTATATTTAGCCAGCAAAGCAGAGAATGGCGAAAAGTTATCGGTGCCAACGAACTGTTCCCATAAAAATCATACTGTCTGTCCTGGTCGGCCAAACAAATGTTTTCTTGTCGAAATTCCCCACATTTGAAAATATATTGAGCTACAATTGCCCTAAAAGTTTATCCACAGCATCCCAGCTGTCACAATTGGAGGGAGGGCGTATTATCAACTTTAGTATAGCAAAGATCCAATAAGTAGCTACTAACACTCCTGCAGAAGACACCTTACGCAGTTTAAACCAAGGAAAAGTTCTTGAGTCCAGTCCGACACGGATACCGAATTACGCAATTTCCCAGTAAAGTAGGAGGCCACGCCTTTGACTAGCCTAATATAAGCCGCCGGATGTGCCAGTCTTCCCTTAGCCAATGGGCTCCTCCATCCTAAACCACGCCCCTACCATAAGTATTTCTGCAGGGGCGGACGGTTAAATTTATTTGAAAGTTTCTGCGTCTGGCTGCATGGGCGATGGAGCCCTGGAGGTCTGTAGTAGGAGGTCCTCGCCAGGCCGGCAAGGGGCCTGGATCCAGCAGAATCCCGTGCAGGTATGAAGGTGTAATACAGGGGAGAAGAGACCGCCCGACCCTCCATATTCACAGCCGCCCTATTTCTTAACCTTTTTGCGCATGCCGTTTGGAAGGGTTGCATCAGATCCACGTGCGCTCCGATGGTCTTTCTACTTGAAAACGGGAATTCTCGGCCGGTCGGTCGGTGGGCTGGCTGGACTGAATGACTTAAGTACTCTGCTGGGGCAGAGAGACGGAACTCTCTGAAAATAATTCAGGGGCATGGTGTTGTTTGGCCCTAGAGCGGAATCATTCCTTTCCAGTTGCGGGCAAAGTTCTGTGGCCTCACCTTATGCGTTAGCTTTCGCCAAGCTTATACCCTCCAGGTGTTGAACTACAAATCCCAGCATTCCCTGCCTAGCACGCTGGAAGTTGTAGTCAGTATATTCGGAGGGCACCAGCTTTGGAGAAGCTCCTGGTTTACGGGAACGCATCCCGCCAAGAACTGTTGTTGATCTGGGCTCCCGCAGTCCCAGTGGAAACACAGAATGGCAGGTTTGAGTTTACTTAAAATTGTGGCACTCGCATCCAAGCTGTGGTTGTGAGAAGGTGGGCTGGTTTGCAGTCGACTGCGAGGCGCGACGTTGGCCAAAACAAAGCCGTGCACGGAAGGGAACGCCCCTGCTTGTCTGGATACAAACTTTGGAGAGGGCCTCTTCCTCTTCGCCATACGTCTTACGTGTGCTTTTATGGGACAGGGTGGGGGAGTCCCACAGTTAATATCGTACAGATACTGGTCTCATTTCCACTGGCACGTTTTCAAGGGGGTAAAAACGCAAAGGCAGCCGTATTTGCCCGAAGACAAATTCCTGAAGTCGTATACTTCTAAAGCCAACTTAAGAGATCGCAAAAAAGTATTCGCAGAGCTTGCGGGAGGTGCTGATCGAGTCACTTTCCAGTGTTGGTGTCCTTCCAGTAATGGGGACTTGAGAACTAATGAATATTTCTGTTAAATTACTTTATGGTGCAATCTTACGTTTGTTCAGACTGAAAAATACAACTTTTTGTGGAACCTATTTCTCTTTAAACATACATAGTTTTGTGCCCTATTTAAAATATTGTAAATAATTATTTAAATTGGACTATCCTTCAGTATTAAATCATGGGGTGGTGTACAATTTCATTAAAACAATTTAAAAAAGAAAAAAATACACAGATTCCCTAAACTAGGCATTAAAGTAAGCCAATGCCTAGGTAAACAGACTTAGGATGCAATCTGTTTATCCAAGCAAAAAAGGGCACACAGTTCCCAGCGTTCCCCCAGTCAGCATGTGAGTTATGGGATTTTTTTTTTTGTCTAAATAGATATGGGATTATGCCCTTAAGGAACTCTTACAATTGACTTTTATTGTGTAAAGAGTGCTCGCTCTCATATAGAATGTTTGAGGGCCCAGATGATGTAATTTAAATCTCTTCTAATATTTTCTACTTGTAAGCCTTTTATGTTTTTTTCACTGCTGCATTTGTCTTTTTTTCTTACTGAGAAAAAAATCAAGGAAGGAAAAACTAAAGGGGATATAGTGTATTTTGTTCGGTATGCCTAGGACCCTTCCATTTGGAAGTCCCGAGAGTCTGGACTAGCACTCAGACAACCTCACTTCATAGAGCAGGGTCTGAAAGTTGCTGGCTTCACCAACCACAGATCTGTTTGGTTTCCAAATAATACTGATTGACTAGTTTTTAAGAAGAAATTAGCTTTAAAAGGTAAGGGAAATATACCTACCCTTTGTAGAGCTACATGTGTTTAACAACTGCATAGTGGTGGTTAATGAAATGAGGATTTACCAAATGTGAATCGTAATTTAATTTTTTGAATTAGTATTACAGTATTCAAATCACCAATTTCCATTTACATATTCTCTTTCAGATTAATCAGAAATAAAATCCAGTGAAGGTATAGCACACAGTATATTAAGTCCTCCTGTAGCTGGATATATAGTTAAGATTAGCAGGGTTTACACATTCCTTTTTTAGAGCTGGAATATACTGGAACTGGCAGCCATTTCCCTAAGAAATTGTCCTTGAAGTTAGGATCCAAAGCTCCCTAATTGTTAAACCAGCACATTTCTTCTACAGAATAAAGTTTTCTTCAAAAGTTATAACCCAAAGCCTAACAAGGGGAAGGGCTTTCTTTTTATATGGAACACTTACATTCACTGCTGTTGAATTTGTCATCTTTTAAGATGGTCCTCTTCTCTCAGGCCTTTAAGAATATACTTGGCCAGTTAGGGGCTTGAGGATGTATTCTGCAGAGCCTTTGTTTTGTTTGTTTGTTTTTGCTATTGGCTGTAAACTGCCCAGAAAATTTAATCTGTGAGGCGGTATAGAAATCAAATAACTGAGGAAAATTTCAAGAAAGAACTTTGTGTATAATTTCTTAAACATAGTCAAATCTTCCCTTAACTGATAATATCTTGAAAACATCCATCATGAAGGCAGTTCATCCATCATGAAGCCAAATTAACAATTTGGCCACTATTAATAGAAGGCCTCATAATTCACACTGTGTGCTGGGACTCCTCTCTCTGTAAAGAACCCTGTCAGTGGGTTCAAGGTATCAAACATTTCATTTAAATGGGCTTTAATAATTACTGCTCAGTTAATATGTGCTCCTGCTGCTCATGTTTTTCCTACTTAAACCTTCACCATGAGCCCAACTGTGAGCTGAAGTACCGCTCCTCTGCCTACCCATGAAGAGAAGCCCTGCAGCTAGACTTGGATGTAATTTTATCATAATGCTGTTGAAGGCATGTAAAACTCTGTCCTACTTGTGCCCTTTCACTGCATTTCCTCCTCCTTTTTTCCCCACCCATCTACCTTTTCCATTACTGGTGAAATTGACATGGTGGTTAGTTTCACATAATGACATACAAGAGGATATGAAGAGCCCTGCAGGGTCAAACCAAAGGTCTTTCTTTCCAGCATTCTCTTCCCACAGGGCCAACCAGATGCTTGTGGGATGCCCACAGTAGCACCCTCTACTTGTGTTCCCCAGCAATTGGTGTATGCAGGCACAGTACTTCTGATATGAGAGGCAACATATAGTCATCATCATGGTTAGTAGTTACTGATAGCCATATACCCTATGAATTTGTCTCCATGATTTCACCAATTACTTGTCAGTGGTTTAAGTTGAAATGGATAACATGTTCCCCAGTTTTGTTCACTTCACTGGAGACCAGAGAAGTTGCGGGGGCCAGTGGAGGAAAGAGCTATTCTGTAGATGGTCATGGAAAAATAGAAGGAATTTGGCAAGAGCGCTGCCCTATCTATTACTTACAGCCTCACTTACCTGAACTGGTGCTTTGACTGGATAATGAGCTGGAAAAGGGCCAGTAAACTGAGCCTCAGTCAAGGTAGGATGAAGGTTCTGTTAGATGGCTCAGCTGTCAAGTTAAGTGGCAATCAGTTTCCTCTGAATGGGGTTGCACTGCTCCTCCAGATCCAGCTTTATCACTTGAGGTCCAAAGGGCATGCGGTCCTTCTTATCAGCTTTGGCTGATAGAGCAGAGATGGCGCTTCCTTGACAGAGAGAATCTGGCTGTAGTTACCCACAGGCTGATTCTTGCTGCCTGGCTTATTTCACAAGATTATATGTGGCACTATCTCTGAAGTTGGGCTGGAAACATAAATTAGTGCAGAAAAGAGCAGGAAGATTGCTTATTGGGAATGGTCATTTTTAACTTACTACTATTCAACTGCATGTCACCAGTAAGTTTCTGGGCCTGATTCAAGAAGCTGTTGCTGACCTTGAAAGCCCTCAATGACTTAAGATTAATCTGCCTGAAAGAATGCTCCAAGGTTCCTGCCAGATAGTTAACATTATCTTCAGAGGCATCTTTCTAGGTACTACCACCCATAATGATTTGATTGTTGGTTACCAGAAAGGAAAGGACCTTCTCTTTAGTGGCCCCCATCTGCTGAAAACCCTACCTAGGGATATCTGTCTGATGTCTTAAATCAAGATCTTCCTCTGTAAGCATGTATCTAATCTTTTAATTGTTTGATTCTCAACTTTTCTGATGGCTCAATGTTTTAAAAATATGTTTTAAAAACATACTGGTTTCTGCAAGGGGAGGTCTTGTCTTGCCAACCCACTGGAGTGTCAGTAAGTACGTAGACAGGTCAATCCAGTAGATACTGTTTACTGGAACTTCCAAAAGGATTTTGACAAAATCCCTCATCAAGTCTGAGCAAACTCTGAGCAAGTCACAGAATAAAAGTGAGGGGTGGGGGAGATCCTCTTATGGATCACTAACTGGTTAAAGAACAGCAGACAGAGGGTGGGAATAAACAGGAATTTCTCCCAATGGAGAGATATCAGTAGAGTCCTACAGGGTTCTGTATTAGTACTAGTGCTTTTCAACCTGTTCATAAATGATTTGGAATTAGGAGTAAGTAGTGAAGTGGGCAAGTTTGCTGATAGTACTACTTGGGGCGGGGGGTTAGAACCAAAAAGGTTTGTGAGGAGTTCCAAAGGGATCTCTTCAAGCTGGGAGAATGGCAAAAGCAGTTCAATGTAAGCAAATGTAGAGTACTGCATGTTAGGGCAAACAATTCCAAATTCAAGTGTGCACTGATGGGATCTGAAGTGGTGGTGACTGAGCAAGAAAGCAATCTTGGGGTAGTGATAGCACAATGAAAACATTGGCCCAGTATGCAGCTGCAGTGAAGAAGGCAAACTCCATGCTAGGCATAATTAGGAATAGAACAGAAAATAGAACTGTCAGAATCTTACTTTTCTTATACAAATCTTTGGTGTGACTGCACTTGGAATCTATGTTGAGTTCTGGCTGCTTTACCTGAAAAAGGGTATTATCCAGTTGGAAAAACTGCAGAGACTGGCAACAAAAATGGTCAAGGAACTGGATTAGCTCACAGCCACTTCTGAGGAACAGTTCTGACAACTGAGACTGTTCAGCTAAGAAAAAGGCAAATAAGGGAAGACAGGATAGAGGTGTCTAAAATAATGCACAGTATGGGGAAAATAAAGGAAACATTTTTATTCCTCTCCCATAACACTCAAACCTAGAGTCATCCCATCAAGCTTATTAGTGGAAGGTTTAGGACAAATAAAAGGAAGAACTACTTTATACAGTCATTAAACTATGGAATTTACTGCCACAGGAAGTGGTGATGTCTGTCAATCTGGATGGCTATAAAAAGGGAGTGGATAGAGCCATGAGGGAGGAAACCATCAGTGGCTACTAGCCTTGCTGACTATGTTTTGCCTCTTACCACAGGTGGCATGCTTGCATACACCAGTTGTGAGGAGCTTGGGCAGGTGGAGATCTTGCACCCATCCTGCTTGAGGGATTCTGTGCACAGCTGGTTTGCCACTGTGTGTATGGAGTGCTGAACTAGATGATCCAACCTGACTTTTCCTATGTTTAATATCATATGTTGATACTTTAATTGTTCAGTTGTTACTCTGTTGAAAAACCGTAAGTGTAGATTAAAAATGTATTCCATTTACAGCTGACAAAGACTACTTACGTACCTTTCCTGTAATGCCACCAGTCTGTTAAAACACAGCTGTATTTCTGGCTGGGACATGTAGGCCTGGAAGTTGTAGACCTTTTTTCTGTGTGAGACTGGACCCTTCAGACTGTGAAATCCAACATCAAGCTGCAGGACTATTGAAGAATGATAGGCAGACTGTGTATTACTATGAATTCTCATTTCTTCTCCATTGCTTCTCCTACTGGTAAATATATGTGTTCTATACATGTGGGCCTATTTTCTCCTTTAAGAGGATCTTCAAAATCCAGCTGCTTTTTTATTCACTTCAGATCCCATGTTCCACCTCCACCATTGCCCTAGAGTTAATTATCAGCATTCTTAGAACATAGGAAGCAGCATAGCTGGCTGAGGCATGCTGGGAACATTAGACTATTTTTTCTGTCTAAACTTGCATAGGATATGCATAGGTAATGCACATGGGGTCTGCTTTGATCTCTGGAACTTAACCATTTTGCTGCTTGTCTGCTTTTGCAGGCTGTTCTACCAATGTAGCAGTGCACTGAAGTGATGTCTTTTCACCTTTTGAACTTTGTCCAGAATCTGTATCTCATTAGCTCTCTAGTTCTCCTAAGCTGCTTTTCTACCTATGGGTTATTTTTTTTTTTTTTTTGGATAAATATTTATTATTTTATTTTGTTTAAAACATTTCTATGCCGCCCCATTTGCCGAAGCCTCGGAGCGGCTCACAACATAAAATTAAAATATAATACATTCAAAATATAAAACAAATTAACAATATAAAATAAGTCACCCTGGCCAGATAAAATAAGCACATAATATTAACAATTAAAATGACGTTTAAATAAAAAGGTCTTCGCCTGGCGCCGAAAAACAAACAACGGCGCCAGGCAGACCTCTCTGGGGAGCGCATTCCATAGATTGGGCGCCACCGCAGAGAAAGCCCTCCTCCGAGTACCTACCCTCCTAATTTCTTTCACGGAGGGTTCCCAGAGAAGGGCCTCTCCCACAGATCTCAAGGGGCGGGTGGGCGTATATGGATGTAAGCGCTCCTTCAGGTAACCAGGACCCAAGCCGTTTAGGGCTTTATAGGTCATCACCAACACCTTGAATTGGGCCTGGACTTCAATGGGAAGCCAGTGAAGCTGACGCAGAAGAGTCATGTGAACATAATGCCCAGTCCCCGTCAGCAGCCTGGCAGCTCTATTTTGAACCAATTGAAGTATCCGGAGCGTCTTCAAGGGTAGCCCCACGTAGAGCGTGTTACAGAAGTCAAGGCGGGAAGTCACCAGCGCGTGTGTCACTGTCGCCAGGCAGTCGTACTCCAGGTAGGGGCGCAGCTGATGGATCAGCTGAAGCTGAAGGAAAGCGCTCCTCGCCACTGCTGTCACCTGAGCTTCCAGTGAAAGCTCCGGGTCAAGGAGCACTCCCAGGCTGCGAACCTTGTCCCTAAGAGGGAGTGCAACCCCATTCAGGACTAGGTTCAATTCACCCTCTCCGAAGCCCGATCCACCAACCGACAGGACCTTCGTCTTGTCTGGATTGAGCTTCAGTTTATAAGGCCCTCATCCAGCCCATTACCTCAGCCAGGCACCGGTTCAGTACAGCCACTGCCTCACCTGGATTGGTGGAAAACGAGAGGTAGAGCTGGGTATCATCAACGTACTGATGATTCCGCAGCCCACACCTCCTGATGACCTCTCCCAGCGGTTTCATGTAGATGTTAAACAGCAAAGGGGACAAAATGGACCCCTGCGGTACTCCATGGCATAGCTGCCATGGTGCAGAGCCATAGTCCCCCAGCCCCACCTTCTGGAATCGGCCATTGAGATAGGAGCGGAACCACTGCAAAGCAGTGCCTCCGACCCCCAATCCTGCTAGCCTATCCAGAAGGATACCATGGTCGATGGTATCGAAAGCCGCTCCGCCCCCCCTCTCCCACCCAGGTTTCTGTTATGCAAGCCAGGTCGGCCCCCTCATCCACAATCAAGTCATGGATGAGGGAAGATTTATTGTTGACCGACCTGGCATTGAGCAACAGCACCATCAGGCCCGAGGGGCGGTTGACAAGACTACCTGGAACCCTCTGGCTGGGGTCAACCATCTGTCCCTCCTTCTTCTACGCGGACACATTAAGCCCCCACCGCTGTTACGTCCATATTGCTGATCTTCATGCCTGTGCTTGCTTTAGATAAGTTGTGTCTGTCCCTGCCTCTCCTCTTCCTTTCCTCTCATCCTCTTCAGCTTAAACTGTGACTTGGTCAGAGGTCTAAGGGGAAGTTTGTCTTCTGTTTGCTGTGAGTATGGGTCTCTACTAGCAGTTCTTTCATTTGCCCAATTAAAACACTGAGGCATCTTTTCAGAATGGCTCCAGGCTAATTGCAGAATGCTGTTGGTATCCTTAAGTATTCCACCAGTAAGTTTGGTGGGAAGCTTACTGCTTAGTTGCATCCAGTACACGTGCTAATATAGGAAGCTTCCATCCAGTTCAGTATTGTCAGCCCTTGTCTGGCAACTGCTTTCCAAGTTTTTCTGACTTACCTGGAGATGCTGGGGATTGAATTGGGCCCTCCTGCATCTAAACATGGGGTATGCCTCTGAGTGAGCACCCTCATGATGTCTGGCTGTTTCACAGACCTGCCATTCAGGCTTTGTTATTGCAAACATACAACCTCCCTAACCAACATAGTGACTCATTCTTCCTTCGGGCACGTATGTCCTGCTGCTTCTGATACCACTTTGCTCGGCTGTTTTGTATAGACTTAATATACCAATTGCCTTTCACTTAATATCTTCCTGCTTCATTTCCTAACTCCTCAAAGCAAAAAAGTGCTTTCCTGTTTACTTGCAAAGGGGTTCTGACATCAGCACTATTGCTATTTGAGACTGCACAAGCCCCTCTGCTTAAGATTAAAAATGGCACATTCCTCCCCCCCCCTTTTTTTTTGCCTCTCATCTAGCAACCAAAGATACTTCAGGGTGCTTAGGATTTATAAACAGATAACTGTCTACCTATGTTAGACTATGTATAGCACATAGCCTGCCCTGCACCCACTAAGTTACCCTCCTGCCATTAGCAGAAAGAGAGGCAGCCAGCAGTGAAGTAAGGTTCATTTTCCAGTCTGATTGGTTTCTGTACATGGAATGGAGTGGCAATGGCATCTTGGCAACTGAGTTTCACTGGTACTCTCGCCTAGTTCAGAGTAAATGTGCCCCATTTTGTGGGAAACACACATTCCTGACTTAGGCATAATAAGTTTGTGGTGGTATTTGTAATAAGGTGGATGAGATGTTGGTAGTCTGTCCTACCTGATCAACTTTTGAAAAGTACTTGCTCTCTGTTGTACTGACATTCCTTAACTGCCAATTTTCATATACTTCATTGGTGGTGTGGACAATGATGCATCGAAACCCAGTCCTGGATGGACATGTGTTTGCATTTCCTATTTATTGTACTTTCCTTACTGGGATTTTGTCATCCAAGTGTCGCAATAAGCAATGTAATTCTAATTCTTATTACACAATCTGCTTTTGCTTTGCTTTCAGGAACTTTGCTCGTGGAGCCTGTAGATGGGGTCAGAACTGCCGATTCTCTCATGATAGGAAGTCGACCCAGATCTGCAGGTATTTCCAGAATGGGTTCTGTGGATATGGAGACCGCTGCAGGTAAAGACTTTCAACATCTTCACATATTGCTAAGCACAACACCATCTCAAGGAGCATTCATTAGTACTAGCTGTCCCATTTTCAAAAGTATTATTTCAAGGAATGTTGGGATTCTGGGGAATCTAATAAACTGGCCTCTGTAAAAATACAGTATAGGAACGAAATGTGACTTGCAGGCCATATTGCCCATATATTAATTTTCTGTTTGCTAGGGTCCTGTAGAAATACTCCATATGAAGAGAATATTTACAAAATTTATAGCACCAGCAGTCTCCTGCCTTACTGCTTCTAGTTTGGCTGGATGTAGCATAAAGCTTTCATGAGGATAACTGCTTTGGACAAAGCAATAGAACACAAAACTAGGGTTTTGTGTTCAGACACGGTATATCTTGATCAGATTGCGGTTTAAATGGGACACGGACATGCCTAAGTGGATCTTTAAGTCTGGTCCAATAAGGGAACAGACCTGTAGCCCCTAGACATTCTCCAGACAATCACAGAAAAATTCAGAGCCCCAGTATTGTCTTTAGAAAAGCAATTTGAGGCCAAAGCTGGGCTCTGAATTGGGATCAATCCTCTGCTCTTGCTGCTAGTAGTGTTCCTTTTGTGCTGATTGTGGTTCCTAAGGCACACTTGTGGCTTTGGAGCTGGCTCTGGAGGAGAGGGGTGTTCCAGGGAAAGGGAGGAATGAGGCTTAATTGGAATATGAGGAATCCCAGTGGTGCCTCAGCCCTTCCTTGTAAGCGGGCGGGGGGGGGGGGAGCTCTTACAGTGCAGTTCTGTGGAAGCTGAGACAGAAAGAAATGCCTTGCATGGAATTGTACTAGGTGTTTTAGAGGGCAAGCAAAGTATGGAAGCAATACTCGCCTCTGAGCTCCTCTTATCCTCCATTGGATGCTCTGTAATCCTCTATCCTTAGAGGGTTAATGGCTTCCCCATTGGATGGTGCCTTAAAGCTATTTTTTATGTTCTGGTACAGGCAAGTGGTAGCTTATGTATGTGCTATAGTGCCAGATGTGCATTGGGCAGCAGGAATAACATGAGTGGTGTTGGAAGCAGGGTCCTGATGCTTCATTGGACTCTCCCACAGCTTCTCATGGGGCTGCAGAGCGAAAAAACTGCAGAGATTCCTAATCACTCCCTCCAAACCAAGTAGAGCTCCATTAAGCACTTCTGTATCCAGCCCATCGAGTCAGTGTTGACTTCAGATGTATGAGGGCTCCTAGACAGGACATCCTCACCAGCCTCTGCCCCCCATGAGACTGCCATCTCTGCTTCTTTATCACGGGCCACTCATTCTCTTTTGTCATTATTGTTGCTTGCTTGACAGGCAGCAGTTGGCAATGGCATCTCCTTCTCACTGCTGCTGTCGTCTGGGCCAGAGCAAGAGGCAGCGAAAAAGGAGGCGGCAAGAGAAGAGAGGAGGAGCAACTCCAGGGGGCTTGCCAGTGAGCCTCTGCTGGAGTGTAGGACCACAGCAAGTGCCCAGTCACACTTACCTTTGATGCTGGTCCTGTGGAGAAGTCTAAGGGGGCGGAGGTTGCTTATGGACATGCTGCTCCTATCACTAGAATGGGTGGGCTGTCTCTTGGGGCCCTTCCTTTCTTCATCCACCACTCTAAATAAAGGGGGAGTCTAGACATTTTTCAAGGTGAGAGCATACACCTCATTGCAGTACTGCCAATTTTCCATCTTGCAGCTACCAACACATCTCAGAAGCCCCACCCTTGACAAGGTGTGGTTCAGAGACTGCTTACCATGGATTTCGGGGAGGAACCTTGCCACTGAACCGCCGGGGCTCAGAACCTGCCATCTTGCCTGAGGCCTCAGTGAGGAGCTGGGGAGAGGCCAGGCGTGACTCTGAGCCAGCTGTCTCAAGCATGGTGCAGTTACAGTCAAACTTTGGGAGCTTGAGCATGTCATTCGAAGAGGAGGAAGATGAGGAGAAAGCTACCACGCCTTGGCATCCACCAGATTGGGCACTCACTAAAGAATTTGTCCCCAGGAAGGCTGCTTCAGGTAAGTTTCTGGTGGGGCTAAAGCACAGAGGTTAGCTGGGCTTCTGTGGCAACCTTGGTTAACAGCTCCTGGAGACAGACAATGCGTTGAGAGAATGCAGGAGAATTTACAGAATATGTGAGAAGTCAGATGCCAGCTGTACCTCAGCCTCACCAGGAGCATAAGGGCAGCACATCTTGGGATTCATCAGCTCTGGTTCTCCTGTGATCAGAGTTACAACAGATTTACTCTGGTTCTATCCCCTCACCCTGCTTGCTTCTGATTTTTGTTGTTTGGCAGCATCTGTGTTGTTTGTATGTCAAAGTAATGCTTGTTACCAAAACACATGGGGCTTCCATTTGTCAGTGTCCCATCTGAGGTGCATTTGGGGATTCTTCCCTGCTTTTCAATGAGTGGGCTGTCTTGTGGCAAGAGTATTATTTAAATAACCTGACTGAGTCTTAACTTAAAAAAACAAAAACAAAAAAAACAAAAACAAAAACAAAAAACCAAGTTGCCATGTGGTGCTCTTAAGGCTAGAGTGAAAGTACCTTTGTTTGCACAGGAGGGGATTGCCTGCCCAGTGCAACTGTTTGCTCATGCATCCAGAACCCTGTTGACAAACACCTAGCCTCTTTGGACCTGTGGGCACTGCCACAAAATAGTCTCCATGAAGGAATGGTCCCATGGGGGCCTGGCTAATCAAAAGTGAGCTACAGAGGTTGGGGAGAGAAAAATAATGAAGGTAGAGGCTGGGAGGGAGCAGGCAATAGCAAGGCAAAGGGCAGATGAAGGAAAAGAAGAAGGCTAGAGGTGGTGGGGCAGAAACAGCAATGTGAAGATGGCCAGGGGCAGGAATAGTGAAGCCCTAAAGGGGAGAAAAAGAACATTTAAGGAACCCATTAAGCAGTTTTTGAAGGGGGCAGGAAGTAGAGAGCTTTGTGAGCACTTCTGGAGTCAACAATCATTTTGGGGACCCCTGCTACATGGGATGGTGAGATCAAAAGATCTTTCTGTTGCTGTTTTTTCACAGCACTCAGTGGGTTCTATCCTGCTTAATGTGATGCTTCACTTTTAAAAAATGTATAAATAGGGCACAGCCTGTCGTTTGGGTTTTTGTACAGCACCTAGTTTAAGTATTACGGGTGAGATGGGAGCAAAATGGTGTTCTAGTGAGCTACTTCTCTTCTGGTCAGCTTCCAGATCCAATGAACAGAGACTCAACACTGCATCCCTAGTGCAAGAAGGTGCTCCTGCCAAAGAGGCTGCATCTGCTCACCTGGTCTCAGCAGAGCCAAAGGTAGGTGTGTTGTTGGAAGGACAGAGGTGACGAGGATAGTGCTGCCATTTAAAATATTAGTAGACATCTCCTATTAGGATTGTTGCTTTTCTCCTAGATGGCAGAATGACAAGCCTACTGACACTGTTGTTAGTTTCCAAGTAGACCTGGTAGTGTGCTTTAGGATAATGCAGCTAAATGCATGGTGAAATATAGGATAGAATAGCAAGACTGGTTTGGGTGAACAATGTAACTAGCCTGTCTTAAACTAGGAGTGTAGAATGTCAGGGCCAGGGTCCTCCCAAGATTCCATTGATGGCCCTGCCGCCTTTTCCCTTGCCACCAGTCATTGGGTGGTTTCCCAGCTCCTTCTAAAAGGTTGAGATACCTTTTTAGGATTCACTAATGGCAATAAGAATTTTAAGTTTAAATGTACTAGTATTTTTGACCCTGGAACGCTTCTCTTTGGAATTTGGCCTTCCTTTTAAGACGAAGGTGTTTGGATCTCCTAAGATATGCATAAATCTACTCTGGTGCCTTTGACATTTTGTCTGGGTTCAGGCAGCACAATAATCTTTACTCAAGGGCTGAGTGTGGGTGCTGTTGACACATGGGTTATTGTGCTGTCTGAACTCAGATATACTAACAAACCATAGCTTGTTAAACATGAGCAACTCACAAAGGGAACCCATGGTTTCTTGTTGCGCTGTGAACTGTGGCTTGTGTTCCATGAAATATGGTTTGTTAGTATGTGTGAATTCTGACAATGTGATAGCCCATGTTTCAACCATAAACCATGGTTCAGCACTAACCCATATTTAACATATACTTGACCCTTGGGTCTGAATTCTCATGTGGTCTGAACCAACCAACTGGGCATCCAATACTGCTGACATAAGGACCAGCCAAATAAACGCTCCGAGGAAGTACCACTCGGCCATTCTGCACATAGCCTTCCCTTCTTGGATAATGGCTCTGTGCCATTTCTTACTTTCCTTTTGCTACCACACCCACCTGGAGAATAACCTGAGGCAATTGATCTGACCCTGTGTGTAATAGCGTGTTTTCCTTCAACATTTAGATTGTTTTAGCAATCTTCTAGAGAGGGTTGAGGCATGTATTTAGGAAAACAGGTAGAACAAGTAAAGGACATTGCAATTCTTGGCAAGACATGGAAGGGGATATAGGGTGGATTCTGATACCCATAGTCTGTCTTTGGTTTGAACTGCCAATAAACTAGTTGCAAAGGCATAGAAATTCTTCCTTTTCTTTTCATAAGTTTAAGCTTTTTAATACAAGTAAATCCAAGCTGTGGGGTACATTCTGCAGCATGAAACAAGTGAAGATCTTAGGCTGCTGCACTGAAGTCTTCAGAGAAATAGATATAGTAGAGAAGGCTGCCAGAATCTGCTTTTAGAAAGTATTGATGGACTGTGGCATTTCTTTCCAGGCGGCTGGTGGTTTGGGGGCTGCAGGGGCGGCAGCTGCTGCTGCTGCTGTAGCACAGAGTGAAGATGTGGTGTGTGGAATTTGCATGGACAAAATCTCTCAGAAGGCATTACCTGAGGAGCGACTTTTTGGCATTCTTCCAAATTGCACCCATGCCTATTGCGTTGGCTGCATCCGAAAGTGGCGGAAGAGCCGGGATTTTCACAGTACGGTGATAAAGTACGCATTCCTTTGCAATTAATTGCCTCAGGCTAGTGTGAACTGCCTTAAGGGAAATCACTATTTGAAATACACAATCTCTATATTTCATCCTGCCAGGTTGTTCTTTGCCATATATAGTCCTACATAAACCAGACTATTTGCAGGGAAACCTCTAACTACCATACAGTTTCAGTTCCTGCTGCTTGGGAAGAAGATGGAAATACAAATATGAGCAAGACAGTTTTTGGGTTCTGCATTTTATCATTCTTTATTCTGATAAAGAAGCAGAGCCAAGAGCTGAGCTATGGACAAAAGAGCAGGCTTGTTCCTCCAAGGATCCCATTAAGTTTTATGGGATCAAGTAAGTGAGATGCGATGGTCAACTCGCTGGAGGAGGAACAAATGGCCTGCAAGGTAGCTGAAGTCATGAAAGTGTTCAGGAGTGAACACCTTTACTTTTTCTCATTCATGTCTGTAGTTCAGGGGGGGCCAAGCTGAGGCTGTTCAAGTTTATTTTGCAGCTCGTGGCTCGTTGCCCATGGATGTCTGCTCACCACCTGCTTCCGCCACCCTGTGAGCTCCCACTTGTGGCTCTTAAACATCTGACATTTACTGTATATGGCTCTTCCATTCAGCAAGTCTGGCCACGCCTGCAGAAGTGGTACACTGTGCTATAGAAGTGATGGGACAATATGGGAGGACTTGAGGCAAATTTAAACTGCAAGTTTTTCAGATCTTAGCTATTGACTTTAACAGCTCTACTTCAATTATTTCAAAATTTTATTTATTACAATTTTTTGTGCTGGCTCTAAAGATACAAATTTTTATCAAAGATGCTTGCAAGGAACATAAGAAATTACAAAATCCCTACAAACAAAACATATCAGGAACCTTCTCAGAGGGCAACTGGTGGTAGATGACTCTGGGCGTAGGTGAAGGAGAATGCAGCTTCAATAGGAGCAGGTGTAATTTTCCTCTTTCCTCTGGTGGTAGATGTGACCCTTCAGGGTCAGGGTAATCCAGCTGGAACAAACCCTATGGTTGTCTTTACTTCCTCATCTGTGTTTAGGTGTTGCTTTAGCTGTGGTGTTACAGAATGTTTATAAACATTCCAACTTCTCAAAGTATTAATCAAAATGAGTAGGCATACTAGGTTTGGAGACATTTTTTGGTAAGAGTGGAGGAAACAGAAAAATCATACTGGTAAAAAGTTTTCCCTACTGTTCTTTACATGTTGTATGTAAGATAAATCCCCTTCCTTTCTCACCAGCTAGTACTGCTGCATGGGAACTGTTTTCCTGGATTTTATGTGTGCTAATAGAGTCAGCCCCAGCCACATGGATGGGGCTGAGGCTAGTGATCATACCCATGACATTCTTTTCTGGACATACATCATAAGATTGTGCCATAAATAAACACTTAGACACGGATATGCATGAAAGGGACCTGTTTTGAAGACTACATGAATGCAGGGTGTCTTTTTAATGTAGACATAAAAGAGTTCCTGGAAGAAGTAAATTTACCTGAAAATTAAGTTATCTATATTTGTTACAGCCCTTTCCTAAAGGATCGTAACAAGTTGATCAAAAGTGATACTTGAAATTCCTGCCTCAACAGATAATTATCTAAAGCAATTCTGTCAAAAGAAATGAAGTGAAAATCAACAGTAGAGAGACTTGACTGGATATGGTCCACAGCGCCTGCTATTTCCAGGCAGTCTCCTATTCAAGTACTAATGAGGCCCAACCCTGCTTAGTTCCCATGATCAGATAAGATGGGGGGTGTTGAGGGTGGTATGGCCATAAGCAATTTGACATATGGAAATGATGCATAACATGAGCCAATCATGTTGATTTCTTGTTATGGGACTATCTGAAATGCCAAAGCAGTGCAGGAGAATATCTGATTCAGTGTATTAAACTTGTCAACAAGTATGTTAATTGACAATGACCCTCAGGCCTTTCAGTCAAGGGACATTGTGAGTTAAGGTGTCAAATGAAGGGTGAACTTTTGTCACATTCTCTCATGTTCCTCCCCCAGGGGCTGCCCAGAATGCAGAGTCACTTCAACCTATTTTATCCCCAACAAGTATTGGGTTTTTGATACGGAAGAGAAGGAAAAACTGATTGAGAATTTCAAGGCAAGGACTAGGTAAGTACAAGCCACTCTGCAAGCTGTCATTGGATGGCATCTAATGCTGTAAAAATAAAGAGTCATAGCAATCAACGTCCACCACCCTGGTACCCTCCAGCTGATGTAGGCATTGGCTGAAACGAGTGCAAGATCTGTGGGAAGTCCAGACCAATTATTTTATTTGTTAGTTTCATTTTTATACTACCCAGTGGCCAAAGCTCTCTGATGATAAGCTTGAAACCAGTATTTGATTGTGGCTGAATGCATCACTTGGGGCACATTCTGGTGACCTGCACACTTGTGGAATGGAAGCCTCTGATGTTGGCTTCTAAGTATCCTTCCAGGCTACTGCCAGCAGGGCAGGAGGAATGACAAAAACAAATGTCGCCTTTCCTTCCTCCCTCCCCAACTTCTCTAGATGAGCCTTGGAGCCTGTTCAGCAGAAACACTGAAGGATTGCATATTCTCTGGGATTTTCTCCAGAGTCCATGGGATCACTTTCTTAATTGTCAGAGAGCTCAATCCACACTGGCTTAATGGTTAGGAATGGAGTATCCTCTGCCCACTAATGTTTCCAGCTCTCTCTACACACCCAATCCCCTCCTGAATAACTCCAAAGTTAGTCCATTTTAGGAAACAACATAGTTTTACAAGTTTTATACAGATGTCTGCTCTCAGTTGGCTTATTGTTTACCTTAGGATTGTTTCCTTAGGATTGCAATTCCAAGTTGCAAAGAATTCTGAAAGTTGTGAGGTGTACAATGCACCTAGCTCCTTTTATGCCATAACGTCAATACCTCCCTAACCATCTCTAGTGGAAAAATTGCTATTGTAAAACAACTTAAATATTACATAGGGCTGGACATTAACTTGGCTAACTAGGATGATATTTTGGCAAAAATAGTTCCTGTGTCTGCTTCTGTTATAGTCTAATTACCTTTATTTCCCTAGCAAAATAAGATGCAAATTCTTTGTCAGGGGCAATGGTCACTGCCCCTTTAAATCAGAGTGCATCTACCTGCATGAGCTTCCTGAAGGCCAGCTCCCTGCTGCAAGACCACAACAGAGATCTGACCGGCGGAGGCGGCGACGTTTTGTAAGTAAAGCCACACTGATACCTTCAGGAAAAGTTTATTTATTTATTATTTTATTTATTTATTAAGACATTTTTATGCCACCCCATTCGCTGAAGCCTTGGGGCGGCTTACAACCTTAAGTTAAAATACAAATATATTAAGTTAAAATACAAACATTAAGTTATAACCTTAAATTAAAATGTTTGTAAAGTGCAGACGTAAAGTTAAAACACAAAAATAACAATATAAAATATAAAATAAGTCGCCCTGGCCAGATAAAATCCAATAATATTAACAATTAAAATGACGCTTAAATAAAAAGGTCTTTGCCTGGCGCCGAAAAACAAATAACGACGGCGCAAGGCGGACCTCTCTGGGGAGCGCATTCCATGGATTAGGCGCCACTGCAGAGAAAGCCCTCCTCCGAGTCCCCACCCTCCTGATTTCTTTCATGGAGGGTTCCCGGAGAAGGGCCTCCTGCAGATCTCAAGGGGCGGGCGGGCGGGCATATATGGATGTAAGCGCTCCTTCAGGTAACCAGGACCCAAGCCGTTTAGGGCTTTATAGGTCATTACCTATGAAGGAGCGCTTACGTCCATATATGCCCAGCCGCCCCTTGAGATCAGCAGGAGAGGCCCTCCTCCGGGAGCCCTCAGTGAAGGAAATTAGGAGGGTGGCTACTCGGAGGAGGGCTTTCTCAGCGGTGGCGCCTAAGTTATGGAATGCGCTCCCCAGAGAGGTCCGCCTGGCGCCGTCGTTATTTGTTTTTCGGCGCCAGGCGAAGACCTTTTTATTTATGCAGCATTTTAAATGTTAATATTATTGAATTTTATTCAGCCAGGGCGGCTTATTTTATTTTACTGTATATATTTTAATTGTCATTGTTTTAATGTATTTTGTATTCGATGTTGTAAGCCGCCCCGAGGCCTTGGCAAGGGGCGGCATAGTAATGTTTTAATAAATAAATAAAAAAAATAAAATAAATTACCAACACCTTGAATTGGGCCTGGACTTCAATGGGAAGCCAGTGAAGCTGACGGAGAACTGGAGTCATGTGAACATAACGCCCAGTCCCCGTCAGCAGCCTGGCAGCCCTATTTTGAATCAATTGAAGTATCCGGACTGTCTTCAAGGGTAGCCCCACGTAGAGCGCGTTACAGAAGTCAAGGCGGGAAGTCACCAGCGCGTGTGTCACTGTCACCAGGCAGTCGTACTCCAGGCAGGGGCGCAGCTGATGGATCAGCCGAAGCTGAAGGAAGGCGCTCCTCACCACCGCTGTCACCTGAGCTTCCAATGAAAGCTCTGGGTCAAGGAGCACTCCCAGGCTGCGGACCTTGTCCCTAAGAGGGAGTGCAACCCCATTCAGGACTAGGTTCAATTCACCCTCTCCGAAGCCCGATCCGCCAACCAACAGGACCTCTGTCTTGTCTGGATTGAGCTTCAGTTTATTGGCCCTCATCCAGCCCATTACCTCGGCCAGGCACCAGTTCAGTACAGCCACTGCCTCACCTGGATTGGTGGAAAACGAGAGGTAGAGCTGGGTATCATCAGCGTACTGATGGTTCTGCAGCCGACACCTCCTGATGACCTCTCCCAGCGGTTTCATGTAGATGTTGAACAGCAAAGGGGACAAAATGGACCCCTGCGGTACTCCATGGCATAGCTGCCATGGTGCAGAGCCATAGTCCCCCAGCACCACCTTCTGGAATCGGCCGTTGAGATAGGAGCGGAACCACTGCAAAGCAGTGCCTCCGACCCCCAGTCCCGCTAGCCTATCCAGAAGGATACCATGGTCGATGGTATCGAAAGCCGCTGAGAGGTCCAGAACCAACAGGGACGTACTCCCCCTGTCCTTCTCCCTGCACAGGTCATTGTACAGGGCGACCAAGGCAGATTCAGTACCGTACCCGGGTCTGAAGCCGGACTGAAATGGGTCCAGATAATCAGTTTCATCCAAGAGTGCTTGGAGTTGTCCCGCCACCACCCGCTCCAACACCTTGCCCAGAAACGGGATGTTGGCCACTGGTCTATAGTCAGTGGCCATCTCTGGATCCAGTGACGCCTTCTTCAGGACCGGTCAGACTACCGCCTCCTTTAAAGGGGCAGGCACCCGACCCTCCCTCAGAGAAGTGTTAACCACTTCCAAGATCCAGATCCCAATCCCGTGCTTGGAATTATTTATTAACCAAGACGGGCAAGGGTCCAATAGGCAAGTGGTGGGACGTACTTATCCAAGCACTTTGTCCACATCATCGAGCCATAGTAACTGAAATTCATCCAATAATTCTGGACCAGACGGTAGCATTGGTGTCTCCCCAAAAACCTCTGATTCACTAGTGGTGTCCAGCTCGTGACGAATCTGAGCGATTTTCTCCCTGAAATGCCTGGCAAAGTCGTCACAGCGGGCCTTTGAGGGTGGAACCAGATCTTCCTTAGGACCTGGACGAACCAAGGCCTTGCACCACTCAAAAAAGCTCCGCTGGACGGCATTGCGAGGAGGCAATGGAAGCGGGAAAAAAAACCTCTTTTTCGCCGCCCTCACCGCCACAGCATAGGCCCGATAGTGGGCTCTCAAGTGTGTTTAGTCAGATTCATCCCGTGATTTCCTCCACCTACGCTCTAGCTGTCTCCCAACCTGCTTCATCGCCCTCAATTCAGGTGTATACCAAGGGGAAGAGCGGGCTCTGCCCGGTGGGAGAGGATGCTTAGGAGCGATTGTGTCCACAGCCCTGGTCATCTCCCCGTTCCACAGTTCGACCAGAGCCTCGACAGGAGCACCAGTCTTGTCAGCCGGAAACTCCCCCAGGGCCTTCAGGAATCCATCCGGATCCATCCGGCTCTGGGGGCGGACCCACACAATCGGGTCCGCACCCTTGCAGAGGGAGAGGTCGCTCTCGAGCACAAACCTCACCAGGAAGTGATCTGACCATGACAGGAGTTAAACATAAATTCCTCACCCTCAGACCACCCTCTTCCTGCCCCGTCGAGAAAACCAGGTCCAGAGTGTGTCCATGTTCATGGGTCGGGCCGGTGACATGTTGAGACAGCCCCATGGCCGTCATGGAGGCCATGAAGTCCTGAGCCGCCCCGGTCAGACCAATCTCGGCAAGTTGAGCCATTTTAAGTAGGATGCTGAGGAAGATTTAGTTGAAGTATGCTGATCTGACCTCAGTCAGAAAGGCTCCTGGAGATGCTTATGTGCAATTAGTAGGATGTCCTTCCCGGATGTCCTTCTAAGACAGTCCTGCTGTCCAGAGTTTCTGCATACCACAGTGCAACACTGAAATGCATGGTGCTGTGCATTGATACTGCTTTCTCAGGCAATTGCTTTGATAGTAGTTGAACCAACCTTAGTCATTCTTTATTCATAAAATATTTATCTTTCCTTAAGAGTGGCAAATGATTGCAGAAATAAATAGGTTTCTTCTTGTGTAGTATACATGATTCTCTTGTCTGGTTGATGCTGCCTTGGCTTTCAGTGCAAATCTGTTTTCCAGAAGACTGGTGGTATGAGTTGCAGCATGATGTTTTTCCTTGTGTCCGTGTTGCAGGTCTATAACCCATCTCCATCTGAGAGCTCAGATGAGGATGACGACGACATTTACCTCATCCAGTGGGCCCTTACCTTTGCATTGTTACAGAGAGACAGAGACTTCGACTTTTCAGATTTTCTCTGGGATTCGAGTGATTCTTCTGACTAGATGATGATGATGTCCTCTTTGGAGGCTGCATGTTACTGGCTCTGGAAATGGTCCTAATAGTGTGTTAAGCTGTGGCTTGGAAGATGGATGTGGGAGAAAGATGTCTTGACTCTTGATCAGCTTAATGGCTCTTAGCTGTCTGTCAGTATTTTGACTGGAAACCATAAGCTGGGAGAATCCTAACACACAGACTCCTTCTGTGTTGGGGGTGGCTGCCTGATCTGCAGGGCAGGGAAACCACAACTGGCACATCATATTTTATATATCACAATTGCACTGCCCTTCTCTTATCCCATGTTTACCTGGAACTTCACATTTCTTCCCTGCTGCCCTTACAGTTACTTAAATCATGGATTTCTAAACACAGGATTCCTGAATTAATCTCCCAGCTGTCCTGTCTAGAAGGGTGCCAGGGTTCTATAGTACTGTACATAGTCTCTGTGTTCTGGGCAGGCTGAGTGATCTCGTGTGTTCCTGCTGCTGCTCAGTTCAGTTCCTCAGGAAGACGGGTTTGCTGAGCAGTGTGATTATCTACAGTAGGCAGCACCTCTGTCTCGCTATTGTGTAACATTGCTGTTGGGTATATGGAGGCCTAATGTGCATAGGCTGGAGAGAGGGAATGTGGTGTGTGTAAAATCAACTGAACTTTTATTGATGCAGTGGTCCATTATTATTGGATGCTTAGAATGTGATAATTATGCCCTTATGATCAGTGAGGCCCCCTGTATGTATTTTTAATTCTGGAAGAATCTGGAAAACATGAAATAAAATGAGCTTTAAAAATGTAGTCATGTGAGGTCGCCTTTTTAACCATGATTTGTATCATGCACAATGATCACATGAATAATATGCAGACTCTTCTCATCTACCCTCTACAGTGACTTGTTTTCCTTTTTGTCACTGAAATGTGACTCCAGCCATGCAGCTGGTGAAAGAATAATACTTAACAGTGCTAGTTATCTGCCACCATCTTTGCCTGTAAAGAAGGAATCCAGGAGGGAAGCACTACACAAACATTTCTGAGCATGCAGAATTAGCGGTGAAATGCCACTGATACCAATAGATTTTTTTTCTTGTGAGTAAACAATGGTTTGAACAAAACCATGTGTTCTGTCTACTGTTCTGGTAGTATTAATTAGGACAACAGAGGATTATTTAGCCTTCAAGCAGAAGATTGAAAATAAAAGATTAGTATCCTACTTTACCTCCCCAAGGTCTTTATGGCAGCTTTTAAAGATCTTCTGTAAATGTCTTGAAGTTTAGTGCATTTCTTCTGAAGTGGTCAGTGGCTGCTGTTTTCCATCACCATCTAGATCCAGATTATGTTCTAAGGTGGGGCATGGAACTTGAAGCTCTTGAACTTGTTTCAGGAAGCATGTATATGACAGGGACAGCATAGAAAGAGCTACATAATCTGAAATATTGAAATTCCTTTGCCCATGTTACTTAATGGAACAAGAGCTCAGTCACTTTGGCTATTATTTCACTTCACATCTGAGCATTTCCCTTGTGTAAGATTACCTGCCGTCTTCACAACTCCAGACTGGGAGCTCTTAGCACTTAAAATCAAAAGACTGCAGATTTTCAGTGGTAAGGAAACAGGAGATATTGAGTAGAAGATGCTGTTATCTCTGCCCCTTGTACAATGCCAAAGCTGTGAACTGCTGACTTGTGATTTTGGTTTCCAAATATGCCCATGGGTTGGGGACCCTGAGATACATGATTGTCCTATCTGTTTTGTCTTCACAACAAGCCAGTGAGATACATGTAAGAGGCAGTGACTTGCCCAAAGTTTCCTGTGTTCCAGTCCCAACTCTACATAGGCAGCTATGTTGTGTTCTGTTGTGAAGCACAACTAGCATTTTTCTGCTCCACCCTAGAAAAACAACTGATAACCTGAAGAGTAAAACAAAACTTAATACTAAAAAAGCCAAATACAAGAAGAATTACAGCTGTCATGCACTGGGCAGTTCATGAAAAGGTAACTTCCTGGATAGGACATCATGGTAGGGGAAGCTGAAGGCAGAAGAAAAAAGAATAAATATGCAATGGATTGACTCCATAAAAGTAAGCCTTGCTTTTAGAATAGAAGAGCAAAGCTGCCAAGGACAGGATACTTTGGAGAGCATTCAGTCAAAAGGTTGCTATAAGTCGGAAACAGAAGCACATTAACAAAACTGCTAAAAAAAACACACTGCGTGTCATTTCATCTTGTAAACTTGCTTGAACACCTTCACAACAATGAGAACAAAACTTAAATTTCTTTCTGCATATCTACACATGAGAGGAGTGAGGGCAGTCTAGGGCCACATGACCAGTCCCCCAAGCCTCCAAGGATTCTGCAAAGCCTGCTTGCTTCACTCAGTCACCTATTAAAAATAGTATGTAATCCACTGATGAATTATTAAAGTTGCAATTTGGCCATGCATTGTGCCCATGAAGATGAGTGTCCAAGCCAAATTGCAACTTACTAGTCTCGCTAACTTTTTTTTTTCAGTTTTTTTGAAAAGGTGGGATATGTGGAAAGCATTCTTCGCAAAAAAGGGTTCTTGGTTTCTTAAGGAGCGGGGATCATGTGGCCCCGGGCTGCTTTCACTTTCTCAAGTCTTGATAATGCAGAGTCACTTAAAATAAAGCTGTGGCCACCGCTGCATTGTTTGCTGTGACTCAAAGGACATCTCGGTGCTCCTGCAGCCTCCCCTGAGATATTAGGGGAGAACTGGGGCAGAGGAGGAAGGGCAACGAAGAAGAGGCACGCAAGTCCTACTATGCCTGATGGTAGGTCAGGCACAGAGGAATTTTAATCGAAGTGTATGGTTAAAATTCTCAGGTTTATCGTATTGTGTGAATTCAGCCAGTGGGTTGCTATTACGAGTCAATGGCTGTGCCCAGCGCAAGCAAAGACACTCAACACAGCAAGTTCTGCCTACCTCCCACCTCATCAAACGTTCCTAACCTGGTGCTCTTCAGATGTTCTGTATTCCAAGACTTGGGAAAACTTGGTGGTGTAGCTAATGCGACTATGTTGGCAGCTGTCGGGCATATAAAGAAAAGTGCGAGGTACCGAACAAACACAAAAACCTGGATGAATCCCAGACCAGAATTTTGAAAAGGAGGAATTGTCTCTGCTGCTACGTTTCGCATGCTCGCTGATTTCTGCGGACAATTCTTACTTCTGCCTCGGGGTAGGAAGAAAAAAGAAGCAGGGACAGAAGAAACTGAGAAGCTCCCTCCGTGAACAGCAGGGCGTGCTATTCTTTAATTCCTATCTCTATAGACACCGGAGCTTGCTAGCTCCGCCGCTGGTCAGCCGCCCGACTGCCAAGCCGCTGCTTCGAAGATTCAAAGAGCGCGCAGGCGGCGGGCGGGAAGGAGAGAGCGGTTTCGTGGCTGGCGGCGGGGTGAGCGAGGGACCTGTGTCCAGGTAGGACGTTGCTTGCTCCTGGCAGCAGTAATTGCGGTGTAGTGTGCAACCTTGCCTGCTTTCGAGTTTGTGGCGACGGGGTGGGGCTTAGCTGCTGGATATTTTTTCCCCTCTCATCCTGAACGCTTTTAAAACGTTCTGCAGCAGACGGCGTGTTTCCCCCCACAGATGGTCCTAAGCAGCGATGGAATCGGGGAAAGGGGTGGGAGGCAGTGTGGTGCTTCTTTTTTCTATCAGCTGCTTGCCCACAGCTGAATAAGCCTCAGCATTTTTTTTTTTTATTTCCTTGAAACAGATCACTATTACTACATTTTCTTGACTTTTTCTAAGAATTGTGGAGAGATGAAAAGAGGAATAATCAATAGTAATATAAGGCCAGACTAAGTGAAAAATTTGGTACATTTCCACTCTGCAGTGGATGTATTTTGTATGCTTCATTTCATGTTTATTTGAATTTGTTAAACAGCACTCTCAGCATGGATAGACTCTCTGTTCCTTGGTTGCAACGATTCGATAAATCTTCTCGTCTTGTCCTCTCTGCACTGATGTCTGGTCACTGGGGGGCCTTGGCTGCCTTCCGAATCCTTCAGCGCTCCCCATCAGGGGAAGATGCAAGGCAGGGCTTTAACTGGCAGATCTTCACTGAGAATCTGTGTTCTCAAGAACCTGTGCTCAAGGGGTCAGAGAAGATCCTCACCATGTGAGTTGCTCAAATGTCTCATTTTGAAAGATTGGAATAATGTCTTGCACAGTGTCAGAATTAGTTTTGAATTTGAAAACATTTTGTGCAATATCTGTCACATGCTTCAGTGTTATTCTAGTGGGCAATGAGTGCTGGTGGGCACTTGAAAGGATTGTCTTGAAGTGTGTATGCCTTACATTTGCATCCTAGTATGTAGTTTGGGGTGTGAAAAATAGTAGTGTATGTAATAATACACTACTCTGTTTTAATAATCCTATATGCATAATTAATTATGGTTTCGGTTAAAGAATAAGTTTTTTGTTTGCTGAGAACAGTATCTGTAATACTACTGCATTTTCTTTCTTATATTAGTCAAAAACAAATTCTGGAACACACTTGTACAAATTCTGTGTCTGTGTCCTTTTATCTAGACTTGAACTGTATTGTCTTTATACAGCTAGGGGATCTTCACTGGGGCTTTGAGGATAGAACTACAATTTACAGAGGATGCAGTGCTGTTGAAAATGACATTGCCATGTTGTTGTTCTTGTTTTATCTTCTGTATTGTGATTAGAAGCATAAGCCCTATAACACAGGTTTTTGATCTATTTAATTCTAAATTAAACTTGGGTTTTATGTTATCATGTCATTGTATTTTATTTTTTTAACTTTGTCTTAGAAAGCTGGGAAAGGCTGAGGTCCAACTTTGGAAAGTTGACCAATGGTCTGGTTCCATGGCTTCATATAATATCATTTGTCATAGCATCGTACTGTTTTCTGTTGTTTCTGTGGGCCCTTCCTCTATCAGTGGCCACCACAGATATGTCACAGCAAGGCACACAACAGTGGAACATGGTGGAAAGTTGCTACATGCTTGGGAGAGAGAATATGTGATGTAGGGGTATTGGTTGTTAATAGTCTTGTATCTAATACATAATTCCTGAGTTCTGCTGCATAATGAATTATACTGCCTATATTGCTTATACACTCAGCATTATATTCTGTTCTTCAGAGTAATCTTAATCTTGCTTTCCTTCTTTTACATGGTCATTTCAGAAAACCATTACTACTGCTGCTTCCACTGTTGTGCCAAAGAAATCTCTTTTCCCTGTTGCTTACAGTACAGTCTGCTGTGCCCAAAGACTGTCTCAGCCGTCTACTTCAGGCCTCAAGACAAGATCCCAGCCCAGACCTATGGGTGCAAAGACTGAGGGATTTATTGCAAATGGGGTTGCAGGAAAAGTCTTTGGCACCTATCCTGCTATCAGACGCATGTCAGCAGCGGCTGAAAGGTCTGTGCCAGAAGGTTACGGCTCCTCATTGCAGCAAACCTAGTTTAGAAAAAAAACTAAGCTGGTATGTTAAACAGGCAGATCCCAGCTCAGTGATGGCTAGAGGTATTCCTGGCCCTGTGTCTCACATTAGGAAAAAAAAGAAACTAGCTGAGGAACCTCTGGATCCTGCAGAAGAGAGATCTAGGAAGAGGTCCCGACTGGAAGTTGAATTGGATACAGAACTTTCTGGACCACATGCAGTACTGCCAACAGTTGGTACAGCTAGTGCAGGGAATGAGATCATGATGGAAGTTTCTGGAAATGAAGATGGTTGCAGTCCAAGCAAGAATGTCTATCAAAGTTCTCCAAAGAAGGATACAGTAGAAAGGAGAGACGCAAATCAGAGCACCCAACAGGATAATAAAGCAGATGTTCCTGATCATATCAAGGTATAAACAAACTCTTATACTCTCTTCCTTGGAGAATGAACACTGCAAGCATGTAGTACACAGCTCTCTTTCCCAGTGTTATCATTCCTCTTTTATTGCCCATTAGAACTGCTGGGTCATGTTGCCAGATGTATGTTGTTGTGAGCTTTAGGGAAATGGTAGAAAGAGCCGATTGTGGTGTCAAGAAATCTTTTGTCTTAGTTTAGCTTATGGAGGTAGGCAACAGGATTGTGAAAATGTTCCATATTTTTACAGTGTCTTACAGAAATATACACATGCCTTTGACATTTCGCATTCTGTTGTGTTACAAAATGGGCTTTATTTATTTATCTGTTTGATTTATATCCTGCTTTTTTCTTGTAAAGAACTCTAAGTAGCTTACACAATATTCTTCCTCACAACCTGGAATAGAAATGGATTTAACTGGCAGTGTTAAATCAAGTGTATACTTGATGTTTACAAGGTACACAGCATCTCAGAGTCAAAAAATCATAGAATAGTAGAGTTGGAAGGTCATCGAGTCCAACTGCCTGCTATCACAGGACACTAAGTTGCACCATTCCATTCAGATGACTGTCCACACACTTTCTGAATGTGAGGGGCAGCCCAGAACTTTCCCAGGTAATAGGTTCCATTGTCAATAAATATTTAGAAGATGCAAAATATTTTTATTGTAGCACAAAAGTCAAGAGGGCAAACAATTGAAATTATCTATGATAAACGGTATGAACATAAGTTGTTGAAAACATTGAAAGCTAGGCAAGATGTGGGATGAGCATCAACAGTGTGCCTTGAGTAATATTGAGCGCACAGCCCATTGAAGTGTTATGGCTGAGGCCTTTTAAATATTGATTAGGAGTTGCATGTGATGGTTAGAGATATTCCAAAGCAGATGAGAAAGTTAGTGAAGAGAGGTTATTCAGAGCAGGGAAAGGGAAAAAGAAAGACTCTAGGAAGACTTATGAGTGACTTATTGTCTTGGAAAGTATTATCCATAATTAGATTGTTGATTAACACATACTTTGTTTAATTCTTTAACAATTGAGGGGTTTTTCCTGAATATCAGTGGGGGATGGGGACTGCATTGGAATAGTGTGTGGACCACCTGCAACTCACCTCTGCCTTCTGTTGGTCCCACTCTGTCTGATTTCTATCCTAGAAACATAATAAAGTAGACTCTATTGTTCTGAAAAGTTTCATTGTTTGACTTTTACTTATTTTTATTTTATACAACTTCTCTTCAGACAGCTTATTTCAAAGTTGTTTAAAGACTATAGCCCTGGTCTCAGATTGATTTAACTGATTTTGTTCTTGCATTTTAGGTGCATGTGCAAAAACTTAAAGAACTACTAGCAATGCAGTTTGATGTAAGTATTTCTTAGTCTGTTTCTACTTGCCCTGGCAAGTAGACTTTGGAACTTCTGATGAAGCTTCTGTGCAATTGAGGCAATTTTCTTCTGCACGCTACCATAAGCACTTAGTGAAGCTAACAAAACATTTACAGCATGGGTCCTCAGACTATGGCCCATGGGATGGATCTGGCCTGCCATGGCCATCCATCTGGCCCGCGCCTCTGTTCGCTGCCCTTGCTTGTGCTGGCTGTGTGGGTGGGGAGGTGGTGGCTTGCTTGCTTGCTTGGAGATGATTTTGGACTCCCTGGGGCATCTCTGAGCAAGTGAGCCACCGCTGTGCGCACCCAATGCTGCCTTGCGTGCGCCTGACAGCACCTCACCGGCCCTCGCCCCCAGACACCCCTACCTCACTGGCCCGACACGGTCACCGCAGCCTTTCAACTGGCCCCCTCTTCAAAAAGTTTGAGGACCCCTGATTTACAGTATTGTACTACTCCCACAAAATGTGTGTGTTTTTTGCCTTGTTCTCTGTTACCTCTGAACTTTTCTGTTTCTTTCCCTTTATTTTTAGCATTCTGATGGGACTGCCCCTCCTGAGCTACAGATTTTAAATGAATGTACTCCAAGCCAGGTTAGTAGGTGAAAGTAATATATGCAGATATGGGTGTCTTGCAGCTCAGTCCTAACTATACTTACTTGAAAGTATGTCCCCCTTAATTCAGTGGGGCTTTCTCCTATGTAAGAGCATATTCCAGACATCAAGGCCTTACTGAAACCCAAAAGCTAAGCCTGAGTCTCATTTGTAGCTGATTTGATGATATTTGGGAAATGATTACTCTTGGTAATGTTCTTTTCCTTTTCTTTTAGTTGGACCATTTGTGCTCATTACTGCAACTCTCGGAATGCCAGGAGAATGAACTTCTGCAGTTCTGCTCTTGGTTGGTGGCACTTACACCTGATCTTGGTTATAGTAATGCAGCAGTACTTGCTGGAAAGCTTTTCCTGCCTCGGGTATGTATTGAACTCAATAAGGAAGAAAACCCCTTTTTGCCAGAAATACCAATGGTGGTTGATGAGCATAAGATTAGCTTATAAATGTTAGAGTTTTATTTAAAACTGTGTGTTTTAGCCACTGTTTGTAGATAAAGTCAACAGAAGTTATAACAAAAGGAATACTACAAATTAATTGGATACTGCAATGTTAGAGATTGTTAGCAATACTATAATTATAATTTGTGCTACTGAGTTCAAGCTGTGGATGCTTGAATAATGCTCTTTATCTGATACATCTATTTCCATATTTACTTCCTGTATTGAGCAAAACAACCTGGCCTCTCTTATTCTTGGTTTAGGCTGAGCTACAGTGCCTCAGCATCTTCAAATAGTTTCTGTTATACCCATGACAGGGAATGACCCTTCAGAGTCTATTTTGTTAAAGCAGCAAGGATGCTGGCATCCATAGTCCACTTGGATACCACACAAAGCCATGCAGCTTTCTTGGGCCTCCAGATCCAGAATACAGGACACTTTTTGTCTAGACATATCCAAAGCTGTCCTCGTTTTATTAACAAAGCTCATCTCCTGGATCTGAAAGGTGTTAGGAATACCTTCCTGGCTACATGGCAGTCAGTAGATTGACTGAACTTGATTAGTCAGGATGTTTAACCCCCTGCCTAAAGATGATAAGAATGAACAAAGATTTCTGTAGCCATCTGGTCATTTTGATCTCCTCTGACTATCTGGAGTTTCTGTGCATACTGGATCCAGGTGACCCCTGTGTTGTATTTTGGCTCTAAGTGTTTAGTATAGATCAGTGGTGGCAAACGTACGGCACGGGTGCCACAGCAGGCATGCAAAGCCCTCTATGTTGGTACACGAGCCAAGTCGCCCCAGCAGCTGAGCATCGTATAACAGTGCATATAGGGGCCATGCGTATGCTCGGAAAGGAGTAGCGGCACCAGGCAATGATGTCACAAACCACAACTCATTAGCTGTGATTTGTCCGAGCTTTCGCATGGAGGGAGGGAGGGAGGGAGAGGGAGAGGGAGAGGGAGAGAGAGTTGCTTGGACTGGCTGTGAGCTGTTTTTTCTAAACTAAATCCTCAGTATTCAGGTTTTATTGCAGTGTTGGCACTTTGTGATAAATAAGTGGGTTTTGGGTTGCAGTTTGGGCACTCGGTCTCTAAAAGATTCGTCATCACTGGTATAGGTTAACAAGCTGTTACTGTTTGTCTATTAAGTACCCCTCCGCTTTCCCCTTTTAATCTCTTACTGTATTTCTTTAATAAATGTCTTTCAATTTGGACTGGAATTGAATGAGAATTGAAGTGCCTCTTCCTACTTCTATAGTCAATCTGATTCACCTACCTGTGACTGTACGAGTATACATTTGCTTTAGGGGAAAGCAAGCTATCTTGCACATGATGATGGGATAGGTAGGTGTTCATTTGTTTGCTGCCTTTCTTCAGGCATATAATTATCTTAAAGATCTGTATTTTCCTTTATGAGCAGACATAGAAGGAAAAAGAGGTGGTGGAAGCATAAACTTAGCAGTTAGACAGGCATGCAAGCAAGTGCCTGACCTTGCTGTGATTTTCATAGGTGTTACCAGAGATGTATAATAAGGCTTGATATTCAGGTTGTGGGTGATCTGTTTCAGGAGTATATGTTCTGTTACTTCTTGTCTGTAGGTTCTCTTGCTGACTGAGCCAGCCTCTTGGTCTCTCACAACTGCCCTCATGATGTTCTGCTCCAAATATTCTCGTCCAGTCTGCTGCACCTTGATTTTTTCAATTGTACAGGCTCCAGAAAAATGTGAGCTTATTAGCTTTATTAATAAGTGGGGATATATAGCATTTTATCTAATAGGAAACTTTCTGAAAGCAAACCAGTTGAGTGCTGACAAAATCAGACCCTAAAGATAGCTACTGAGAAACAAAAGAGAGGTATCTGCAATCTTGAGTGAATCTCATGATAATGCAAACAGTAAAAAAAAATGGGAGAAGCAATACAGTGAGAACTGTGTGTACTCAGTAGGTCATGGAACATTGACTGTCAGGTGGAAAAGGAAAATGGAAAATCTGGGAGAGCAGAAGAACACAAATTGGCCTGCATGAGCTTGTTACAGCTTATAGTTTCTTGAAGGAAAGTATGGCTGACTACCTGTAATGCTGAACAGCGACATTCCTGTTAAAATTTTATTTAATCTAGAGTCTGTATCTGCACTTTTGCACATTAAATGAATCAAATGATTCAACAGTAGAAAATACTCAATATAGAAATGTCAGAGAAGAATAATAGCATAAATAGAAACAAAACCTAACAAAACCAGAACAATCAAAGCAGTGTAGTACAAATAATAACAAAATCGGAACAGGGGAAAGGTCAAATTAATGCAAAATAACAGCAATTCAAAATAAAATCAGTTGATCAAATAAAAAATAATAAGATGAAATACACAAATTACTAATAGAAAAATTAAATATCTCTAGACCTTCTTAATTTCTCCTTCTATCCAGTCTAGTTCCAACACATCTTAGGATGCAGTCCTGTGCATGCTTCGATGAAAACAGGTCCTACAACTCCTGCATCCCTCCAAGGAGCCATGTATAGGTTTTGGGGATTTGGCAATACAGTACATTTTATTTTTAAAGACACAAACTACTGGCAGGTTGTGGTAGGATACATTTATAAATTAATAAATAAGCATTTTTGTCCTGTATAAATCATTACCTTTTGGTAACAATGCCCTTTTATGTCTATCCTGTGTTATCATATGCATATTTGAAATCATTTATCTTTGCTTTTTCAGGGCATGAGCAAATGAAGTTAGTGTGCAAACTAATTGAGGAGTGTTTGGAGCCTGAATATGTGAGGCTGGTACTCCGGTAAATGTTCCAAATGCGAAATGAAATGTAATATTGGAATTGTATCAGCAAGAATTTGGCTTTCAGAGTGGAGGCTAAGTAGAATCAAGATGCTCTAGAATTTACAGTTGGCACCTTGTGACATATGAAACTGTAATGCAGCCTTCTGCAACTTAGTGCTCTCCAGATAATTTGGGCTACAGCTCCCAGTACTTCTGACCATTGGCTATGCTAGCTGGGGTTGATGGGAACAGAAATTCAAAAGCACTGGAGGACACCATGTTGAGGAAGCCTACTCTAATATCGATGTAAGGTTTCTGTGCTTCTTTAAGAAGTTACAGCCCAACAGCACTATCCTGTACATGTCCCATTGGTTTAGGGGAAGCTTACTCTTAGGTAAGTGGGTCTGCAAAATTTTTGAGCTGTGGACACATTTGGTAGTTTGAGAAACCACAAAACCATAAAATGACTGCCTTAGGAAGCATAGAAAAGGACAAGTAACTTGCCCTAAAGACTAAATACAAGGCAGAAGCCCAACTTTCTAAACAACTCAATTGAATCTACAGTTTTCAGTGCCAAGAGAAACAGCAGTCCTGGGTGCCAGTAAGGTTTTTTTTAAGTGTGGAGAATAGGTTACCTTGGTAGGCACAAATAAAAGTGTCTGCTGTGCATTGCGACTCCCAGGCACCCCATTGCCTGCCTTGGGATAGAACTTACTCTTGTGTATTTGGAAGTAAGTCCCATTGAATTCAGTGGGATTTACTTCAGATTAAACACACACAGACTTGGCCTAGATATCATAAGCTATTTGCTGCATGTATTTTTCTTTCCCATACATTTTCTTCCATCACCCACAAAAAAGGGAAAAAAAATAAAAATGGTCAATTTCCTAGAAAAGTATCTTCTGTACCTTCTACAGTCTTTTACTTTGTTAGTTAGGCTGTTACCTTATGAAAGTGATCTCCCTTGATTAATGAGTTTACCTTATTAATCAATTTATAAGCATACATCTACATGCAATCACAACAGCAGCTTAGAAGAAAGTTATAGTCTTCCATTTTAGATGTAGTCTGTGTATGTCACAGAAGGTGCCAATTTTAGAAGTCTGTCCTCTGTGAAAGTTGAGTGAAAATACCTAAGGTGGTACCTGCTATCTGCATATTTATAATTAAAAATAATTTTTTAAAATGTTAGAGAAAGTTTAGAATCAATTTATTGATAAAAAGGCTGTAGCCCTAAATTTCCATGATTACTCCTACACAGAAAGGGCCTGAATTTTTTCTGTATGGATACAATGGCTGCATTTGTTCATAGCACTAAGCTAGGGCTGGGGAAGTAGGATGGGATGTGGGACTAGGGTGGATGATTCAGTGGGTAACCTGCTGGTAAAAGCCCCCACACACCAAACCTGTCCTGGCCTAAGTGTCTTTCCTATGGAGAAGGTGTGGAACATGCTAAGATGGAATCTCCGCTACCTCCAAAAGGAGAGGGGATTTCAAAAGGGCCAGACTTCAGGAGAGGCCCAAGTAGATGAGGAAGCACAACAGGACAGAGATGTCTGATCGTTGCACAAAGCCAAAAATCCTGACTTAATTAACCTAGGATATATATAAGAAGTGTGTGGATGCACCCACAATCCCCTTGCTTACCCCTTCAGATAGTAGTGAAACTAACTAGGAAGCTGTAATTAACAATAGCTTCCCATTAACATGCAAGCCATTTTGGTTTGTGTGCAATAGGATACTATGCTTAATTGCAGCTTCTAGGTTAGTTTTCCTGCTCATGCAATGTAGAGACCAAAGGAGTTATGTGTATTCATGTGCTGCTTGTACAAACACTGACTTATTTAAGCCAGGATTTTTGGTTTAGCATTACATGCAAATAATCCAGTATTAGTAGCCACTTTTGACTGTTAAACATATGCATGGCTAAGAGAATAGCTTTTTTGGCTGGCACAAAGTCTATTCCGAATAGAATTTTGCTTGTTTATTTCTTTCTTCTTTGTCTTACTTTGCAGCCATATTGTAGAAGTGCCCTGGTCAGAAAATCTCCTCACAGTTGTGCATTCTTTGCTGGGAAGACAGGTGAGTATATACATTCCATAATTTGATGGAATTTATTAGTGGGATAGCCATGGAAACTAAGTCTGTTCTCTCCCTACTGGTGTGCTAACTGGCCTTGGTAAAAGTGGAACCCATCAAGGACAGCATCTTAATATGTAGTATGAAGCTAGTTGTTATCTGAGTTCATTCAGAGTCCTGGAAGGCCATTACCTAGGCAACAATTTACTGATCCAGTGCTGCTTAATCACTACATCTTGTAATGAGACAGCCCAGGCAGCAGGAATACACAGTGATGCAGCAAAAATGTAGGGTAAATAGTTTTCTTCCTGACATCCTTTCTACTCCTGTTTTTAGGTGGAACTGTCTACTGAGCTCTTCAACATGTTGGTCCTAAATCTTTGCCAGAAGGCTCAGGAATTTGCCACATCAATGCATTTTGCAAAGCTGGTTTTGACTCTGCTGACCAAATACCAAAGCAATGTGAGTAATTACAGTAGGTGCTTTGAAGTGGAAAGAAAGATGGCAGCTTAATCTGTTGCATGCCTTCACTGATACATTCCATCTATCTGGTGAAATGAATATGCTGAAGTATATTAACATATAGAATAGTAGTTTCTCTATTTCATTATAGCATAAATTTAGATTTCCTTTTGAGACTGAAACCTTAATTATCATCAGAAGTACCAAGGAACCTCAGTTTCTGTTCATATCTGTTGCATAGCACAAGTATCTGATAATCTCAGACCTAATAATGAAATGTAAACCTCAGCATAGTTTTCCAAGGATTTGCTTTACTGTATTGTGCTCTCTGAAAATTTCAGTCATTTGTAGTTGATGCAAATTTCAGTCCCAATTTTCACTTTGTTAAATATAAAAGCTGAATCAAAAGCCTCAGGCTTAAGTGGCAGTTATATTCTCTCCCCACCAGCTTCCAGAGAATATGATATCAATTCAGGTTTATTAGCACAAAATAAATCTTTGGGGAAATCATGTTTTGTGCTTGCTTGATGCATTCAAGTAAATATATATCTTTTAGTATGCAGCTTATATTACGCTGTTTCTTAAATGACACAGTGATAAAATAGCACCATCTATTAGAACTCAGAGGTATAAATAAAAAACAGACGGAAATAGGCCTTACCCTACAGAGACTATTATCTATTAGTCTACAGCTAGATGAGTAGTGGAGAAAAATCAACCTGAGTAAATGTAATGAAGGACCATAAGTTCGCATCAGCATGACCTCTTTTGTTTGCCTCCTTAGATAACATTAGCCCACCAGCATTGTTTATGTTGTGCTCTGGACCTCAACAAAACAATTTTAAAGAAGGCTCTCCAGGTTGCATTAAAGCGAGTAAGTTCCAGTTGAAAAATAAACATGAATGTCTTCCTTGTGGTGAGGAATGCAAGATAGCAACCCTGTTTTTCAGTGCTGGTAACTACAAAACAGAATGACTAAAGACTCCTTCAGTCAAATCAAATGTGACTTACGTATCTTGAACTGTTAACTCTTTCACTTGTCTTTATGTGACTTAAACAAAAATACCAGCTAGATAACTCAAGTTTGAATACTTTCATGACTTAGATTGGATGTGTGTCGTCTTCTTGTTGTTAGTCGTGAAGTTGTGTCTGACCCATCGCGACCCCATGGACAACATTCCTCCAGGCCTTCCTGTCCTCCACCATCCCCCAGAGTCCACTTAAACCCACACCAACTGCTTCAGTGACTCCATCCAGCCACCTCATTCTCTGCCGTCCCCTTCTTCTTTTGCCATCTATCATTCCCAGCATTAGGCTCTTCTCCAGGGAGTCCTTCCTTCTCATTAGGTGGCCAAAGTATTTGAGTTTCATCTTCAGTATCTGGCCTTCTAAAGAGCAGTCAGGGTTCCTCTAGGATCAGGGTTGATCTACACTGCTGCAAGTTAAGATTACTTAAATAATGGCTTGTTTTTATGAACTGTTACATATAAACAGGGAAAGTGAACAGTCAGAAGTCATGACTTCCCTGGCATGCCATTGCCAACAGACAGATCTCATGGACCACTATAAGATGTCACTCAATTGTCACCATAAGATATTTCATCAGGAGGGGATATCATGAGATGCAGGAAGGAAGTGGGCCCGGGCACAGGGATGGGCACTATGTGGAGACAGATCAGTAGGAGGAATAGCAGACTGGACAAAAACAGAAGACTGAAATGAAAGCCAGCTACCCTCCATTTTTCAGTAGGAGTTGGGGAAGTTAGTCTGGGGAAGATTTAGGTGCTGCAGCTCACTTTATAGCATGTGCCTGGAAAGAAAAGTAGACTGAATGGGCCCAGGCTCAGTTTGGACATTGGATATGCCAGTGCAGTAACTTGGGATACACTAAGCTAATGGACATTATTTTATGAATAGCAATAAACAAGGTATTTTGCATCCATTCTAGCTCCAGCAGAGAGAAAGAAAGAGTGAATTTTTGCACAGTGCAGTATGGCAAAATCTAGATGTCTCAGTTTCAGAGCGATACATAGAGTCAATGAAATATAACTATAAAATAAGAAATAAAGTTGCACAGCACTTGTAAGAGGGTTTATTACACAGAAAGTAGCTGTTGTATCCGTTTAAAGAAAAATCTTACAATAATACATGGGAAATTCCTTCTTTGATCATCTCGTCATTTTTACTTTTAATACCATGCAGTCAAAGGAAACAGCATCTCAGTCTTGTCTGGCCCAGGCTTCAGTTTGTTAGCTCTCATCTAGTCCATTGTTGCAGCCAGAGACTAATTTAGCATATCCACAGCATCACCTACTGATGATGAAATTAGAGCTGCATATCATCATAGTAATGGCAACTCACTCCAGAACTCTGGATGACCCTACTCACTGGTACCATATAGGGTCAAATAACATGGGGAACAGAACGAACCCCTGAGGAACTCCTTGCTGGAAAAACTACAGGGTTGAACAATATTCTCCAAGCACCACTGTGTGGAGATGGCCTTCCAAGTAGGAGATGAACCATTGCAATGAAGTGTTTGCTACTTCCAACTGAGACAGGTGCCCAGAAGGACACCATGGCCATTGATATCGAAAGCTGCTGAAGGGTCCAGGAGTATCACAGAGTCACTCTCTGCTGGCATAGATTATCATACAGAGTGATCAAGGCTGTTTGCATGCCAGAGCCAGGACTGAAATTCAAATGCACTCAGACAGTCTTATCCAAGAGTGCATGGAGTTGACTGGAAATCACTTACTCAAGAACCTTGTCCAGGAAAGAAGTATTTGCTACCAACCTAAAATTATCAAGGATAAACATAACCCTACCCCTGCCCCCAGGTCTTGGTTATATATGCTATATCTGCCACCTCCTCTGTTATATAAAATTGTGGATTGAGAGATCTGCACTGATCTAGCATTTAGAGCATCTGAAGGTCTGAGGGGAAGCTGACATGGCAACCATCAAACTTGTGGGAACAAGGATTGGCACAGCCATTAGCTGCCTGGGCTACATTCCCTTTACCAGGCCAGTGTTTCTCCTAGTTCCATATCTCCCTTTACAAATCACTACACTGATTGGGTACCCCATGCTCCATTTGGCCCCATAGCCTCCCTTCCAAGCATTAGTGGGTGCAAACCAAAGGGCAAATGAAAGAGAAATAAAAAAGCACTTTCACCCACATGGCATCCCAGAGGTGAGCCCCCTTGGAGATTGCCCTCTTTGGTGGTAGCCCACCACCCACCAGTTGTTACTGTTCGCAAAGTCGTGTCCGACCCATTGCGACCCCATGGACAACATTCCTCCAGGCCTTCCTGTCCTTTACCATCCCCTAGAGTCCACCTAAGCTCATGCTGATTCCTTCAGCGACTCCATCTAGCCACCTCATTCTCTACCGTCCCCTTCTGTAGTCCTTATATACTTCAGGAGGTTGCTGGATTGCCAAGACCAGATGACTGCACTCTAGACTGATGTGGTAAAGACTGCTGGAAAAGTTGTAATGGGCAGCTTGCAGCAGTTCTTAAAGTGCAACAGTCCACTTCTCCAACACTCTCAAGCCTCCACAATAGTCTCAGGGGTCCAAGAGTTGTCCTGGCTAGGACCTTCCACATTGACTTAACCGTTCCGTTAGAACAACAACAATACAGCTCCTGGATCACAGGGAAGGGGATACTTTTGATAAATGGAAGATGGGAAGGCATTTAGCCAAAAGATGGGGCTACTTCATGGCCTTTTAGAAGACCTTTCACTCATCCTTTCAAGTTAATATCCACAGCAATATGGGATTAAATTTTACTGTAAATACTAGAAACAATTTATAGCTAAGGTTTTGGCAAAATCTCAACCACTGCTGGTAATTACTATGATTTATATAGTCCCAAACAATGTCCAGGGCACTTACAGAGTAATGTAAGCAAAAAAAGACAGATCCATGTCAGATAAATATTTAAAAACTTATCCCTTTTTCCCTTATAAATTATATGATTAGTTGAAATGTGAGATTGCAAGCTTTTATTTGACAGCTCTAGGATCTGTTTTCATTACCAAAACTGAACTATGAAGCAACAGCAATAATTAAGAAGTTTTGAACATATGGAGTCTGTGTTTCTGTCACAAGAGAATAAAGTGTTGCTCTGGGTTTGGGGAAAGCAGGTCTTCAAGATCAGATAGTGTAATTTTTGGAAAGCTTTAAGTGGACTCATGTTCTTATTGTAAATATTGAGCACTGGCAAAGTTTAAAAATATGGCCTGAACTGGATTTCTTTTGTATGTGTACTTGAGTTTTGATAGGCATTTACTTTCAAGAGCCTTCCCATCAGCCGCCTTTTAGGAGAGTCTAAATTAAGTGTCAAAACAGAATTGTTGAACATAGGCTCACTTTACAATTCATTTAATTCTTTACAAATTCCAGAGGGGCAGCATTGTTAGTCTAATACAATAAACACAAAGAAAAGTTCGACTCCTGTGGTATCTTCAAGGCTAACAATACATCTGTTAAGTCTTTTATGAATCTCGGGAGTGAGTGTGTATGTTACTGTGTTAGTTCTTGACAGCTTACTTAGATTCACAGGTCACCTTGAGTGCCTTTTTGGCAGAAAGAAGGGATAGAAATTTAATAAATAAATACATGCCTGCCTTTTTCCATAAAAATGACAAACACGGACCCCATCTTTCCTTCAACCACCTTTTATCACCACACACAACCTTTCTTCACCAGATGTATTCCACGAATTGCGGACTTTAACTCCCATCAACCCCAGCCAGCAAGGTCAGCAGTAAAGAATACTGGGGATCGTAGTCTGACCCACTTCCTGGCTCTTCTCCTAAGCGTGGCGTCTGCCGCTTTGCGTCAAAATTCTCGCGAGAAGCGGCGGTCTAGTTCTCGCGCGAGCGGAGTTTTTTTCTCCTTTCCGGTAGCTGACGAAAAGCCAAGATGAGGTACTATCTTCTTTTGCCTGGCAGTGCGGTTTCCCGCATGGCAGTGGCGGTCCTCCGTTTATGTTTCTTCCCTTGCTGTGGAACAGCGGATTGGTCTCGTAGGAAGCTGGCAGGTTGGCCTCTAATTCAGGCCTTTCTTGGGTTTAGCTGGCCTATTCCCCTGGCAGACTCCCAAATGGGACCCGGCACGTAGCTTAATCCGGGCTGGGACAGAACGAGAAAAGAGTCGAGGGGTTGTAGGCCCTCCCTGTGAGGAAGATGGTCTCGTGAAATGCGGGGCTTATTTGCTTCGCGCGCGCCCGGCAACAAAAAAAAAAATACCTTTTGCGTATGTTAGCTCTACCCACGTGCTTTCTATTTCCTGATAATCATCGCTGATCTCGCCTAGGTTAAATTCAAGAAACACTACGTGAATTACATGTAGTCCTTCGTTCTTCCCTTCCTCCGATACATCTTATTTTCTTTATATTAAAGCTGCAGCTTGACTTGCAGTGATAGGGGCTGATATCTGAAAGCACAATCTTGTATATGTTGAATCTAATGGGACTTACTCCCGGCGTCAGTGGGCAGCCCTAATCCTTTACTCTTAGTTAGTTTTTCACATTCAAAATGTTCCTTCCTCAAGCTATTTAAGAGTAGAATAGTAATAGAGTTGGAAGGGGCTTATGAGGCCCCTGCCTTTCCAGCTTAGCAAAGGTTAACTCGGTGTATCGCTATGCATGCAGCTCGGTGCTGGAAGATGGGATATAATCCTTTCTCATCCCCTGCTATCCACTGGAATTGAAGGCACTTAGAGTCTCGAGCAGTTTGCTAGATGGAAAAACTGCAGAGAAAGGGTTAAGAAATCCCCCCCACCCCAATAAGCCTAGTGAGGTCTGCTAGATGGAAAAGTTACAGAAAAAGGATTAAAGGACACCCCCGCCCAATTCTTTCCTTTCTCATTTTCTCCCTGTGGAAATTACAGCTAGATGGCTGCTTTGACAAAAAGAAAATATATGGCAACTCTAGCTAGTATAGTCAATGGTGAGGGCTGATGGGAGTTGTAGGCCAAAGCATTTGGAGGGCCACAAGTTTACTAACTTTGTTCTAGTGAATGTTCTGTGTTCTATGGAACAAATACAGGAATATTTTTAAAATTGTGTATTTGCCTGAGAGCTAAGATCTCTGTCAAAGGGATTTTTTTCATAAGAAGTGACATGCTCACATGCTATGATGTCCTCCTTAGGGGAATTTTCCTGGTTTCCTGACATACTAAGTTTTATGCTCCGGAGCAAGATTTTCCCCTTGCTCCCAAACTGACAAGGATAAAACTCCTAGGAAGTGGTCTAGGGCACAGTGGAGAAAGTGGCTTTAGATGTCTGTCTGATGACATATGGCTATATGGGAAAAGCCAACTTTAAATATTGATTAACCTGCAGTTGTTCCCACATTCCCATGGTTTTTCATGCCTGACTCATGTTAACTTTCACATGTGCTCTTCAATTCTACAGCAGCAAAGTGTCTCGTGATACTCTCTATGAAGCAGTACGGGAAGTCCTTCAGGGAAGTCAGACAAAGCCACGCAAGTACGAACTCTTTGATATCTTTCTGTCTTGTGCATGTAAGGATCCTCAAAAAAGAGAGACTTGATGCAGTACTCTGTATACCATATTTAACTCTTCCCAGTTGTTTATGTCTTGTGGCTTTCTTTTTCCACACATTTCTTCTTGGACAAGTAAAACATGTCCCTGTTTTCATAGGTTCTTGGAAACTGTGGAGTTGCAGATCAGTTTGAAAAATTATGACCCACAGAAAGACAAGCGTTTCTCTGGCACTGTCAGGTTTGGCATCTCCTTAATTCTACCTAATGTTTATCCTATAGCCTTATCTTAGTTACATATTCTGGATATACCTTATGGTAGTCATTTGGCTTTAAATATACTGCTTTCATATAGCCTGAAGTGCCTGATCCTGCCTAATATTGGAAGATAAGCAGGATCTGGCCTGGTTGAAATCTGGATGGGTGATTTAAATGTTGTGAACTTCCCAGAGAGCTTCAGCTATGAGCACTATAGAAATGTAATTTATAATAAGTTTCTATTATGTATATTCCTGAATTTTTGGATTGTTTTGATCTCCTTGTTTAAAACTGTATGTAGCTGAACAGAGTCCTTCCATTGTTATTAAAATACAAGGACTCAGTATTATGTGATGCACTTTTGTGGAATCAGTGGAGTGCTTTAGGAAGCAGATGGACAAAATCTTGCTGTGTGATTGGTAAGGATTTGTCTTGCTATAAATGCTTAGTTTTTTGTTTTGCTATGTTGCCTTCTTTTGCTCTCAGGCTCAAGTCTGCTCCACGGCCTAAATTCTCAATTTGTGTACTGGGGGATCAGCAACACTGTGATGAGGCCAAAGCAGTTGACATGCCTCATATGGACATAGAGGCTCTGAAGAAACTCAATAAGAATAAAAAACTAGTGAAAAAACTGGGTGAGTTTTAAACCCAACTGGGAATGGGTCTGGCACCAGGAAAGAAGCAACTAATTGTACACTATCTGATAAGTGAGTGTAACTAAAGCTGCAGTACTAATACCCTTGCTAGGGAGTAAACATAGAGGCCTTACTTGTGAGTAAACATACATAGGGTTGCATTGTATTAATCCTTAGTACATTTACTCAGAAGTACTGAGGTTAGGCAATTAGTTAGATTTGTTGAGGTTGCTCTTGATAGCCAAAGTTAAGCAGGTGTTGAGTAATTTTTAGTCTGTTTCTGTATGTTCTCATGTTCTAATCATATTTAGTATATATATTAAGATTTGTTCTTCCCTAAGCACTAAGGATGGGGGTGAGTTATAACCTGAAATACATAATTTCTGAATTAAAATTCTTAAATTGCAGGGAGATGTGGCTTCTCTTCAGGTTAAGTAGGTTAACCTGAAGTAGGTTAAGACTTCAACTTTGGATTAATTGTCTTTCAAAGGAGTCCTGTTGTTCGATTGGATATACTTCAGTTGAGGAAATGTCTTGCCAGAGCGAATATATTTAGGGGCCAGTGTAAAATTACATTTTTTTCTGTGAGGCATAAATTGGTCAAAAACTTTCCATGCTCTCTGATGTTTAGACAGTCTTATAAACTTTTTTCCTGCCCTTGATATAAACCTTCTGTCCTGTGTAGTTTTTTTTAAATATAAAGTTAGGAGCTTAGCTGCCTGCTGGGGAAACTAAGTTACACTGAATTACTTATATGGTTTTGCTCTGAAATCTCACTGTAAAGTGTTGAGTTGGATTTTGGATATCCAGGTTCTAGTCCCCACTCAGCTCTGAAGCTCCCTGGGTAACTTTGTGCCAGTCACAGGCTCTCAGCCTAACCCACCTCACAGAGTGGTTGTTGTGAGGATAAAATGAAGAGGAGAACCTTGTAAGCTGCCTTGGGTTCCTTGCAAGAGGAAGAGGTGGGGTATAAGTTGCAGTAATGGTAATACCTTACAATAGTTGTTTTCAGCTATTTTTTATTTTTATATTTACATGCCACCCACTAGTTCAAAAAGATTCTGTAGGCGGCTTTCAGTAAAATATAATATGACAACCAGTGGTACTGAGTATAAAGCCTTCATATTATCCAGGTTTGTAGGGGTTTTTTTTACTGTATACACTTACTGTGTAACATTAAGTTGTAAGTGTTTTGCAAAATTCTTACCTTAAGATTGCATGTTAATTCCTATGTGGAATAACTTAGGTCATTTTAGAAGCAGCTCTATGGTACCTTTCAGCCATCTGTATTCCTGCTGCTAGTATTGGACTTGCTATTGGGGAAAGTACTTTGCTGCCAGGGTCTCAACTAAATTAGTAAGTTTTGTGCATCAGTTGGGGACTTAGGGTTTTATGTAAGGGCATTTATTCATCATTCTTTTCTACAGCAAAGAAGTATGATGCCTTCTTGGCCTCGGAGTCCTTAATTAAACAGATTCCTCGAATCCTTGGTCCTGGCCTGAACAAAGCTGGCAAGTTCCCTTCTCTTCTTACGCATAATGAGAATATGGTGGCCAAAGCTGATGAAGTCAAGTCCACTATCAAGTTTCAAATGAAAAAGGTAAAAGTAAAGAACTGAATAAAGATACCATGCTTTGCTTGCTCTATCCTAATCTTAAGGAGACTGTTAGTAATTTACTTCCTACTGTTTTGTTGATTACATACATAGTATGTTTGAACTGCCAACTTGAAATCAACTGCTTAGCATTCACAGATTTATTAGTGTGTGTGCCCATTTGTAATTATTATAAAACTGCATTCAATATATGTATTTGTTTCTGCAGGTGCTCTGTCTGGCTGTGGCTGTTGGTCATGTGAAAATGGCAGAAGATGAATTAGTTTACAACATTCACTTGGCTATCAATTTCCTAGTGTCATTGCTCAAGAAAAACTGGCAAAATGTGCGTGCGTTGTATATCAAGAGTACCATGGGAAAACCACAGAGACTTTACTAATAATAAAAAGCAATCTGCTTGTTTTAAAGAATCCATGTCTTTGCAGTCTTAGTTCTCTGAACTGTCTAATTCAGAGACGCTCTTACTGTTTGGATGTTTTTTTCTGTCTTACCACTTGCCCATATCTTTGAAATAATGCAGTCTGAAGATTATGCTAACTAAAGGAGGTCCTTGATATGGGACTCTATAGTTGTAAAGCTTGGCATTGTTAAGAGCCAAGTGAAAATTTCAGAATTATGCTTAAGCAGTTGTCAGTCAGAGCATATCCTGTCTATTTTGGTAAACTGATATCATGATCTGGTTTTGAAGTATATTGAACAATTCAGTACCCAATTTACATCAGCGTTTAGTAACTGCTTAACTGAATACAAGATCACAAGATAATCTGTCAGCTTATTCCCAAACAGAAATTAACTTTCAGTGGCTGTTCTTAGTGTAGTTTTGGGTTGCTGCTGCAGTGAAGATAGTGGTACATAAGTGGTCTTTAAACTTGCTATGAAGCTACCTGAAAGGCTGCTGATCAGTTAGAACCAGATGTCTTTCTCATTTGTTCAGTTGAGAACTTGTAAAGCTCTGAGGATAATATTACATCCATTGTTTATGTGCACTTGATTGATAATCAACATTCTCACATCTGGTTTTATTTAGAATGTGTTAGATTCAAACTTAGCATAGTTAGAGTAGATCTATTAAAATGAATTGGACAAGTCATGGCTAAATGAAGATTATTTAATTGCCAAAGAATTGTTCATAACTATCCTTAACCAGAAGAATTTTTTTTATCTCCAGTCCAGATTCCACTTCCTGTAAATCCCAGGGTTGGAAATAAAAATGCCTCTAGTTGAGGATATAGTAATGAAAATTACCATCTTCCTCAACCATAATTTGCTGCTGCTAGTGTGAATTCAACATTTGTCAATGTATTGAGATGAATTTTACTAATTAGTTTACCTTTCAGAGTGATTTTTTAAAAAGAACGTAAGAAGCTGCATTATATCAAATCAGTCAGTTGACCCATCTAGTTCAGCACTGGCTTCACCACCCTTTCCAACCTGGTGCCTGCAGTTGTTTTGGACTTCAGTTCCCAGCAGCCCCAGTCAGCATGGACAATGGCCAGGAATGCTGCGATTGCAGTCCAAAACAGTTAGAGGGCGCCAGGCTCAGGAAGACTCATCTAAACTAATGGAGAGCAAGTCTGCAGGGTTTCAGACAACGATTTCTCCTAGTCCTAATGTGGAGATGCCAGGGATGATTCTGCATGTGAAGCATCTGCTTTCCTATTGAGATACAGTCCTAGAAGGGGGCAGCTCACAGTGTGATGCTGCGTAGCTATTTATTTATTTATTAAAAGCTTTTGTATGCTGTCCTATTATACTAAAATCTCAGGACGACTTACATTATTTAAAAGAACAGTTAAAACAACGATTTCTAATAAATACATTAAAACAGAACAAAACAATAAATCACAAAACAAGAGTGACTAAGGTTAAAAATTATTAATTTTAAAATAACGTTTAAATAAAAAGATTTTGGCCTGGCGCCGAAAAGAGTATAAGCTTGGCGCCAGGCATACCTCTCTGGAAAGTACATTCCAGAGTCTGGGTGCCACGGCGAAGAAGGCCCTACTCTGCGTTGATGACCTTTTTACCTTTCTTAGGGTTCCCGGAGCAGGGCTTCTCCCACAGATCTTAAGGGGTATAAGGGCGTATAAGGAAGGAAATGTTTCTTCAGGTATCCTGCGGAAATTCAGCTACAATTCAGCTGTAATAGTGGAAATAGCAACTAGAACTACTTTGTAAGAATTTAAATACACTTGAAAACTGATACATATGAAGTGCATTGTTTAACTATCAAGGTTTTTGGTTCATGAGCTGTTTCATAACATGGGGCAGAATGTCCCACAGCTTCAGTCAGGAGGCAAAGACTGTTTGAAATTCCCAACTGCAGTGTAAATTTAGGGTAGCATGGTGTGAATCATCCAGCCATTTCTCTCGTCTTTATGGGGACTAGCCCAGATAAAAATGAACAAAAAGTAATGTCTTGAAGTAAAAAAAAATTAGGCAGTCCAATCATTTTGTATGTTTTCTAATTCCTTTCTAATTTAAATAAATTCTAACATAAATCACTACTCCATTTTAAAATAAAAATGTGCTTCTTGTAAGCTTGGCCTACAAATAGTTGTTAGGATTGAAGGTTAAAGAAGACATAGCAGCAGCAAGTCACACAAAGCTATCCCAGTGATGCAGATAATGGTACAATTTTGGTGGGACCTGACCTTAACAGCAAAATGCTTGGGTGAGGTATACAAAAGCCCGACTGTTCCTACCATGCTAAGGTTGTTATTTGTTTGACATTAAATATATACTGATTAAATGCTATGTTAATGCATTAGCTTAGGATTTTCCATGAACTGTGCTCATCCAAGGAAACCAGTTCCCTGCTGGATAATTACATGAACAAATTATTTCTGTATACTAAGAGCTTTACATTCATACATACATACTACAGCTACATTTATGTTGAAAAATTTAAAACTTCCATAGCATGAAGGAGCTTCAAACTTGGAGTCTTAAAGAAGAAAAAGCATATCAATTTGTTTAATATACCTGTGATGTTCAGTCTGATCAATCACTGTCTTGCTGTGCAGAGCCTGGTTCAAACAGATGTTTCTCCATGCAGTTGTTGGATCATGGCTGTTCTCACAGAGGACCACATGAGAGTTGCAGTCTTTTAGGATAGCTTGCTAATAATATCAAAATTAGACTGACAGTGCTGGAAGTTAATGCAATACCTGGTATATTTATTTGCCTTAGAATTGAAAGGTAAGTCTTGCCTTTTTATAAGTTTGTTTTTCCATTCAGAAGCAGAATCCTGGAATTCATCCAAGTAAGGCTAGTTTGTCTTTAATCCTGAACATGTGGAACACTTGGTTCAAAGCTGATATTTGCATATTTCACAGACACTGAAGGGGAGAATGCATCAGGTGGCTTATTACAATGCTTGATATTTGACCTTAGTGGAAACCTCATGTTGACATATGTAACATCTTCCATACTTGACTGAGGCTTCTTCAGTATGGCATATACTGGTTTCATTTCTGTGTCCACAGGTTTGTTGGCAGCTTTGCTTTCATTTATCTGAACATTGACAGGAAAAAGGGCATAATTTTTATTGGAAACAGTTTTTTAAAAAGTCAACCTTTTTGATTTCCATGGCCAATTTTCCATTTTTAGCATGTATAAAGAATTTTGTTTCTGTATTTACGTTTATATTAACATTTGTATCTTTTAAAAATGTATAAATTCACACTCTCAGGTTGATGGGCTTGTTTAAAATAATAGGCTAGCAGTTACATGGCTACAATAAATAAACCTTTAGGGTAGTAACCAGCAACAGCTTTTAGCTGGAAAGAGAGAGAGAGACCAAGGGGGCAGCTGTGGGAAGAGTCAGTAGCTGAGAAATAGCCAAATTCAAATCCCCACTGGGCAGGACAGAAAGGAGACACAGCTTTCAACTTTTTTTGGCAACCCTGGGAGGCACACCGATAGATTAGACTAGCATACATTTTATTTTGTTCTGGGAAGGAGGATCTTTTCGGTGCCATGGAATCAAATCCTCTGCTGGGCCCATCCTTCTGTGTTGTGCTGTCAGAGTACTGACAATGGAAATTTTCACTACTGCCATGGGGAGACGTATTGGCCCCTAGGTGTCCTTCTAGGGACCGTAGATGCCAGGCAAAGTATTCTAACCAGAATTACTTTAATCTCCTATGGGCCTTTCAAAACTGGTTGAGTTGCAATCCATTTCTACCACAGGCTGAACACAAATCTATAAAACAAGGAAAAAGCACTACAAATGTACAGAACTCTGTTACTGAAAATGGTGTGAATGAAAACATGATAAGAGTGCTTGAGAAAGGCAACTTTAGATGCATTGTGAAAGGCTGTGAATTAAACCCTGGTAGTCTACATTAAGCCCACTAATGTGAATGTCTCAAAGTTCTATATTATATAGCATTCACAATAAAAGGGCTCTGTTTGTAACTTAATTCTAAGCAAAAGGCAATTGGATATTTTCAGAAAAATAAGTGACAACATGGAAATAAGTAATGGATTTTTTTCTTCCTTTGGAAAAGGTGGCAGTTCTAGTCCAAATACAGGCTCTAGAATCTGCAGTAGTGATTGCAAAATTTGAGCTAATTTGGAGAATCTAACAAAGCTGTATATATGAATATATGTGCCTGTGGAAATTGACAGCACAAATACAAATAATTTTCCATCTTGATTTTACTGCCTACAGAATTTCCCCTGATTTGCAAAGGATTCTTACCTGTAGTGTTATTACTTTACAGTTTGGGTTATCACCGAAATTAAGGTCAGCTGTTGCTATCAAGAAGAGAGTCCAGTGTTAGTATTTAACTATATATATATATATATATATATATGTATGTATATATGTATATATGTATGTATGTATGTATGTGTATAGTTCACATGTTAAGGTTTTAACTAACCATTCCACCTAAAAATTTGCATGCAGTGAAAACATTAGCACTTAGCTGTAGTTCCTTTCTGAACGTACACTCATTTGGCAAATCTGAATTTGCCTCTGTGTACTATGCAGAACAGTTCTGTTACTGTTTACAGTTTGCTAAAAATTGAAAGATCTAAGAACCTGACATATACATATACTTTATAAGAAAGTTGAAAGTCAACCTGATTATGAAAAATATAGAAGCGGCTGATTCTGAAGTGCTCACATTCAGCAAGGTGTGTTGTTGCATACCTCAGTGCATAATGTGGACATATAGAAAGGCTACTGTGCTATCATAATAGAGAAGCTGCATTGGAAGACTGGGGGAATTATACCTGAGTGGAACCTGTGAAAGGATCCATGGGGAGGAGCGAAGAAAGGCACTGCAAGGAAGAGCTCTTTCTTACTTTTTAATCTGCCCTTCCTACTATGCTCTGCATGTAGGAGCTACTGCAAATCTTCCTGCTGTCCTGCATCCCATCTGCTGTAGCTCAAACAAAGAGGCTATGGCAAGATGCCCATTCAGAGGGCATGTGCCATTCAGTTTGCATCTTCCAGTTCCCTTTCTCCTGTACCTTTACAGTGCTGTAGGGGAATGCTTTTATGGTGAATCAATGCTAGACTTGAGGCCCAAGTCACCAGATGTCAATTGCCCTTTCTCCTGTGTGCCTTGAGGTTGCAAGGGACAGTCACTGATGCAAGGAAGATTAACTGTGGGAAGGTACAACTAATTTTGCTTTGCTCTCCATCTTGTTAAGATGCGGGCAGAAGAGTGTCCCCTCAAAATGTAAATGATGAAATAGGGCTTATAGCAGGGGTCTCAAACTTGCGGCCCACGGGCCAATTGCCGGGACGGGCGGGGCACGGGGGAGGGGCCCTGCGGCCTTCAAAGCGCCGGCGGCGCCCAGGCCGGCCGCAGGATGAGCGGCCCACCACCACCACCGTGGTGGTGGAATACTTGATGCGGCCCAGCCTCAGCCAGACTCTACTTCCAGCGGCCCCCAGGTAAGTTGTGTTTGAGACCCCTGGCTTATAGGATGAGTGCCTGAAAGGGCAGTCAAGTCCCATTTGCTCCCTGCTTACATGCCCCTGGTTAGAAGAAACTAAAAGACAACAAAGCATTTGTCTAACTCCAGTCTAGAGTGGCAGAGACTTTTGCTACTGCCTGTTTGTAGTTGCCAAGATTTACCAGCAGCACAAGGACAAGGAACAGCCCTGCTACTTCTGGAGGAGAGTGGCCACTTGCCTTCCAGTGGCAGAATTTTGCTGCATCCTTAGGATCATAGGAAGCTGCCTTGTACTAAGGCAGACGATTAGCCTATCTAGCCCAGTATGTATTTGTCAACATTTGACAGGCAGCAGGTCTCCAGGGATTGATATAGGAATGTTAACTGCCCTACCTAAAGATCTCAGGGATCAAAGATCTTCTGCATGCAAAGCAGGTACCCTTTCATTGAGAGAGGGAAAGATCTCCCCAGCTGCACAGACTTCTTCCAGGCCTTATTTTCTCTTGGTTCAGACCCTGAACACCATTTTTACTAACAGAGGGAATGAAGTGGCTGTGGTCAGTAAATGTGCAAGAACATCCCTCAGTCAAAGCCCCACAACGGCCTTTGGGTCACAGAAGTTTTTTCAACCTTTGTTTTGAAATTAAAATATTGAAAAAGAAATGCAAAATATCTTGTAACTGTGCACATAATTTCATCCTGGAGTATCTGATGTTGTGATATTCAATAATATTAAGTATAAATGATATTAAGTATTTAATTAATATTTATATCAGGTGCTATTAAGACGATGTCTTTAAAGAACAGCTGAGCTACATGAAGTCAAAAGAAACTCAAAACATACCTCTAGTTTTCCTCTTGATAATCATTGCAGCAATGCAAGCGAGGGCTGCAATAATTGTTATGCCAACCATAATGGAACCCAGAACCAAGACAACATGGTAAACTCTGAAACAATCCACAGTGTAAATTAAACATACCCTTGGCACTAACATGTACTTGGTCAATTTGGAAGGATACCTTTTGTAGCTGCAACAGTTAATTTTTACCTTGCTGTGGTTAAAAGTTAGAAACATGCAAATTGCTAGAAGCATACAGTAGTGCATAACTGAAAAAGTAAATAGAGACTACCAGGTTAGAGGGAAAGAATTTCAGGGCATTAATAGGTTTAGGGGTACCCTGAGATAGTTCATGTTCTGAGATGGGAAAAGTCACAACTGCACCTTTTCTTACATAATTTAGACTGCACTGTACTACATTACAGCAAGATGCTGCAGACACAAGCCTCTAATCTTGATGTTTTCAAATGATAAATTTAATGTTGGTACCTTTGTTCATTTTCACAGGTGGCTGTCACAATGCTGTTATTTTGCTGACCTGTAGGTAAAATTATATCAAAGAAAAGAATAAGACTTTTGGCTTTGTTATGCTTCACAGATGTTTTTGGATCTAGCTATTTTGACTATTTTGTCTCTTATTTTCAAGATCATGTATTAATCTGTTAGGCAACGGCAACCTCGCTACTGAACTTTGGAACGCTCTGTAACTCCCTTTTAGGAAAATTGGCAGTGTTACTATTTCTGTCTAACTAAACAGCTGCCGCTTTTCTATCCCAGTAATGCAGGTTTCCCTGGTGGTATATTGCAAACCCTTCTTGTAAAACTCTAATTGAGGGTGAATCTGTACATGCTCTCAGGTTACTGTACCACTTCAGTGAGCAGGTGGGAGAACAGTATATCTGAATGCTTTCACAGGTAAATAAACTTTCCTGGACATTTAAGGAAATAGAAAAGTTAGAGAAAATGCTATGCTACAATGACATGCAAATACCTTCATTTTCTTCCAGAAATGAACCCAACCATTTGCAGACTAAAGTGGTTTAGTTTCAGGAAAGGTGTACCATGCAATTTTTCTGCATGTGTAGATTGATTGATCTTGAGTTATATCAGGGATTCTTTTATTTATTTATTTATTTATTTATTTATTAAAACATTTTTATGCCGCCCCATTCGCCGAAGCCTTGGGGCGGCTTGCAACAATTAGTTAAATAATTATAATTAAAAATATAAACATTAAAATAAAATACATACAATATAAAATAAGCCACCCTGGCCAGATAAAATTCAATAATATTAACATTTAAAATGCTGCTTAAATAAAAAGGTCTTTGCCTGGCGCCGAAAAACAAATAACGACGGCGCCAGGCGGACCTCTCTGGGGAGCGCATTCCATAACTTAGGCGCCACCGCTGAGAAAGCCCTCCTCCGAGTACCCACCCTCCTAATTTCTTTCACGGAGGGTTCCCGGAGAAGGGCCTCTCCCACCGATCTCAGGGGGCGGCTGGGCATATATGGATGTAAGCGCTCCTTCAGGTAACCAGAATATTGAACACATTCATATTTTTGAATGTGAAAAATATCCACACAATGGAACACATATCCACTTAAAAATGCTCACCATTTTGAACGATTACTTTGATTTTTCTTAAATGGGTAATATGCAGGCCATCAAGAATACCGAACCAGTATATCCCGGAATCTTCTACTTGAAGTGCTGGCATGAAGAAATAAATACAGCCATTTTCTGAATTCTTTAGTATGACTCTTTGGTTTGATTCAGTAGTTAGTAACCTCCATTGTGGTCCTGAGAAACTTAGATTATCTTCTAGGTTGCATTCTTTGAGCAGTTCGCTTTTGCACCAGACTTTCTTTGCTTGTATATATTGTTGGGAACAGAAGCCCTCTATGCTGAGGGACTCTCCTTCCACCTTCATTACTTCTTCAATATTTTCTTGCTTGCTAGATTTGAAGTAAGGAATGCTAGATGTTGGAGGTGAGACAGTCCTGCTTGGTACAATATGACCTAAGAGAATCACAAAATAAGTTCAATCAAATCATTTTGAACTTTTATTTGATTTTACAATATTGATGAATACTTACATTTAAGAGATTTCTAAGTGATGAAACAACTCATGGCAGACATGATGATCTTTCTGTGAATACTTGATGAAAAAAGGTATGTTTTCAGTAGGCACCATCCAGAACCTGTCTAATTTGTAATAGAAGGAAGTTCCAGAAAGTGGGCACTACCATACTAAAAGCCGTTTTCCAAGCTGTGATGGGCTAAACTTCCAAAATCTTCAGGGCCATTAGGAGGTTGAGCACAGCACCTGGGCAGGTCAGTAGGAGATCAGGCAATCTGTTAAATATCATAGGCCTAAGTTTCATGTGCCTCTGTAAACTAGTACAAAAACCTTAACATAGAAAGGTCTGTATGTCAGATTACTGCTCCATGTACCTCAGTTATCTGGTTAAGTCTTTCTCTGCATTGCTACCTGGAGAAGCTGAGGTTTCAAACTTGGGACATTTGGATGTAAAATATATTCTGCTACTGAACTATGAACCCTTCCACTCCAGTGAGCAGAATGAAAAATACATAGTCATGAAAAGCTAAATTGGAACTTGGAGATACCACATCTTATGCAAAGCATATGAACTTCAGAAGAGCTGTGCTGGACCAGACTAAAGACCTCTTTATTCCAGCTTTCTATTCCCAGTGAGATGTCTACCAGTAACCACAGATATTAGGAAAAATGTCCTAACTGCCAGAGCAGTACGACAGTGGAACCAGTTGCTCAGGGAGGCCTTGAACTCTTCGACACTGGAGGCATTCAGAATGAAACTGGGCAGTCATCTGGGGGGGGGGGGGGGTAATTTGGTGTACTGCACCAGCAGGGGGTTGGACCCGATGGCCTACTTGGCCCCTTCCAGCCCTACTGTTCTATGATTCTATCTAAGAAGTGAGTGCAACTCCTTCTGCTCATATTGCCTGGTAATTTGTTCTGAAAGGCATATTGCCTCTGGTACGAGAGGTACTATATAGCTATGGTGACTAGTAGTTACCACTAAAACAAAGCTGTCAATAACTGTATGCTCTATGGATTTGTTTAAGCCCCTTTCAAAGCCTTCCAAGCTGGCAGCTATTATTGCTATGTTCATGGTCTGCTCCTTTTCTTAGCAAGGGATATAAACATTTTGAGGTTGGAGCTGTAAACTGGTTTAGTGGTAATTTTGTTCCCATGGAACAGCCCATGTAATTCTGTAGAAGTGGAGGGTGAGGGATCTCTTAGCAAAGAATCCTGCTAAAGTGGTAATGAAAATTGCCTAGGAAGAACTCATGTGTGGACTGTGCATTACTCTGAGAAGGTAATTACTTCTAAGCCTGAGCTCAAGTGCATAGGTGAACATATCCAAAAATTCTTGCTGTTACCAAGACAAACAAAAGAAGAAAAGTTTCTGATTCATAGATATAACTCAGTCTAGGAAGAATTGCATATATAGCTAAACTGACTTGGAACCACATAAGACTGAAGGTGCACCCAGCTGTGTATCCACCACTGGATGTTCTGCAGAAGCCCTCACACAAGCAACTTCATCCTGTACTTTTCCATTATTTATCTGCAACGAAGAGGATAGCAAATATAGAATCAATGTAAATGCCACATCTCAATGAGACTTGATTTTGTTGCCTTGAGACTTAGCTTTTGTGTATGGAACACTCCAAGCTAGCCGCCCTCAAGTACTGACCTTCATGGACCACCACTTTGATTTTGTTTGAAGAGACAATCTCCAGACCTTCAAGAAGCCCGAACCAGTATATCCCTGAATCCTCAACTTGGAGATTTGTCATGAGCAAAGAAACGCAGCCATTTGTTGAATGCTGTAGCAAGATTTTTTGGTTTGGCTGAGCAGTTAGGTACCTCCATCCTGATCTGGAGTGGCTTAGTGGTCCTTTCAGGTCACATTCTTTCAGGTGTTTTTCTCTGCACCAGATCTTATCTCCTTGGAAATATTTATGCTCACAGAAAGTTGTTATTTTTAGGGACATTCCTTTCTCTACCTGCACTTCTTCTGGACTCCTTGCATTGCTTGGCCTTGCAAGAAAAAAAGGTTCCGATATCGGAGGTGTGTAAGCCTTACTGAGTGTAAAATGACCTAGAACAAGAACAGTAAGAATAAATGCAATTACATATATTTACTAAACAAAATGATTATAACCATTCAGTTGAAGGGAGTCTCCAAATCTTTGGACACAGGATGAGTTGAAACCACGAGGCTCAAAACTTTCTCCAGACTAGAATATTGAATTTACATTTGGCATGACATGGGGGAGGATAAACATCTGTAGAATATGATTGGGGTGGGGATGAATGAACATCAAATGTACATCTATTCCATATAATCATCACACATGTTGGTCTCTAGGAACTGAGGACACTGCCTTATCCTAGGTCAGATCATTGCTTCATTTGGCTTAGTATTGTCAACACTGACTGGCAGTGGCTTCTCTGCATTTCAGGCAGGATTCTTTCCTGGCCCTACCTGGAGATGCTGAGGACTTGAACGTGCCATGACCTGGATGCAAAGCATGCACTTTGAGCTAAGATCTCACTGCTGACTGCAACTCAGGACTGACGTGGGCTGCACAGTGCCTATGGCAGTAGCAGTGTCCGCAGGGATCCTTCTGTCTTGATTTTCTGGTAGAGCCTTCTAGTGCAGAAAGCTGCAATTCAGACACACCTCATTGTTCAATGTTTGTCAATTATGAGTAGAGATCTCTTTTGCTTCCCATTAGAAAATGAGAAGAAACTACATCTAGCCCTGAAAGGGAGAGAGGGAAGGAGAGAGGGAAGGCAGGATGGACAGACAGACAGAAGGGCATTGTGCTATGTAGCCACTTGCCACCAGATTTGGTACATAGAATGATAAATAACAGAAAGAAAAGATTCAGATCCCTGCCTCGAGGGGTGGGGTGGGGGCAGAATTTGGCATACTGTGGTAATTTTGTCTGTTTACACATGCACACATTTAGCATAGAGGAAGGCTACAGCTTAGCACTGCAACAAACACTCCAAGAAATCTTCAGGTTTTTTAGGTGAGCAGTCAGCTCCATAAGATATTTACAGACCTAACTAAACTCTCTGACTCTCAGTTATGCTCTCCAATTAAAGGAATATCTACTGATAACCATCAGTGCATTTCCCAAGCCAAGGGGTAGCCTAAGACACATCAACCCAAGTAGTTAAGCAAACCTTCTTCTACAATCACAGGTTTGGAAAGGATCCCAAGAGATCATTCAGTTTGACCCCCACACTCAATATAGGGCTCCTATCCTGTACACAGTTCAGTTGCCCATTAAAATAAAAAGGACTTTCCTCTGAGTAGATATGTACAGGATAACTGTACTGTGTACAGAATTGCAGCCTTATAAGTGTAAATGACTGGGAACCTTGTTCCCTTAAGAAAAAAAAAACACCCACAAAATGTGCCTTTTGCTTCAGTAAGGAAGAAAACTGCATTAACTACAGTGCGTAAATAAAGAAGCCAAGTCTCAGTACATCATTTAATCGAACACCGTGCTAATGTGTTCCATATTGATGACCATGGAAGGACATCTCTTTGTGCCATACCTGTTAGCATCAGCATTAGCAGAGGAGCTGAAAATCCTTCCATCTTGTAACTGAACATTGCTTAGATTGTAGAACAGTGCATGGGTGAATTTGCCCTTGTGGGAAGGAAACAAATTCCCTTTGTCATTGTCTGTGGCTTTTTTGTTGCAGATCAGCACTGTTGGTTTGGAGCTGTTGGAAGAGTCTCCAAATATGCCCTTTTTTAGTGTTTTTGACTTGCCTACATAGGATTGTGGGCAGCCACTGTCCAGATGTGCCCCGAGAGACAAGGCACTGGGCTGAAAAATGACTGATAAAGCCTTTCTCCACTTGTTGCAACATCCCATTCCAGCAGGCTCAGACCATGCAGTGCCTGTGGGCATGCATGGTATCTGGTGCTGGAATGTAAGAGTTGCAGCAATAGAGCTCATCCTTTAGAGGCACTCCCTTCCAAGAGATGCCATTTATTTTGATTAGTCTTACGCATTAATTCATTTTATTTGTACCTGCCCTTCTACCAAAAATAGCACTCAAGGCAGCTTCTAGGACCAATGGTGGGAGCCATTCTGTGTCCATGGATCCTGGGACGGTGCAGGTATTTTTGGCTCTCTTGGATTCCCAGATGCAAGGCTGGAGACAATGCTTGTCTCTGCTCCCTTCCCTTCCTGCTGATGTGGAAAGGACTTTGCTGGCTGAGCTTAGGAACTCAGCCTTGGAGAAGGAGGTGGTTTGATGGGCAGGGAGAGAAGACTGGAGAGGCCAGATAAGAGGTGAAGATTGCTTCCACCACTCCTCCCACTCTGCACAGGAGGCTCATAAGTCTTCAAGGTCAGGGCCATATGATTATAGAGGGCAGAACCCATAGGACTGTGTCTGAATATTGCATAACAACAGAACAGTTAGAGAAAGAGCTATTTAAAGCAGCGCCAAACCCATTGGATACACTTACAGGTTAAAGCCTTTCTTAAATAAAGCAGCCGTTCCCTGTGGGTGGAGGGACGTCATTGAGGGATCCAACCGATTCTCCCTTGGGAGGTTGTTCTGCAGCTTGGAAGCAGCCATCGAAAGGATTCTCTCTCAGGTTGACACCAAATGCAAAACGAATCACTAAGAAAACATGAGGGTTGATGTCATGCCCTCAACTGTTGGCAGCATATTATATTTAAGAAAACCTTCCGAGAGAGTGTTGTGCTAGCTGCTTTGCTGCTGGTTAGATTCAAGCTCTGCCTAGAATGCAGACCATCTAAGCAGCTTTTTCATTTGCTATTTTGCAATCAAGAAAAAAATACCAATATGTAAAAGTGCCAGTAGCAGAATCTGCAAACTCTCTAAGCGGAGGAAGCAAGCATAGTTTTGCTCCAGAGCGTGTGATGAGTAGGAGTCACAGCTTAGCGATGATGTTGCCAAGAGTGAGGGGAGGATAAACCGCAACAAAGTCTTGCAGCTGAGTTGACCTATTTTTGTAGAGTGCTGATGGTGCAACAAGGAAATGAGCCTCTGTGATCAGACTCCCCGTGGAGTAGCGGTCCCAGGTGGTCCTTGGCCATCCATTTCAGCCGCCGCATTCAGTGGAAGGACCAGGTTCTACAACATGACAAAGCTTCAAATTCCCTGTGGGAAAGGAGGAGCAGGAGAGACAGGAGAAGGCGAAGTGGGCAATGAAAGGGAATAAAGAGACATTTATCTTTCCTGCTGACAGTCTTTTAAATTTTTTAATCTCCCCTCCCCATCATTTTTTTTTCCTTTTGTGTCATGGCTTTTTAGATTGTGAAACTGTGAGCGGGGGCTGTTCTTTTTGCTTTTTGATTCTCAATTGCTCTGGGAGTATGCAAAATTGGTTACAATTCCAATTTCTTCACTGTTGATATTAAAGTCGTGTAACACTTCTTAGTGATGATTTTTGTTTTCTTAATGTTCAACTGCAGTGCTGCTTTGACATTTTCTTCTTCCATTTCCAGCAAGCATGGCCTGTGGACAGAGATGTTGGGGGCCCAAGGATAGGAAAGTCTATTCTAAAAGTTAAATCTTTGATGCTCCAGATGTACCTAAGAACAAGCTCTCTTGAACAAAGTGGCGTTTACTTCTGAGTGAACACAAACAGGATTACTCTGTGTGAGGAGCTGCCACCTCTTGTCTCTTTGACAAAGGCATGCAAATGGCACATGGGCATGTGGAACATCTCACATGGCAGTTGCTGAGCTATATATGGGGATGTCATCTTTTATTGCAGGCTCCCACCGTCTCCAGGTGAAATGGGGCAAAAGACTGCAGTGGTACCCGCTCTCTGCAGTCCTACCATCCTGCCCTGTGCTGTGTGATACACCTGGAGAACTGCAGCCCTGTTAGGTGAGGGAGGGGAGCAGATAATGGGACTGCAGAAAAAAAGTGCAGGAAGATTAGGCTGAGAGTAAGTGACTGGCCCAAAGTCACTCAGTGAGCTTCCTAGAACCCAGATCTCCTGAGTCCCAGGCCAACACTCTAACCACTATGCAACACTACTTTTCTTACCAGGAGATTTAAGTGAAGAGCTGGTGATCCTACGAGTACTTACTTAGATAGTACCATGGGCAAATGATGCAGCCTATGTATATGACTCCTGTTTAATTTAAATATTGGAACTAGGGTTAGACAAATTGGTTAGTGCTGGTTTCCTATTTTTCCAGTAGTAAGTTTAGTGCTTGGTTTATCTTGAATTATAAGGATTTTTCCACTTTTAGTATAAATTTATTTCAAACTTTGAGTGTTTCTTTAAAAAACATTGGTATTAACATGTTAAAAGATACTTCGTATGCATTTTCCTAATACTTGCATTTTTGCCTAATATACACATTTTTTGCAAGTAGTTTTCTTAATGTAATGCATTCATAAATATGTATGTTTTTGTGTACACTTCCTCTAATATACACATTTTAATGCATTTCCAATTGGAAAATTCCATTACAAAGTTCAAAGGAGCATGCCTTTTGAAGGATGAATTTTGGTTTGTATCTTGACTCAGAAGTGTCAAATCAACTTTGAATTAAAATGCAAACCAGATTATTTTCTCCCTCTCTAAAATAAGCATGCCACAGCTCTGCTAATCCTGCATGTACCTGTGCCAGGACATATACTAGCAGTATTTACATGTGTCCCAAGCCGCTTGGGGTGCTTTAGTTGTGGCTCATGGCACAAATAAGTTGTGCCTCAATGGGCACTGGGTAGGTCCTTTACTTTCTGGCAGTAGCCTTGCAGCTGAGTGGTGGATTGTCACCAGGGTTCTGGTACACAGTTCCGATTCTGCGGCGAGTTGTCATCTCTTTCCTGTTCCAGGACACTTGTGTCTTCAATAGCTGCGTTGCAGGCACAGATTTACATTTGCATTGTAAATTCTTGGTACTTTATCTTTTTCCCAGGAAAATGGCACTCAGTGATTGGCATTATAGGCAGGAATTTAAGGCAACAAGTAGGCCAGCCAGGAAAAGTTAGCACCTTTACGGCACAATCAGATTTGTTCCTTGATGAGGACTGGAGGGGGAAAATCCAGCTTTGTTTTTTAAATGGTTTTCAAAATTTGTTGCTGTTTAGTCGCAAAGTTGTGTCTGAGTCTTCACAATCCCTTGGACAACATTCTCCAGGCTGTCCTGTCTTCCATCATCCCCTGGAGTCCACCCAACCCCACACCCACTGCTCCAGCGACCCCATCCAGCCACCTCAACCTCTGCCGTCCCCTTTTCCTGTTGCCTTCAATAGTTCCCATATTTCCATTCTGCAGCCATTAGTCTCTGGCGCCCTCATTCCAGGGGCACTGTGACCTGGGCTACGAAGTTGCAAGCTCTGAGTGGCCAGGTGTCTTAAGCCAACACCGATCATTTACTTCCAATGGCTGTGAAGGTGGCAAGAGGAGTGCCAAGCTGATCAGCTGTGCGGCGCAGCCTGAAATTGCTGCATGTTTTTTTGCTAGAATTTCAGTGGTCATCCTGCTGTTTAAAAGCATGAGACTTGAGAAATTTGGATGGCAAAGGAGACAGGAACTATCATGTGACTGGTTAGAGTATTGGACAGAGCATTTACTATTCCATTCTCTAGCACTGAACACTTCCCCAAATTAATAAAGACAAGCTTTGGAAAAGGTGATTAGACTAGATTGGGTCCAATTAAATTACAGATTAGGCTCCTTGTTCGTCTTTTTTTTTAAAGTGTGCTGCCTTTGGATTTTCAAGCAATGTAGGATATCTGATACTTTTCCTGTTGGAATGATAATTACCAACCCAAAGACCCTGACACCCAGGCATCCCCCAATTTCGAACACTAGTGTAAGGAAGGCCAGGCTGTCAGAAAATAGTTATGTCAACCAGGTGACAAGATGCCCATCTCCATTATGTAACTCATTATCTTAAGCATCTGAGAAGAAATTGTGTTTGAGATAATTTTAAAGTATAAACATAATTGTTGAACAGAGACTAGAAATTTGCTCTAGGTGCATGTACAGGTTGTGGTGTTGTCCACAAAGGGCCACGGCCATGGTTCTAAATACAACTCAGGTTCTTTCCAAATCAGAACTTAACAAAACTCAGGGTGCAACAAAAAGTTGTGCAACCTTTCTGCTTTCCCTTTTTGGAATTTTCTGGTGACAGGAGGCAGGTGGGAAAACACAGCAGGGTTGCAAACAGACAATGGCAACACCTGAACCCCCTGTAAAATTCTAGGAATGAGTGTGTGATAAAAGCACCCACATTCAGCCTGCCCAGGAAGGCACTATTAACCGAGCATAATGGAGTTCAAATTTATTATCTTTATTCTGAAATCTTGTAGTTATGTATAGGTCATTAAAACCATCATTGTATTTGTCTACATTATTATCAAGCATGTATAGCAACAGAAAAAAATGAAGAAGAGATGCTACATTTACTCTGCACAGATTCTTCCTAAAATACTGTATAGTTAAAAGTGCCTCTGCAAGGAACAACCATTTGATGCTCACCATAGTAAAATGGTTTTTGTTTGTCTAGCTGGATAGTCTGGCTTAGCAATTGTAACCACAGCAATCTTAGTGTTAGGCATAGGGCACAGAAGGTCTTTCTCATCCTGTCTGAGACATTGCCGTGAATCTGAATTCTTACTTGTTCTTCTCCTTCCTCCCATTACATCCCATTATGGCAACAATCCCTGTTATGCTGGAAGAAGGCATAGGCATATAAAATGAAATGAGCCAGGGACACAGGTTGAACCTGTGATCACCGCTGCCACATAAGGTTCTCCTGAGCAGATATGCCTTAAACATAACAAGTAGAGAATTTTTGGTTTGGGTGCTTGGAGAAAAGCTTGAAAAATTAATCAGCAATCTAGTCAAAGTTCAGGAACAAAAGGCAACACTTACACAAATGTCATATTTGAAGAACTTCTGGTTTGCAAGCCTATTGCATAATTTTAATGTCTGAAGTTCTGACTCATTGTTTGAGTTAACAATGCCAGGGAAATTTCCAGAAGGCACAATTGGGCATCATTGCTAGACTGTTGGGCTCTCTAATATCCCAGCACTTCCGTGAAACTCCAGTTACCAGAAGTCATTGAAAAAAGCCATGTTGTTGTCATTGTTTACACTTACATTAGCATAAATAGATAGATAACTTTCAGCTACATGCTACACCAAGCATCTTCAGCCTTCCAGATGCTCTGGACTTCAGCTCTTTAAAGCCCAAGCCAACTTGGGCAATGGTCAGGAATGATGGAGTTATAGCCCAAAGCAACTGGGGGGACACCAGGATGGGGAAGGCTGCACTGTGCCATGAGTGTAATATGTGGCTGCCCAGAGCAACGTAATTCAAGGAACACACACCACATTCATTTAATATGTGGGCTCTCACTCTACACCTATCGTTGTTGGCTCTCTGTAATGTAGTTGTGTGCCCCTGCTCTTTCATGCTGAAGGGGTATCTGGGATACCTCCCCATGTGCATGGGAAGGCCCTCAGCTGACATGGTTTCCTGTTAGGTAGCTGCAAAATTTGAAGTTACTCCTTAAACTAACAATAGCAACAATGACAACAACAACATTTAAAGTCCATGAAACATGGAAAGAAAGGACATCTGATTCCTCTCAGTCTCTTGCAGCCAGAATGACTGCAGTTCACACAGTACTTAGTTGAACTATGGATTTGTCTACACAAAATATAGTGAGAGGCTCTCCAGCTTGGATAGTTTGAGAAGACAATTAGACATATTCGAGAAGAATTAAGCTCTCAGGGGCCACTAGCCATATAATGTGCAGTTGACAGAGGCAGTACACCTGCTATTACCAGTTCCTGAGGAGCACGGGCAGGAGGGAGCTTCAGCCCTCCCGTACTTGTGGGCTTCCCACAGACCCCTGTTTCACCCCTGCGGGAACACAATGCTGGACTAGGTCAGCCTTTAGTCCGATCCAGCAGGACTTTTCTTATGAGGTCATATGGAAGGAACAGGTGCCCATTTCTCTTCTTCTTTCAACCCCCGTTGCTCTGCTCTTCTTGCTCCTGGCAATCATTAAGATGACTACAGCAACCAGGAGTTTGAAACCCAGGAATCCAGCCACAAGGAAGTAGAGCTTGACTTCAGCAGATGATGGAGTGCTTTCGAAAGACACAAATACAACACCACATGAAGCAGGCAATTGAATATGGACACATTTTAAGTAAAGGCAACTAGTAGATGGAAATAGTGACAATAGAGCCCTTGTGACAATCTTGAGTTTTCTTGACACAGCTATGGACTTTTCACAGAGTCAAAAGTGGACTTGGGCAGCCTGCAAAACGGGAAGTCTAATTAAAATACTGATGTGGCATTTCCTCAATTTAATTTTGCCTGCCATATCCGCAGTGAGGCAAATTCTGGCCAAACTGCCTTGCTGTTCCTGAAATGCCAATTAATGTCAGTTTCATGCTAGTCAGAAGTGCAGCGACCCAGTTTCAGTACATGGAGCCACTTGTCCAACTCGAACTGGCCCAGGGAGGTGGAGGTGGCCACGATTTGCTCTAGTTACAATGTAGGCTGCCCCACTGGCTTTTCACAAGGTCGTCTAATTTCCAAGGCCTTATAGGATATAATGCATCTACATCACAGGGCAAGTCTGTGTGTGTATGAGAAAGAGATAGTCAGATGATCACATTCCTTACCAATCCTAGTAGTTTTTCTTTTTTAAAACAGGGTGGGCAACTGCAGTGAGTTGGGGACCACGCCAGATTCTCCCAAACCCTCCTTTCCTGCCCAGCCACTGCCACAACTATGCCAGACCACAAGCTGCATCCCCTGTGATTCTGCTGGGGAATGAGGCATACAAGAACGATGGGCCTTATTTCCCAGCAGGAAACTGGGAAATTGGAGGTAGCCCTACCATGGAGAGAAAGACTTTAGTGGCAACCACAAAACCCCCTCCTAGAGGCCAAACATGGCTTGCGGCCCACATGTTCTCCTGCCCTGCTAAAGGATGTTATTCTAGTGCATGGGAGATTCAATACCAAGCTAGGCATGATAACCGTGATGCACTCAGCACACACTTTTGTCAAATGGTAGGTGTAATATTCAGGTAGCAACTGTATATTCATCTTGGACTAAGTCTTATTGAGCTCAATGAACTTACTTATGGGTAGATAGTATAGGATTGTACTGCACATGCAGAAGTCCCGGAGCAACAAAAAAGAGACCATCACAGCACACACTCATGTTTCTACTGGTGTTAAAGTAACAGGGACACGGTAGTAATGTTCCAGTAGTATCTTTTAGCTTAACCAGATAATCTTGTGTGCAGTAACACCGGTCCCATCTGTCAAACTCTGCAGCATCATACTTGCCTTCTGTTTGCTTAACAGGTTGGCTCTCACTTAAAGCTTTCTGCAGTTGTGAGCTCATTCGTATTGCAAGCTGCATGGTAGCAGAAGCTGGCACTGGGAGTCTTTTGCCCATTACGTGGCAAGTGAACAAAAAGCCCCCCCAGGAGTCATCATGTTTGCAAGCTACTGCTTCATTGGAATATCCGAAGTTATGGAGTGCCGTATCATCTTTTTGCTTGAAGTGACCCAGCTCTAGTGGAATCTCTACATGTGGTTTGCATTCAAGGAGCTATTGGCAGTTGCCTGAATGCAGATAAAAAGTGGATGGAGGATAACTGATGACAGACCTTGCTCAAAACATTTTGCTTCTGGAGTCAAAGGACAAGAAGATGCCTCTCCTCCTCCCACTGGATCCTTGCACCAGAGGTGCTGAGCAGAATGACAGTGAACCTTCTTTCAACACTTGTGACAAGCCTGCTTCTTCCGCTACACCTGAGAGTAGCAGGGAAGCTTAGTGGGCACAGCGTGGCTCACATTACACAAGCAACTCTGCCTTGTCTGTGCTTCTCAGTATTTGACTCCTGGCTTGGTCACCTCACTCTGCCACATGGTGCTCAAGCTGACAAAATGGAGGTGTGGAGGTTCCTCAGACCATGCACAAACAGACTGGGAGTCTGCCATGGCCGCAGTGGGGTTGAGCTCTATCTCAAATAGCAGGTACAGAGCCTGAGGTATTCCTTGATCCTCTTTTACTGCTTCAATTTCAGCTGGTGGAAGAAGCAATGAGTGTTTTCCCCAAACTTTAGCTGGCTCCATGCCTTCCTGTCTAGCCGAGCACACGAGGTAGCAATCCGCTGAAGCTAAAGAGATGTGAGCCTGGTGTCTGGATGGGGCACTGCTTGGAAACGCTTGACTTCCTTGCGACAGGGTGTGTTGGAAGTGGGATGTGGGGCTGGAGCTCTCAAGGGGGAAAGTTAAGATTTTGGGGCTTGGTTAGATTAATTAGGTGCTTTCCCCTGCCTTCACAGTTCATTGTGTTTTGAAAATGTTTCTCCTGTCAAGCTGTGTTTGTTTAACACTGTTTTTGGCAGGAATAGACTCCTCTTGCCTTTGCTGCCAAGAGTTTGCATTCCACATGGAAGCCTAACAGGGGGTGGAAAGTCTTCCTATAGAGACTGGAAACACACTGCTCCCAAAGGATCATGCTAGACGTGATGGCATCTGACCTGCAGGCCAGGAGTGGGTTGTTGCCAAATTACTACAAAATGGGCAGAGAGCTGGACTCCTCACCACACCCAAACATCTGGAACTGCTTTTTCAGTTGCTCTTTTCTCTTCTGATGGGGCTCTGTGTCTGCAAACAACTCCCATTGGGAGAAATGGCTGCTTGAAAGCTGTTTATCCAGGGCTCCTCAGGTGGGAATGGGGACCGGAAGAATCTGAAATGCTACAGGTAGGTGCAGCGGAAGATGCTGACTCATCCCTGGTGTAGAATAAAGCTGTCAGTCTGGTCAGCATCTTTCCATTTGCCTCAGCTGGTTCTGCCTTAGCAACTAATATTCGGAGGCATCATGCCTGCAAATGCTACCCTAATTAATCAAAGTTGATAGATCCATTTTATGGCAGTAATTATCCCACGTTAGCTAGTTTAATTATTTATATTTTGCCTTGTTAGTCAATTTTGATTAGCTTGTCAGACCAATGTACAGGAAAAATGCTTTTCCAGCCTCCCAGACCTTGGTCATGGTTCAGAGTGGTCATGCAAAAGGAAAGTCTAGATTTACCTGGAGACACTGTGCGCTACTCTGGGCTCCTCCGGTGTCTCGGTCTCCCAGAGGCCTAGGGACAGAACCATAGCAATTTAGCTGGCCAACATGATCATTTTAAGGCAACGGTAAGGAACAAGCTGATTTGGAACGACAAGTGATTAAAACTATTTTTAGATTGGGTCTAGCATTTAGTGGAGTCCTAGATTTGTGTATTCAGAAATAAGTCTCATGGGCTGGGTTCACATTTCATGACAAGCAACACTGCATGGTTATCATGGTGTGTGGGTTTTTGCCCGGATGTGCCTGACAGATGATCAGGTGGTTTCTATACTAGTGTGGCTTCCACCCTCCTTGCTCAGCTGTCCAAAGTTGGCACGTATTCCATTAGTGACTTTGCCTGAAATTCAATCCCATGCTAGATAGAAGGAGCAGCTTCTGCTATTATTTTTGGGGGACTCTGTGGTAGATGCATACCAGGACCCTGGAAACTTTTATACTGGGTTCAAATGACCAGAAAATCCATGGTAAAGCACATAGACCATAGAATAGATTGTTGTTTCTATCAGACTTTCTAGAAACTAAAGTAAACACATGTTGAACTAGCATGACAGATATCAGCTGACACAACAGACCATCCTGAGCAAGGAACCACCATGGCTTGGGTCATGTGGACCTTGCCATTCTATTCCTTTTTATTTAAATGCTATTTTTTTTAAAAAAAGTATTTTAATAGTTTTTAATCAGTCACTCTTGATTCAATTTATTTTTATTGGCTGTATATTGTTTTATATTTGTATTAATTGTTTATTCATTGTTGATTTTAATGTTTGTAAGCCATCCTGAGATGCCACCCATAGAGGATGGCATATAAAAGTTTTAAATAAATGAAAATCCCCCTGGAGCTAGAATTACAGCCTTAATTGCTCTTACCTTTGGCCTGATGAAACAGGGGAGCCTATGCAAGAAGCAAATAGCACTCCTCCTTGTCCCATTAACTTCTGCAAGGTCCTGGAGGTCAGTGGCTGCTTTTGACCATGTCTTCGTACAGCAGGACTATGATCTCTACTAGGATTGTAGGGTGGTAGCACAAAGCCGCTTTAGGCCAGGGGACCTACCTGCCAGAACGTTCAGTTCCACTGTCTGCAGGGTGTCTACACTTCCCAAGAATTCTGACTTGCACTGATAGACACCAGCATCCTTCTTCTGGAGTGGATTAATAGTCACTGTGAGGATCCCATCCTGGATGTTGTCAGCAATGGCAGTGCTACCATTCCTCTTCTTGAGGAAGGGCATCCAGAAACGACGGGCACTGACAATATGCTGACATTCCCTCTCACTGGTATGCTTGCACCAACTCTTCTGTCTCCACTGATTCTCCTTGGGGTTGTAGGTGCAGTTAATGGAGATGGACTTCCCTTCAATGCCATGTACCAGTTCAACCTTCTCAGTTGCAGATGCTTCTAGGAAGGAGAGAAGAATTGTGTTCCAGTCCTCCACTTTTATACTGAGATACGACTAGATTGCAATATTGGAGCCAGTATTGGCTGTCTTCCAGAGCCCTGTCTAACCCATATGCCTACAGCCTGTGTGTGTGTGTGTTACAGAGGACCTTTCTCTAGTTGAAGGGCTGTCCAGTCCCCATCTACTGTATCTTTATAACAAGGCAAAACAGCAGCCTTAAAATTGCCTGTTAAGGGTCACCTGGGCAGCAGAGTGAGTAAGTGCGCAAGTCACCTGGTCACAGTCTTTCTCTGTATGCTGAACTATATTGTGATTCTATTTTAAGTTATAGTCATTATCTCTAAACTGACACATATGCATATACTTTATCAGGTGCAAACTTCATGCAAATCTTTTGGCCTCTTTTTGGGTCTGATGCATTTCCTCCTTTTGGCAATTTTAAGTTTGCCCTTTGTGTGTCTTGCATAAATAGAGCTGAGGTACATAGATGCAGGCAGGCAAATTCTCCCCAGGTGAGCTGCATGGGACTTTAGTCAATCTGAATATTCTCTCTGTGATCTTTAATTTGTGGAAGAGCATTCTCACATTGCAGATTATCACCTAATACTGTAATCAAGAAAAGGAGCATGTGCATCTCCAGCCATCTCTTAAGCAGAACTCCAGAGAAACCATCATCCATACCCCTGGCACTGAGCTCTGCTTCCCACTCGGCTCAGCTTACTCTGCTGCATTTGACATATAAAAAGCATTTTCATTTGAATGGTCATTTTTGGTGTATTACTGCTAGTAGCACTACCACATTTGTACCCTGCTTTCCTTTTTCTTGCAAGGAACACAAGGCAGCTTACAAGATTCCCCCCTTCTTTTTTATCCTCACAGCAACAGCCCTGTGGGGTAGGTTAGACTGAGGGTCTGATTCACCCTCAGAATCAAGACATTCAGTGAGTTTCATGGCTGGGTAGGGACTACAACCTGAATCTCCTGAGTCCCAGTCCAGCAGTCTTCACCACTCTATCACACTGGTGTACCAGGCAGATGTTATGGCTCTATTTTTTTTAGACTGACCTTTTTATGCTTTAATCAGTCCTTAGTTTTGAGTCCCTTTGGAATAGCACTGAGGAAAAACTGTTGTAAACCGAACCCATGAAATAAAGTAGGATACAAACTTAAGCAAAATAATAGCAGAAATAATAAATCATCTATGCATGAATGGGCATAGGATAATACCCAAAACAGCAGTGTTTTTGCCCTGTTCTTTGTACTGTCAATCTTGGAGTTTCCATAGCTTTGGATCTGGTATACAGAATTATAGAATTTTCAGTCTTTACAGCTGGAAAAATTACTGCACAGGGGTTATTTAACTCAATTCTCTGTACCAAGACATATTTTTCTGTACACAATATCCCACAGCTATTATCCTATTTCATACAGAGTGCCATGAGCAGACAACAGAAGCAAGCAAGATGAACCAGAAATGCCCAGCAAAGTAAGAAATGCATTTAATAAAAAAAATATCCAGATGACTTGGTTTTACCAGGACCAGTTGTGTCGTGTTTTCAAGTATATGTGCACATACTGGTCCAGTCCTGATTTGACTCACTTGTGCTATAGATCTGTCCATAATATGTGTCTATAAGCAGTTAATCACCATTCCAGGAAGTTTCTTAATTTCATACCTGAGAAGGAGACCAGGAAGATGAGATGTACAAACTTTTCCATCCCTCTCCAGCCGATCAAGCAAGAAATGTTCCCGGCTAAAAATGAAATGCCGCTCTTGCACAAGGGCAGCTCTTTTGTTTTACTTAGGCACAAAGGGCAAGAAAGAGGAACTTCTGTTGTAAAGCAAATGCCTCGTCGAAAATGTGGACATCAGCAATGATGGGGCTGCTGTAGCATGAGAGGAAATCATGAAGTTGCGCACTGATTGGCAACCACCACCTGCGCACACCCACCCATCCTGACACTCACTGAAGGCCTACAGGTTTTGCAAGTAGCTTGGAGACTTCCATATGCTCACAACTTGCAGGTATGAACACCCAAAACACACCAGCTTCTTGCACAATGTGAGACTGGCAGAAGTGGAACCCCATAAAGAGTAATGAAAGACCCGGACTGTGCACATGCAATTGATGGTGATCTGTAGGGCTTTTTGAACACTGGTCAGCATCTATTGCCATGGGGGAGGGAGAGGGAGAGAGAGAGAGAGAGCGAGAGAGTGTGAGAGAGAGAGAATCCCTGTCCATGTAGGAGATCCTGATAAGCTAAAATGCCACACAGAGGACAAAACTGGCACAAGGCAAGCAGCAATTCAATTACTTTTGGGGCATGGTGGTAATTGAATTGTCACTCTCTGTGCTTTTTGCATTTCATTGCCCTCTGATACCACAGCTCACAGTCCTCCATCTGCCCAGCCATGTGTGTATACGGACCTGCAACTGAGGATAATAAACACTCGTATCTACTGCAATGGATGGGTTTGTGCCATAACACATTTGTTATGGTTTATGTTATCATAAATGCATTGGTCTTTAAGGTACTTAAAGACATTTTATTGTTTTTGCTGCAATGCAAAATGCATCTACCCAGCTGGAAACCGAAATCAATGAGTAAGAGGCCAGAGCACCCAAAAGTTTGAACACTCTTTTATGGCGTTTCATTTGCTTCTGATAAAAGCATTGCCCAACTGTGCGCTTGGAGATTTTTCCTTGAAGCCCAGAGGTGCCTTCAGAGGGCTCCTATCACTGCAAACTGATTGTCATTGTGCAGCTATTCCATCTTCACCCAAACAGATTTTCTATAGTTAAGACAGAAGAAGCTGTGAAAAAGCTGTGGGGGATGGTTCTGAGCTGAAGATGGTGGCATTGGAGCCTCTGCAAAATTAGGTGAATGAGGCAGGCCAGTGCTGTCTTAAAAATGGAAGCATTCCAAGTCTTTGACCTTCTGTTTTGCCCTTCATGAATATCTGAGCTCCTAAAGAGAAGGGGGATAGCAGTTGTTAATCTATTCCTAGAAAAAGCTAAGATTATTTTATCGCCTTAAAAGAGAACCGCCCCGGGGCTTCGGCGAATGGGGCGGCATAGAAGTCCGCTAAATAAATAAATAACAAATTTATCCTGGCATAAGCTTTCCTGGAGTGTTTGATATTTTTTTATCCTAGGCTGTGAATTGTTGTATTTGCTTTTTTTGCTTTTGTTGCAGAATTGAAATCTGATCTCTACGCAAGGCGCGCTTCCATTGCCACCCTGTAAACCTTTAGGTGGAACAGTGCTGTAGTGGAATATTAAGAAAGTACAAGAAAGAAAATGCATTTTCTTTCTCTTTCAGAAATAACACTCCATTTTCTTCACTATAAAAGCCCCCCAGGAAAGTGCTCTTGAAACCAGAAGCAAAACTGGAAGCACTAGTGCGTTGTTAGCTAAAGAACCTGTAAATGCCAATAAGGAATGAGTCTCCAACAGAAAAACCACTTGGTCATAACATTTGACAATGCTTTCCAAAAGATTCAGTTAGCACAATCTAAGCTTGAAAATTGGGAAAAATAGCCCAGCCTGCTCATCCGCAGAATGGCATCCTAGACACGGGCTATGAGTATTTCACTGGCTAGCTATTTTTTAATGCTGCATTCCCCAACCTAGCACACTTTATATTTATTGGGCTACAACTCGCAGCCTCGCAGCCAATGTCCTGTTCAGCATATCAAGATGGCACCAAGTTGGGCAAGGTGGCTTTGAGAAACAAGCAAACAAGCCCCATCACATTTGGGCTCTGCGGGAAATCACTCAGCAGGCATACTTGTAACCTTGGCAACAGCCACTTCCTCTGCATATTTCAGACTTGGCATCCCTGCTTGGTGAGCAGATGGTGCTTTTAGTTCCCTGACTCTCCCTCACCCCACCGATCCCCAATGCTTGCCTTCTGTTTGCTTAGTTTAGCAGTTTCTTCTGTCTGCTGGTATCCGCAAATATTTTCTGCATTCCTGCCACTTCGTCTTGGCTGTCTCTTCTCACAGCTGTTCCGTGCGGGTGTGCTTGTATGGAAAGTTTCAGTGCCTCACATTTCATGACAATGGTAGATGTTTCATGTTGCTTTTGCCAGTGGTAGCCCCATGCCATAACTGTAGATCCCTGGAAATGGTCCCCAGATGGACCAGTTTGTTACACTTGGATTGTCACGTATTTTATGGTGCTATTGTCTGGCTGCATATCAAGTTTGAGGTTTCACTTTCCACGATCCCAATTTGTGTGGGCTTCCGTGGCTGTAAAGAAGCCCCTCTCCCTCCCCATCTCTTTATACCTCTTTAAGAAACTATTTCTCTGCTAACACCTGCCTGTTCTCCAACAGAGAAAAGAAGTGCAGCACATAAGAGGTACATCCCATAAACATCCAAAAAGGTGGGATGCACCTGGCAGCTTTCTCTAGGGTTCAGCTCACCTGAATGACTCTCTCAGAATCTTTCAGTTGGATGCTGCCCCCCCCCCGCCTATCCACCATCCTCCCAGATTTAGCCTTCCCCAACCTAGTATCTTCCAGATGTGTCTTCCACTGCAACCCGTATCAGCCGTTGCAAGTCCCCCCCCCCCCAGTGTCTTTGTTTCTTCCTGCAATGCTTTCCCCAAATATGGGAATATCCCATGTTTTCCATAACAGTACTATGCAAATTGCTGTTTCTTAGATAGTTAATTTGGTGAATATATGCTTTCTTTCTTCTAATGGGGCTTTGTATTTTCTCCATTATCCTATAGGGATTGAAATAAAGCTGCTATTATAATTGAGCCCATTGAATTCCCAATAACTTTTGGATTTGGTTTTATTTGCTACCATAGCCATTCACTGATGCGCTAAAGCAGAGGGAGGCAATCTGTAGACTGCAGGTGCCATGGGGCAAGCCTCCACCAAAGGACACCATTAGTGCCCATTTTAGTCACGCGTTCCAGCATGTTCGTTAGCCCTATTCTGCTGAATTTCATCAGGGCGGAGCTGGCAGGAGCACAACTCCTGGAGGAAGCATGGGTGGAAATTGGCTTCCGGGTCCCTAGATGTTGTCCACCCCTGGTCTAAAGGTTTGAAGGAGAAGCTCTAGGAATGATAGGCTGAACTCTAGCCACCCGTAAGCAAGGCAGGAATTACAATGAGTCTCTTTCTACAACTCCCCTCTTTCTGATTGCCATATAAACACCAGAAGTCTGGTTCTCTTTTCCTCCCAGACCTGGCTGGTTTTGAAGGAAAAGAGGGGGTGACTACTCAGGAAAATTCAGCTCAAGGTGTACCTTGCAACCTATCCCGCTGCAGAGGATGGAAGTGTGTGCCTATATGAAGCACAGTGGCAAAGCCGTCAGCAATGCAAACAGCAACAAGGTAGGTTACATTGTATGTACTCAAAGCCACAGGCTTTGAGTACATACCAAGGCTGTGTACTCAGAGATGGGCACATCTGATCCAGTCGAGGTTCCCAACTACTGCATTCACAGAATTGCATGCCTTCATGGTTGTGCAAATGCAGAAAAACAAAAACAAAAAAATAACCCATCAAAAATTGTGCTTTGGCCTCTGACAGGTGCTCTGGTGTGTTGCTTGGGAACTTTGAAAGGATTATCAGTCGCTGTCAAAATGGGGATTGTGAAACCTAGCTGTCAGGTGAGCAAAAATAGCTCACAATTGTGGGAAGTATCCGGTCCATACCAGTTGCCTTCAAATATTGCTTGGGCACTTGTGGATTGGCTGTCCCTTGCAGGTGCCCAGAATCAAGCTTGGCAAGAATCACAAGGGCCTTTTGCTGCTCCTGCTAAGCAAATTGCTGGCTGGTACCTGGTACCCACATAGAACTTGGTCACCTGTGTGCAGATGGCACAACAACCCGTCATGGATACAACAATTTCTAGAAGAAGCAATGGCTTTTCAAGGTGGCATGTTGCCATCAGATGAGTCAGTTTGAAGGAATGGGTTCATGTTGATATGACATGACAACCCAGTGTAGCTTGGGCTGTGTGTCCTGTGAACCTTGTAATTGGCAAAGTCAGCATGGGAAAGGGTACAGTAATCACTGCAGAAAACCAGGGGTGGACTCTCCAAAATCCAGTATTATCAGCTATCTGTTCAATGAGGCATTAATGCCTGCTTTGCTTCCACATTTATGGCAATCATGACGTTTTCATCAAAAGTGGGCAACTTGTGAAGAAATGAGGGTCACCTTGAAAGCATGCGTTGGAAGTCAGCAGCTAGTTTAACTTTTTTATTTATGATCTGTTTGGGTCTAGACCGGGGTCTTCAATGCATTCACAGTGGATTTCAACACATATGTATTTAGCCATATGTTTCAACGGAGGAAGCAAATCCATGTGCTTTTGGGTATGCAGGTGTGCTTTCTCCATCTGAATGATGCCCAGGGCTTTCTAGCAGGAGTGGAGAAGCTCCAGTCTGGGAGGCCTGAGCTTTCCCTCTCTGCTCCTGTCCCCTGTGATCATTTGGCAGTTTTCTGGCATTTGTGCACATTTGAGATGCCTCTTCTAAGGCTTAGCTGCTGGCAGTAAGAACTTTTGGTGCACAATCCAGATGCAACCCAGTCCTGAGGATCCAAAGATTGCTATGTCCTTGCTGGAATGAAGCCAGCAGGGCAGGAGGCAAGGGGGTGTGAGATTCATATGTCAGCGGGCTCCTTATCTATTCCAGCCTGCAGCTTGAGTTTTACAGAGAATATCCATGTTGTTGAACTCTAATCCCCCAAAATAGCTTTACCA